GTGGAGCTACAAACCAAATAAAGGTGTGATTGCAATAGTAAAAGCAGTGTTTTTGGTGAAATGACGTCTGCGTGGCAAAAACAAACGCTCAACGCTGCTGATTTTTTCTAGCCAAATATACAGTCTTGTGAACTTCTACATACTATGTGCTTACTTCATTGTACGGCTTCAGAAGCTGAGTTTTGAGGCTCGAAATCGTGCTAACTCTGTGGTAAGGTTGGAACTTGGTTGGAAAACGGCACGAAAACGCAAAGATGTTCCAAGCGTCAAACATAATACCTATCGAAAGAGCTTAGTTTATCTCATAGCTTTGGTAGAAACTAATAAGAGCGCGTAAACCACAGAAGAATGGATGTTTTTGGAGCGCAATCACTCCAAAAACATTTAGATCCTTCTGAAAAAGGTAACGGCCCCCTTTTTGAAATGCACTGGGTTCAGTGTGTAGTAGATATGTCAGACTTTGTTACTGTAACTCTACATAAAGGTTGGACTCAGATGATTGCAATCTTGAATGAAAAATGGACCTTTGTTTGAGGTGTTCGTATAAATATGAACCGCTAAAAATTCGCATTAGGCACAAAAACACTCCTAAAATTGACATCCATCTACATTCTTATGGATCATAACCGTTTTCGGCTGTGCTCTTTCGCGTGGTACCAGCGGCTTTTTGAGTTTCTGTCAAAAAGTCCAGGAACTGCCAAATTTTGGGGTGTTCGTGTAATTATGAACCGCACTTTATATCACTTTTGTTTAGATGTCTTTTCCTTAGTCGATGTATCTGAAATATGATACTATAAGAGATGGTTTTGTCTGCCCACTGCACTCCGCGCCTCCATTTCTATATGGGAAATAGCAGGTGGTGCACGAAAATTAGCACGGATCAAAACCTTGTTTGCAATTACCATGAGCTTCGGAAGCTTGATCATATGGAAGGACTCCAGGACACTCTTAACTCCATTTCAGGTTTGGGATAGTTCATACGTCCTTAACAGCAATTGTTATGCGCATGCCCCCAGAGGTGGAGCAATTCTTGACAGAGCCCGGCACAGGTGGTTTGTGGTCAAACTGGACTTCGTTTTTGGGGTTAAAACTAAGGGGATATCGTAAAACTTGTGCCAAACATACGAACAAGTGACCTCCAGCTATGGTACATCAAGTTGGCACATCAATGACATGCTCTAGCGTGTTCTTTCTCAACAAGCGCGCCAAATCCAAAATGATGCACATATAAAAATGGTTTGTTTACAGCGCACAAGCAATCACATGACATTGAATTTGGATACAATACTGCTTCAAATCACATTATGTAGAAAGTTTCAGAAACTTGGTCATGTGTCCTAATACCCACTCCCGAATTTGTTGGTTTCTAGACCATCACCAAACCAAATGGGTTGGTTCGGCGCAAAATGGAGAGTTCAGATAAGTTTTGGACCCGTTTGATTTGGACGATTAGAACGCTTGAAAAATCTATCATATAGTAGAGTGCTAAACAATGCACTGCCTCTCCTCTTTTTTGAGCCAAAAATAGTATAGATAAACGCATCGATAGATATGGCGCTCCAATCACATGCCTACTAAGGCGTCGTTTAAACTGGCGACATTTGTTTTTTGTTTTTGTTGTTGTTTTTGTTTCCTTACGTATTTACGTCAGTGAGGCCTTCGTGAAAATTTGCGTAGTCATGGGGACTTCCTGAAATCCTGTGTAAAATCCTGCAAACCAGCACATGCCGGACCCTGATTTTTGGCCTTAGGATGTGAATAAACTGAATTTACTCGCTTGTCTGTTGTTGAAACTTCATTCGTATACAATACACACCGAAAAAAGTTTCAGTCGTAGTTTAAGTTAGTTTTAGTCGTACACTTTTAGTCGTACAGCCGTTTTAGTTTTAGTCGTAGTCACCGAAAAAAGTTTTTACAGGATCAGTTCGGATTTTTGGGGAGTTACAGGCAGCGTCCCGGCAGATTTTGCACTTCCATCTTTTTGCATGTTTTGGGCCTTCTCGACCCGTAGACCCCGAATCTGAATTTTAAAAGGGGTGAAAAGGCCTTTTTGGGGGTCTTTTTTTAATTTCCAAAAGGCAGCTCGGACGAGAATTTTCAAAGGAAAGTCGGGAGGCCCTGGCACGAAGGCCCTGCTGCCTGTAATTTTGGTGGGTCCCGCGCCGTCTAGCGGAGAATACTCGTCCGAACAAGGTGTTAGGGGAGCGGCCCTTGGGCCGCCCCCTGGCTTGCAGAGTTCACATTTTCGGCGCGGAGTTGCTGTTTTGGTTCACTTGGAAGGCCTCCTATCCATCTGTGTCAAAATCTGAGGTAGGTCAATCTGCCGAGCCGCTGCCTTTAAGCATACAGCGACTCAATCGCGAATGCCATTAAGTCGCTGTGCTTCCGTCTCTCGTGTTTTTCGATATTCATTAAGCTTGCCCTTCTCTTTCACTTTCTTTTAAATGCGATTCTTGGTTTCAAAGACACAATTGTTTGGTATATGTTATATGCTTATCTTTTCATTATTCTGAAGGATACACTGGATGTAATTCTGCCAAGCACAGTTCTGTCACATTCGCAAGGGAGGAGGGAGGGGGGGGGGGGGTAGTTAAGAGGGACGGGTGGGGTAAGTGGAGAATGAGAGAGGGGAAGTTGTAGCGGAAGGAGGACGAGCAGGGTCTAACGCGTTCCAAGATTCAGCCATGAATTATGCGTTAGGCGCATGTCAGAGGACAGAAAAAATTGAATATATTTGCTCAGTAAGTGATAAAGCAGCAGTTTTTGCTCTCTTGCCATCTATTCTAGAGTTCGACGGCAAGCAAGAAAAAAACAAGTAGTAATGAGGTGGCACTAAAAGGTCCAAGGAGACTTTGTTAAATTTTGCGAAAAAGAAGAGGATTTGCACAAAATCCCTATTTCAAACCTGTAAAGAGTCCTGAATCCAAACCATAGTTGTGATAAGTAGAGCAAAGCAATGAATCTTATCCCCTCACGTTTGAGCCAGAACTCGGATGACCTCTTCACCTGAGGCTGATTTGGGAAGGTAATTTGAGATGAATCATGATCATGAAGCTCTTGGAGATTCATCTCAGTCGTGAAACACAACAACCACACATTCCATGAGAAGAGATACTTCTATCAGTTACAGTGAGAATTATGACAGTAGTTACTTTTCCCGCACTACTTCAAAGGCATCTATGATAGATACTGGAGAATAAAAAATTTGGAAAATAAAAATAACTTGGAAATATAAGCGCTCCAAAAATGAATATAAAAATCGAAAAACATTTAAATTTTTTTCAAGAACCTCAATGGTTGATGCTTGTTTGCTGCATCTTTCTTCCCCTTTTTCAAAGAAAAATTTTGAACATATTTACTTTCAAGCCTTAAGGTTCGTCACAGTTCTTAGATAGCTAAACAGATAGAAGCCTTTGCTTGTAAGAAAAACAAGAAAAAACCAACTAATAAGTAAAAAAGACCAACTAATAAGTATAGTCTATATCAATGGTAAGTCTATATCCAGGTTGTCGATGCTCGTAAAAATCAGAAAAGTCTGCTAAAGACTGCAAAAACAGCTCAGTGTGATATGCAGTAATAGTAAATGATTACGTTAGTCAGGTTACTTATTTATGAAATGAAAGAGGATTAAATTTTCTTGTCAGCTAAAGTGAATCAGTAGATATACCGGACAGATAAATCCCTCATTTGCTGAAAAGAGATAGAAAAAAGTCGAGGGTCTAAGTCGATTCTCCACAATCTCACCTTTCGAATGGTATATAGCTTGTTGTCGTATCGAGCTTTCCGGCTTCAAAAAATGCTTGCCTCCGGTGACCCATAAAAGCCACATTGGAGGAGCTGGGTGAAGCAAGCTAATAGTGAATATATACACCCCATTTTTGAAAACTGCCAAGTTTTTTGCCCCACAATCTATATACCATTCGAAAGCTTAGAGACAGGGACTGGCCGTAGACGGTCGACTTTTTTCTAGCCCCACTCCACCGAGAAACACGTTGCATTTTATCTAAAATTATGTCCATTTTTGAGAGCAAATTTCTGTACAACGAAGAACTGCTGCTGATTATCTACATGTTTTACAGAGCAAGCCTTCGTCAATAGACGTAAACCGTTGACTTTCTCGTATCTTTCATCTTGAAGACAAGAAAGCAGAAAGTAAACACACTAAAACAGTTGATGTGTTAGCCAGATAGAACCGCTCATATTTCCCGGAGCAGAAAAGCTAAAAGATTGATAGTGTTGTTCGATTTGTCATGACCTCAGCTTTCAAATGGTATGTAGAATGTTAGGGCATTTCGCTTTCAGGGCTCACTTTACCCCCTTCTCCTTGCAAGGACAGGGCGGGGACCCCCTTCACCTGGAGAGGATTCGGCTCCCCCTATTGCACCTATGACCCGAACTGTCTAATTTCTTGTCTTCGAAATATCTGCGTAATTTTTTCGCTTCAGCTGCAGTGCCTTAAAGGCATTGTCCAGGTCAACTTGGGGGTATTGGGATCTTGATACAGTGTGAGAGCACGGCTCCTGACTAACGCAATCTTCAAGCGCGATCAAATAAGGTAAAATCTGAAGCGACAAAATCGCTTCGGACGAGTTTGCAAAAAAGGGAGCGGTACTCCAATCCCGCCCCCTTGACGAGTATTGACGTGGCCAATACACTAGATCTTGAGCATTTGTCACGTCAAAACTTGTCAAGGGGGCGGGATTAGAGTACCGCCCCTTTTTTGCAAATTCATCCGAAGCGGTTTTCTCGCTTCAGATCCCATCTTTTTCGATCGCACTTGAAGGAGTCATGCTCTTAGAGTGTCTCAAGATCCCAATAGCCCATGTTGACTTGGACGATCCTTTGAGAGCAGTTCTAAACGTGTGTTGCGGCTACACGTGGACAGAGGCGAAAACCACAATATACCGACGTCTCTTTTGCATATGATTTCGGAAATAAATTCCAGCGGGGCCGGAGCCTGTACTATCTTGGTATCCTAAACTGCTGAGCTAAGACAACAATCGTAGATCTAGACATTCATTAAGTTTACATAAGAATACAAACAAGACTAGTTCATACAGCAGACTTGAAATCTATATCTTCAGTTCCAAAAATTTCTCTAAATTCTCTTGTCAACAGAGTATCGAGCGATTCCTTATCATGACTATAGATCCACCTGCAAAGATGATGTTATTATGCATCTCACAGATATTAAGAAGTGGCATAACATTTACCGATGATCTATCAGATCATATCGTTTTGGACCAGACATAGGACTAGACAGCCATAACTGCTTGTTGGGAGACTGTTTATTGATCACGTAAGTACCTGAAACGGAAAGAAGGATTAGGTCAATCTGTAATGTAGTTCCTCATATAGAGAGATTGCAAGGAGCTTTGAATGCCAGTCAGTTGGTCAGTTGGTCAAAAGAATGGGGACTACCCATTTCTCAAGAAAAGACTAAAGTACTTCACATAGGATCTAATGATATTGAATACTTCTACCAGTTAGATGGTAAGCTAATAGAGTATGTCAATGAAGTAATGGACCTGGGATTTTTGACGGATAATAAGCTCTCCTTCAACATGCATTGTGAGAGAATCGCTGGAAAGGGCACCGTTGCAGTACATAACCTTTTCAGAGCTCTTACAACTAGTGATGTAGAAATTTTGATCCGAGCATATAAGGTTTACGTTCGACCATTACTTCAGTATGGTACTGTCATTTTCAATCCTTCTTTGAGTTACGTTCGTTGCCCACCGGATAGAGAAAGTTCAAAACAGCTTCACCAGGAAGTTGCTCATACGTAAGGAAGGGTCTGTGTACACTCAATTACCGGACTTCAACATTCGCAATGAAAGGTTGGGGCTGGAAAATCTAAGCGTTAGACAACGAAAGTTCGATCTTTTGATGGCACATTAAATATTATTTGGAGGTTGTCGAGTGAATCCTGCGGGTCTCTTAAAGCGCAGGAACTCTATAACCAGGGGCGGTCCAAGTAAGATAGTAATATTTAGAACGAGAAGGAGTGTGAGGAAGAACTTTTTCGTAAGCAGAGTCACCCGTGACCTTGATAAGCTTCTAAGAATGCAGATGCTCCCAGTGAAAGCTACTCAGTTTAGAACTATTCTTAAGAACTATCTGCTTTCAATATCAAATCGTTCCTGACATGTGTTGTTTTATTTTGTAAATGTTTAGATGTTCTTATTTTACCAATTGTTTTTTTTGTTACTATGTTCTTAGTTTCGTTTCAACTACTCCGGCGTTAATTTGCTTTGTTTCATTGCCCAAATGGGCTCGCTCATGTAACTAAATAAATTAATATTACTAGGTTGATCGGAAAGTAATACTAAGGGGCCTTTCGAGCATAGCTGCAGTTTTCTCAAGAAAGCAAATTCATTAGACCATTATTGTCCATCATTATCGTTGGACCATGAGACCATTTCATTATTTTGAAGGTCGTAGAACAAATTATTCTCAATCACAACTTATATATGCTCATGCATGTGCAATAATATTTGAAACTGTGGAAAAAGCGAACTTAACCATTTTCAGCAAACATGAAATTTGAGCAGTATCTGCGCAGTAACACAAGAAGGGCACCCAAAATTCAATGCTGCAGTAAAGAAGGGAACTGCACAAAAACCCACAGTTTTGTGGTACCTACGCTGCGGGTCAAGAGATATAATGGTGGGCATTTCGCAGAGGATGAATACTTGTTAATTAATTCTTTGCAAGGGGATTGGGGATTCCCGCTTTTTGACGATCATCTGATAGAGCTTTTTACGCTCTATCTGTCCATAAGCATCATACATCAAGTTTACTATAACATCGCAAATTGACGAAAAAACATGTTTTTTAGAGTTTTGAAGCGCCGAAAAAGGATTTTTTCCTTTTTCACCTGAGATGGAGAGACTTTTCTAAAGTTATTGATTGTCTGAAAGAGCTTAAAGAGCTCTTTCAAACGGGTGTGACTTGCTCGATGACCTTGAAATATAGCTGCATCACTTCAAAAAATGTACAAAAAGCTCTCGACTTCTTCAAAGCGCCACCGCGAGAATTGTGGGGCGGGAGCGATAGCGCGATGCCAGAATGATAGACGAAAGTCGATTGTATAAGTGACTTTCAGTGTCTGCCTGGTTGTTGTTACGAAGCAAAAACTTTAAAAAAAACTCAAAGTGCATTACTTTTCGATCACCCTAGATTGATTTTCAGGGCATGAAATTGTCAAGGCGCTCTTTTTTACATTATTATTGTAAAATCGCAATACCTGGCGCAAAAGCATACGCAAAAGTATAAGTACACTGATTAAACACACATCAACAACATTCTCTGCAGGAAAGACAAGAAACACCTATTTCAAGGACTGACCCACTTCCTTGCTAACCACCACAGTCAGTACACCCATCGCATGCGTTACATCGTAGTCTTGCGATACCTGCACTCGATCAGGTAGATTGTCGAAGTAATCTGTGAGCCTAAAAAGTCTCAGTTGTAAGGTATAAGGAAAGCAAAATCATTACAAATCAACTGACTCGTTAACTCACTTCTCTAGTGATTCTTCAGCTGCTTTTTCGTATTCAAGCTGGGGTACTGTGGAACACAAGGCTATAAAATTGGTAATGATGCAAAAGTCATGCACTTGCTGTTATGCTCGAGAGATGGAAAGGCGGTGTGAACTTACTTCGTATGGGAACAATTCGTAGCACAGGGCGACAGAGCTGTGTGATCATGTCTCTAAAGAGCAAAGTGATATTTTCTTGCATTAGAACTTTACCATTGACTCAGATTAGCACAAGAGCATTGAATCCCTTGCCTGTGCAAAGTGAACTCACCTCACGTCTACCTTGCAGAGTAAGTAGATGTTTGCCTTATCTTTGCTCAGCAATCGTCTCCTTTGGGTTGTAATGAGCCGCAAAAGTTCTAACTAACCCAAAACGGAACCTGATAAAAGCAATGAATGTTGCAAGTCATTGATGTAAGAAAAAATTGATTCAGCCTGAATTGTTGCATGTACCTAAATCTGATCCTACTAGACATGGCATTATCTCTGTCAGGCAGTATTTCTGCCACAATCAGATACAATCTGTGTCAATCACGTTCTCTCTTTTCACTAGCAAATGCATCCGCATCACGTGGCCATCGCGCAGAGATCTCCGATCAATGCAGCAAATTACAGTTGCAGCGGTGGAATCCGGCCAAACTGCGGGATTTGCGGGATTTGGTTATAACTTCTTACAAAACAACTTATTCGGAATCTGCAAGAAGATTTAGCTTCAGCTTGATGACAGGAATCTCTTAGTATATATTATGCCAGTAGTCCATTTTGATACGGTAGACATACGATACTACTTTGTTATTTCCAAAAGTTGTCCATATGAGCAGCAATACATGTTGGTATTCTCATAACACATACCAAATACAATGCACTATGGAAAATGGGCATGATGTACAGTAAAAGATTTGTCTCATCAAGCTGAAGCCAAATCTTCTTGCAGATTACAAATGAAGTTGTTTCAGAAGATGTTATAGCTAAATCCCGCAAGCCCCGCAAATCCCACAATTTTGGCCGGATTCCGCCGCTACAGCTGTAAAACGCTAAAACGGTATGCTCGTGAACGCGGCATCTGCCGTTAGCATTGCGCTACAGCTGATCGGAAAAGGATCACATCGTTGACACAGACTGTACCAGTGAACTGTAACAGTGGCGCATAAAAGGGGGAGAGAAAAGCTCACTTATAAACATTTGGAATAGATTTCTAAAATAGCTATTTGGCATTAACTTCGTAGAAGTTGCCGTAGCCACTGCACCCCTTCTGAAATACAAAACTGCCTGCAAAATTTCGAAAGCTTCTCCAGATTTTTCCGGAGGGCATGATTGATTGATGGTCATGCGCCTTTACCGAAAAAAATCACGGTTAGTATTCTGGTCACAAGAGTTTGATGCACCCGATCAGATTTACCTCGGATTTGAAAAAATGTTCCGCATGCGTATTTTAGGCCGGGCACCACCTTATTAGAAGTTGTTATTGTATTAATGAAATACTACAAATTTATGCTTACGTATGACCTGCACTTAAACTAACTCGCCAACCACGAATATGGTATTTTCGAAAGTATCGTCAGTATAGTAGCCTCAATTTTTTTTATTCAATTCTAGCTGGTGGTCCCGATTTCGCCCTCGAACACCAAATCTTGCTCACGAAACATGTCTTTTTACTCTTTTCTGAAATTCTTCCTGCCATGCACCAAAAGCGCTTTCTTAAGAACAAAAAAGAGTTAATTCGTACAGTCGAGTGATAGATTTAAAATCGCCGCATCCTGACTTTGAGGCTGAAATGGGCTTCACCACTCCTGCTTACATGGGAAAACTCTTGATCAAAGCATGACACTTTTTCTAGGTGTAAGTGATCAGATAAATCAACAGAGAAGAAACCACAGCAAAAAGTAGCCTTTTTTTTGTTTTTCTCTCCGATGTCGAAAAATGTGTGCTTGGTAACGAATATGGTAACATTAACACGCATTCTTTGAGTTTTACATCAAAGATTTGGTTATTCTTGCAAGTTACTCGTTGCAGAGATCTGCAGGCTAATTATTAGGTTGTCCCGAAAGTAAAGTCCATTTTCAAATAACTTGAGCTGTTTTTCTTTGTTTGACAGAGTTAGGATACCATTCGATAAAGCGGAGCAAGGTCTACAAAAAAGGGGAGGGGGGGGGGGGGGGAGGGCGCTCGTTACGTGCGGGCTGCCAAATGGAAAACGTCGCAACGCGGCGTTACACTAATCGCGCGGGGGAAGCAGCAGTGTAGAAAACTTGTCATCAGATTTATATCACTAAATTACCAATGCTTTTTCTATATTGTTAGTGTTTTACCTCCTTCAATTTGTGTCTTTTTTGTCCTTTAACAGCTCATTTTACAACTTTTGCGGCTGAACTTCAAATAATTAAGTAAAACTAATATAAGAATAGTCTGTGAACCTCAAAAAAGGATGAGAAACTGAAAAACTATGTGTTGCGGATCATGCTGGTTGAATTCTCCGAGTGCGGTCACTAGCAGCCTGTCGCGCGCGACGTTTTTCAATTGGCAGCCAGCACGTAACGATACGCCCCCACAAAAAGGCTACCAAAGATCCACCTAATTCGTAACCCAGGTAAAATTTGGAGTCAAAAATAAAAAATTTTCAGTACCCTAAAAATCGGATCTCCTTTCAGAAAATTCCTACGGACTTCTAACTTGGTCTCTGAAAGTAGACACATACTAGTAAATTCCAAAAATTTCCTGGTCTAAAAATTGAAAAACAAAGGTGGTCCCAAAACACCAAAATGCCACTTTTTCGGGTTTTTTTTATGTAAAACTTGGTACTTCTCGATTATAAGAGCACATGCAGGAGTGAAATTTTAAGTCTATACTTAGTAAGGCTTGTAGTATACAATGGCATATGTGGGAGGGGCTGGAAGCGGAGTTTGCCATTTTTGGACTATCTTATTTTTCTCGCTTCCTATGCGCGAAAAAAATCCAGTAAAGGCATATTTGAGTACTAATATGTGCCTACTGTATAATGACCAAGTTGCAGATTCGTAGGGTCTTCGCAACCAGTCTTCAGGTGACAAAATTTTTTTTTTCGATTTTGGCTTCAAACCTTTACATGGAAGGTGACTTAGGCGAAACATTGGACAACAACATGGCGGTCATTTTGTAGAGCTTGATCTGCTCTATCGAACGATACCCTAAATATACTAGGAAAACAAAAAAGCTTGGATTATTCAAAAAAGTAGTTCACTTTTGGGACAACCTAATATGATATTATGATTCCTTTCAAAATCGGGAAGTTCAGTATTGGATGAAATTGGAGACAATCATAACAAGGAAAGAGGGACAGAGTAGAGATACAATTACTTCTCCAGCAATGTCTCGTAAAAATTCAAAAAAAAAACAATGTGAGAGCGGAGACAAAATATGCGCACATTGATTCTCACATAACTAATGCTCTCCTCAAGCAACGATGAATGATTACAATTGGCGAGAACACTCTTTGCACCAGATAAAGGAATACATTGTATACTATTGCAAAGATGTAATGAAGATAGCAGAATTATGATACGTTGGATTCTGATTTTTCGCAGGAAGCTAACATTATTCACTTATTCGACTATGCACTCAAAATATCGCTTTCTCACTAGTAACATAACGACGACAGAGAATCCAAGCGAAGTCAAGTACTTTCTTCGCAGTGCGTATGCTTTAACTTTGATGACACAACAAATCTGAAAGTTTTATTGACTTTAGCCTCATAAAGCCATGAGTATAGATCATAGGATACATTGAAGACCATGACTACCCGCTGTTATGTTCGTTAAGAAACGACGGAAAGGGTGGGAAGGAAACATGGCAAACAAGAAAGGATACCTTCTACAACACACGCTAACCAAACCACATATCAACAGGGTTGCTCATTGCTATTTAAGGGCTTGCTTTCAACAAAGCAAAGCAAAATTATGAATGATTCATTGTGAAGGGTGGATGAAAAACACGAAAGACTAATCCATTTCCAATTTTTCCTCCCTATAAAAAAATCAAAGCAAAAAAGCATATAAGTAAGCTTGCCTCACCATTTGCAATGACTTCCTACACCAGATAGCAAACCGATAGAAAAGTCTGTCAGACTGACTAGTTTGCGCGAAGTCATGATCATCATGGGAATTATCACAAAAAGACAAACTTCGATCACTGCGATTTCAAGAGATACAAACGAGAGTGAGTTAACAGAGTTACCGTCACAACATAACCAGGATACAAACAACGACTGATAAGTCATTTAGTTTTGATATACTCTGTCACTGAAGGCAAATTTGTACACGCATGAGCAAAACTCCAATGTGGCTTCATAAATAGAGGTGGGAAAAATATACGATGATATGGAACTGAAGTGAAATCACCACCGTAGGAAGGATATGACATTATTCTCACTTTCATATGCTATAAAATTATTAATGCACAAGCATAACGATAAAGATCCAAAGCACATAACAGCAATATATAAACGTCACCTTTCTACTCATAAAAGTGAAATGGTAAAGCTGGATAGAAGTGAGTCATGATGACGAAACCTGCTTTATGAAGACTTGATCTTTCCGCCCCAATGCAACCGGAATCGACCATTTCTCCAATGGATATTAGGCGTCAGTATTGCACGAATGTAGATGAATGGCGAGAGCAATTCTCGAAATGCCCAGGCCCTTACGAAGGCGGGGAAACTGTATGGGAGCTTCCCATTCTGAAATAAAATCACATTCAATGAAAATTAGCGTATCGTCTCCGCAGCATAGCACAAGCCAATAACCACTCCAAATCGTATACGTTGAAAATTCTCGAAAAGTCAGATATAAGAGATGCAAAAGTAAATGTATGGAATGTAGCCAGTGGACGAAAGGATCTTATTCGTAAAAATGTCATGAATGATTTCACTACTTATCCCCGTCAGAACTCTGACTCAAAGCAGGCTTGTTCGAGCATAGTCAGAAAAAAAATCTCCCTAACAAATTGCAGGATTAGCTGCACTAAGAAAAGACTGTCCACGAGTTGAAAAGTAACTTAGCCTTAGCTGCACTAGGAACGAACTGTCCACGAGTCAAACTTAGCCTTCTCATACTCAAGAAATAATGTGCATTTTATGATTCTGACAAACTAATGCATCGGAGACAATAAGAGTTTCTCATCAACATCTTCAATTATATCAGTTAGAAAAAGGTAAGGAAAAATTCAGGACTCAGTAAATATATGCACCTCCAAATTTCGATGATATCGCAACAATTAGCTATTCTTTACGGAATATCAACATGAATTTAGGACCGGCAAGCCGGGCGACTACCGGAATAACAGCAAAATGAATCTGACCAGATGGCAAGATTAATCAATGAATGCATGAGATAAGATAGTGAACCGAATTGAATTATTACATCAAGATTGAAGATTGGTTTACCTGTATGGATCGATTCAGTGCATTGTCGCTCAGACACCAAGCTGTGCAATGGATGATGTAGTAAAGAAACGGATTAATATCGAAGAGGTGATTGGCGCAAAGACAACCGATCAAACCCGCCACAAAACAGTCCTTAACAATGTGGAAATATTGGGAAAAATCAAAGGTTCGAAAAGAAGAGGTTTGCAAAAAAAGGGCGTACCTGCAATGGTTCTACAAGCATCATGTGAGGAAGCATAGCTATCCGTAATTGCATCCAACGACTGATCCTTGCATGGAATTTCGACACAGATGGATCCGCACTGTTTTGCAATGCCGGATGAGTGGAAATCGCAGAGAGCCAACCGCTGAACATGAAATTTACTTTCGAACATAACGTCTTAAGAAAGATATCGAGAAAATGACCAGGATACATCTACCAATCGTAAAATGGCTGCAAAACTTGATGTAAAAGTTTTATCAAAAAAGAAGACCTACCGCCGACTGAATTCTATCCCGATGAAATAATCTTCGGCCAAAACGTCTCCAAAGCTCTGAAAATGGCTTGATGAAAGCAGAAAACAGATTGCAGAAAAGTGAGTTTCGCTATAAGCATGTAGCCCATTCTAACCAGCTAGTATAGTGACTTTACCATAATAAATACAAAAAATATAGACAACGGAAAAAGAAAAGCAAATGGCTCATAACTCACTTCTAGCCCTCCACAATCATCCAACACATATCTTCTCATGAGCGAAGACATTCCAGTGGAGCAAACAAACTGCAGACAATTGCCTGCTAAATAGATTCGTCCATGACCAGTACCAAAGTAGACCTAAACAGGTATAAGTAAATGGTAGATTATTTGAGATGCAACGATCACCTGCTCTAAACATCCCGCAAAACCTTCACGGTCTTTGCAATATGGCATTTGGGTAACAAGTGCTACGTCATCTGTCATTGAGTTCACCATATCCATAAGAGCGTCAGCTCTCATCATGATGCCTTCAAATTTTCATATTTAGCAAAACATAAAAAAGTTCTATAATTTCCTACCTGAATCACTGATCATCAAGAGAGGATATTTTGCATTGCGATATGCTGGCATCATGTTGTTGATTTTTGGGTTCAGCCCTACGTTTTCACCTCCTGAATGCTGCTGCGTCAAAGACTGATAGAAATTATACAAAACGAATATGAACTGACCATGGAAATGAAAACTAACCATAAAATATGCGAGCATCCACGGCAGGGTAACGGTCCATCAACTGTTTCACTATGCTAACAGCTGGATCATGCCGATCTTTCACACAAAACAATAGCTCGTACTGAAAATCATGCAGTGAGAGAAAATAGATATTTAGCGTCCATTAATACTGTATGTACAGCGTCAATCACAAAAATGGGGAGACAATCAGGATGATAACATAGGCAATTCATCGCACTCAAAGGTGCCACAAAAGATGCTGTCGGCGTCTGGCTAATCGAGGATCTTTCACTTCTCTCGCCGTCTGGTGACTTTCCCATGCACAAACTATCTTGACCAGAAGCAATAGCGTCCAATCTGTGCGTGCGATGAATCGCCTATACTTATTGAACAAAAGATGAATCTCGGGGCATATTCGCAGACGAGTGAAATTCAAAAATTTTGCGTGGAGCTCAAACTATAGTGGGACTACCAGAAATCAAAACGGGATGAGAACAGGTTCACAGAGGTAGGATATTTTGTTTTTGGGCAGTATTTGTCATAACTGTATGGGATAAAATAATGGAGTGGACCATCAAAAGTAAAAATTAAGCTTACATGAAAATGCAAAACAAGCTAAGTCAACCATACGCACCTTCGGAAACTTCATGTTGAAAAAAGATTGCAAGTTGGACTTCAAATTCCTATCGACTCCTAGTAGGGGCTTCAATATCGACACGCCCGGCGCATCCGCATCAAAATCAACTATTCGATGAAGACGATACCTACTAAAAACGCTGTTTCAATACTCCCTGGATATCATTTTATAGGGCACTGACCTGTAACTGTATGCTATTGCATGCACAATGTAAAGGCACGTCACGAAGACCATGCCAACGATGGCCAGCAATGTCCACCATGGCGGAAGCAGGGGATAGGCTCGTAATGGGAACAGGGTGGCCAATGACCATGCATCCCAGGAGGCATTCACGTCATCTGACGGCGTCATAAAGCGACCGAACGATAAGGGATTCGACCAGCTTGCCGTTCTTCCAGTCCCACTTGCTTCCAATACCGCCGACTCCAAAATCACACGCAGAGAATCCAGGCCTAAAACGAGAATCAAAAAATTTTTTACGACTACTCAGAATTGTGAAAAATCCACGATCGGAGAGAATGAACAGTGTTTCTGCGCAAGGAATACAAACTATTGTCTATTGTCTGAGCAAACATAGAGTTCACGAGAACTCATTGGCGCAAACACAAAAGTGAAAGAAGGTCCTATAAATAACTCGTTAACCTCGACTAATTTCAACTACCGCCTTCACATTTGTATCTAAAATGTCGATTCATAGCAATCTTCAAATTGATTTTTTTTCAAACTTTACAAAGATGTGCTTTACGATATTTGGAGGGGCAAATATTTGAAAAGGAGGAAGTTTTTCAAAGTCTGGAGCGGGTCAAGGGCACAGTTAAACAAGTGTGCGATATGCGGAAGAATATTAAACCGAGCCAGTTGCCCCACTAGAACGAATCAATGATCAGTGAAGCGACAACAAACATATGTATTATCGCACCGGTTTCTAAAAGTGTGATCATGACCCGTATAGCTTTGCACACGACCTTTGAATGACAATACGAGCGGAAACGAAGGCAAAAGACTGAAGGCCGAAAGACATTGTAGTGTCTAAACTGCTGAAGGTCAAAGAGGAGCACAAAGAGATATAGGCGTGAAAAAATCTGTATTCTGCTAATGTACCCAAATTTTTGACATATCAATGAAGCCTGCTGAGAGCTGAGAAAATACCGCAATACTTGATTTTGTAGAGAGAATTAAAAAATGAATATTTCTTCATGCGCTCAATAAACTTCGGAATTTCGCATTTATTTCGTGGTGCTATGCACTCATTTTTGAAGCAGCGCACTATTACCAAATTTCTACAAGTTACGATTGGGTTTCAAACAAACAGTGCTCGAATTTCACGACCTATTTGACTGCCCCTTGTCAAACGCAAAAAAAATCGACAAAAAAGCCCAAATAGGGCAAACAAATTACATAATGGAAACTTAGTAAAAACACATGGCTACAGAAAGCAATGTCAATAGCAGTCTGAATCATATGCGAACATAGTCAGACGACGAGCAAACCTTCGGAAGTGACCGGAAAGTCTAAGAAGTTGCGATGTCCCTACGCAAAGTGGTCGTCAAGTCGCAGCGTCAGATTACCCAAGTGCTGAGCAAACTTGCTCGGTCAGTCGATGAACTGTGACCACGTGATGCTTATCAAAACGGATTATTTGACCGCTGACATACATTCTTATATGCTGAGCGGCAATGTGAGTTCACAGAGCCATAACAATCCGACATCATGCATTTGCATAAGACACAAGACCCGATTCATCGCACCTCTGCGAGTGATTTGCATACGAAAAGGGTTACCATGTGAAAAAAACTGCCCTTTTCTGAATGTTCAACAATATTTCAGATCGAAACCGATACATAAAAACGTCATATGGATTAATAACAAAAAATCAAAGAAATGTTAGGTTATATTAAGTTATGCGAAGAAGAGGAAGGACAAAGACTGTCAAACTCTATACATGCATTCGGAAACCGATGCTTGTTCAATGATTAGGTTCAAAAAGTTCCAAAAGGTTCATGATTCCATGATTTCGAGATAAAATCATATTGTCATGAAACCAGGTTGAAATAGAGTTTCCTACACGGATGTAAATGTAAGTCTTCATCATATTACAATATGACTATAGGTGAAGAAGCTACTGGGATCTTGGGTATTAAGTAACACACAGCCATGATAATTTAGTGTGGGCAAAGTTAACGTGGTAATCGTTAGATAACTAAAAGTGAACATGAATTTCTTTGATGCTTCCGATGAAGAATCTTTTTTAATGACGCCCAGCTTCCGTTGTTCCCATAGTGAATCAGTAAAATATATGCTTGTAATGCCTAGCAACGCTGCAGACAAAAAGGCAAAAACATTGTACAAGGAGCGGAGACGTAGAACTGTTTCGCTCCGCGAGCATAGATATGTAAATTCGTACGTAAGCACATTGATAGCGGAAAATCTCGGCCAAAATTTCACGCAAAGGTCGTCAAAAAAGGCAAGAAAAATGTGAAACTTTACAGCAGTTAGAACATTTTGCAAAAAAAAAGTACGATTATCTTGACATGTTTTTATTTGACTTTCCCAAAGCTTGTTCATATCAGATGTATACTGACCCGTTTTAGCACTTTTATAGTAGCAAAGGACGGGAGAACACTTGATCGATGGGAAGGACAGAAAAGGCATTGATAGCGGGCGGCAAAAGCACTACTTCTTTTGTCTGTGTCACCGTCTACAATGATATGATGATATCATAATATATAGCACATGATACAGTATACCAATAAATTATTGCGCAGATAAAAGCTATACTGCACCAACGAGTATGCCTATGTCTTCGAAACCAAGAAAATGCCTACGTCTTCAAACCTTCGTGAACCGCCACCGTAGATGCTTTGTGCGATTTAGACTACATACAACCTATGCTTACTATGTACTCAGTCAGACATTTAGCTGAAAAAAAAAGAGCGATTGATCATGAAAATCTAATCTAGATGTTGAATTCCTCATGCCGACTAAAGTACGAAAATGACTCATTCCGCAAATGTCATCCATCAGCTTAGAAGCAGTGGCTCGGCAAAAACCAAAATTTGATACGGAAGGTTGCTTGCATTCCAAACATGAGAACAGAGCAGGAGCGCACAGCATGCTGCCCCCGCCTAGAAAAGTGTCCCTAAACCCGTGCGCGCAACATTCTTAAACGCGCTCGGACGAGCTTGAGATTCCCTTTCAACCGTCAGAGGCGGCATGCCGCAATGCTATAAACACGATGGTCCCGCAACGACTCTACGTCTCTAACCATGACGTGAAGGCTTACACTCGTCCAAAACGATGAGCCTCGGAAAATGCTATTTTTCGCCGTTTTCGCGCTCTTCAAAGTGTATTTTCGGAATCAGCACGTCGAAATACCCCAGGCAAGCGAAAAAACTCCAGGCCGAGCCACCGTCTTTTGCAAGCGGTGAGAATCAGGAGCGGTCGTGGAAAAATAGAAGCTAAGCTGATATAGGCCATTGAAGGCAGTCTTTCACCAAAATTTGGGTCTCGGAATTTTTGCATATTACAAGCTTTCCCAACCCTGTATATCCCTACTGAAGGCTCGGTAGAACTACGCGGACGAGCTGTCCCTACTATTTTACAATTAGCTTCAGCCGCAGGGTCACGCATGTCATGAGGAAGGCATGGCCTGGGAAGACTTGTTGATCCACGATAGGGAAAACCGACAAGTCGTCCACCGTGCGCCACTTGGAGCTCAACTTTCTCAGAGTAAGACAGGAAATCGAACGGGACTTGGACACCAGCCTGGTGAGAGGGTTCCCTAATGTAATGCTTAGAAATCTGGTATACCTCAAATCTGTTGAGATAGTCCCTTCAAAGGAGAATGATTACTTACAAAAGCCATGACGCGTGGAGGAGGAAAAGACATTTAGAGACACAATATGATTTAATAACCGGATACATTGTACTTCTATCACTACCGCCCATGAAACTTTTTTTCGAAGGAGAGATGGAAGAAAATGACGAAAAAGATTGGTTTTTTTTTTGAAAGAGAGATCGACAGGGAGGGGAGGAGAGAGCATAGAAAAACAAAAGGATAGCAACGAAACCCCACCATTTCAAAGCTGATGATCAAAATATGATTATGACGAACAAACTTGTATAGTTCCTTCAGCTTGACGTCGACTACTTTCGCTATTGCGGATGATACCTTAAGACCCAGCTTGTCAGGGATGACACAGCAGGTCATGAACACGTGGAGGAGACACACGAAAACTTGAATGCATGTAGCCTGGATGAATAATGAGAAAATCGTATGGATCATAGCCATTGAATGGCTTTCCACGTGAGTGAGCTGAGGTGATTTGCGTCATTGCACAGACTTACTGAGTGATATTGCATTTATTAGACTGATGCTAAATTAATGCTTGTTCTTTATCCTGAAGCAGCAGAGGGATTATAAAAATGTATAAAATACATCAATCGATAGAGCAAAGCAAATCTACATGGAAATATTCAAATTGCGAAAGGATCGATCTACGTAAAGTTGTAGAAGGCTAAAAAATCTTGTCCTCATTTTAGCCTAATTATTATAATAATTAGGCTAAAATGAGGATTTTAGCAACAAGCATGCAAAGAAGCAGAGATATACGTCCATATTTACTGAATGCTAGAATTATCGACCTAGCTTCAGCGTCTAGAGGGCGATTGTAAAAGCGATGATTATGGCGACAGTTGAACGGATTATTGCAGTGTAAACAGTGCATAAAAGTATTGAATATAATTCAGAAAGTGAATCATAAGAGCGTTTCTACCCGATAAGCGATTGCTGAAATGACTCACTATTGTCATTTCGCTCCGTTCCATCATATTTCGTACCATATAAACACGTGCAATATGAAAAACTCGTTCCAAAAAGCTGACTTTTGACGCATTCAGCTGCGCTCGGGTCTTGCATCACCATGCGCGTTGGTGGTTTACATAATGTAAATGATAGATTCCTGGCCCAATAGAATTGAAACATAACACTTGAAGGGCATCATCTGGCAAAAAGAATTGATAGAATTACAAACTGTGAAGAAATAACCGGGAGCGAGTTGCTATTTTCTCTGACAAATACTGTATGAAAAAATGGAGGAAAGCATCTGTGAACAAAAAAAAAAACTACGGTAAAAAGACTTTAGTCAACGCAACTTCTTTTTGGTTTTCTGTGTACTGAAGACACTAGAACAAAAAGCGGATCTGACCGTAGATGATTTATTGTCTTTATTTTTCAGCGCGAAAACATGTTGCCTAGCCTTCTATACTTAGCACACCATCTTTATGCTCCAGTGAATAAAACATATTGCTAGAAGGACGCTTTGTTTTTATGTGCAAAAGATAAGGTATACACTCAACATTAAAGCTCTTAGCAATCTTCAGATACCTTCAGAATTATAAACCTGTAAATAGCAGACGACAAAATAGATAAAATTGACTTGTCATTGAAAAAAAAGCGCACAAAAACCAATGAACCGTAAAAACCGAACGTAAATAAAGCGCGCTAGTACCATGAATCAGATGTTAACAACTGTAATCACTACTACACCACTCAGGCCAGCTTCGGCAAAAAACTAGTAGGATCGACCTACGAATGATATTGGCCAAGATCCAGCTCTACAGGCCAGCTGCTGTCTGCCAACAATCCGACCCGTGAGAGATGAAGCAATCGAAACAAGGTGCTGATAATGGTCAATATGTTAATTAGTGAGATCCAGAACGATTTTGAGTGAGCACTTCATGAAGGGCAGTGAAGTATGAAGGTCGTTATTAAAAGGTCTCACATACTACAGCGCAAGATCTTGTACGTGTCTTCTCGCAATCAAGCGTCGTGTTTGCAGAAACGAGACATCAAACATTGCGAACAGCGAATTAATTCTCCAAGCATAGACTATATTGTGATGTTCACAAGATTTTCCATCTAGCAAAAAACTGGATAATTCCAGCAAAAGAAAAAAGGAACACAAAAAAGATGATGGCAGAACGGGAATATAAAGATCACTTCATGAGCTAACTGGATGGCCCCGGGCAGACTTCACGCGATTTGATCGTCGCGACTGAATCGCCGACATTTCCATTCATTTTCATCTCACATTCAAAAAGTTCGGGCTGGAAAAGTATCACAACCGAAATGCAAGTTGATCGGCATGGAATGATGTTGTAACAGTTGTCTCGTCGCGATTCAGTCGCGACGATCAAATCGCGTGAAGTCTGCCCGGGGCCGATGAAGAAAACTATAGTTTATTTTGGATTCAATGAGGCGTCAGTATGAATCATAGATCAGAAGCGCGAGCTGCTTATAGTGATGATATCAAAGACAAAGCTAATCGCCTTCAACCGACGTTGGTCAGTTACTATGGATATGGAGAGGGAAAGAAAATTCTCTTGAGTGACCTTGCTTTTTCCATAAATTCTTGAGACATTGGAGGTATTGAAAAGAATGCGGATGACAAAGACCAACACACTTTATGAAAAAACAGCACTTGAACACTAAGGTAGCGGACAGGAACGTTCAAAGGCATTCAAGACCCACAATCTCTCAAACCTGCCTAACAGTCATCACTACCAAGTACGACTTGGATGCCCAACAAAATATCTATGATAAAAGAGCTTCAAACTGTATTAAGATTTTTTGGATCAAAAACAGCTAGAAGATATCATCGATATCTAATGCAGCAATTATTTTGCGACTTACACCGATGTCGCCACCGTTATCAGATATGTTTTCGGATGTTGTTGAATGAATCTGCTGACAAAAAGAGGCAACTTAGACCCAATCAGAAGACGAACCAAAGCCATAAAATGGAATGATCATTTTCAGCACAAAAATATCTGTTTTCGCTGAGTCATATTTCGCAAATCAAGACAGAAGGGCGACATATCGCGTGGTGCATCCAGCACCATTTCTACCCATAACATAAAACTTTGAAGTCAAAAAAATTGGTCAAAATGGGTCTTGATCTAAAAAATTCCAAAATCACTGATGTGATCCACTTCTGTGCTACAATTTTACACGAAACTTTTAAACGCATCCAATTATTGCTATGGAGAGCATAAAAAGCGTGCGGCACTGGTGGCTTAACCTATCAAATGGGTGGTCTGGAGATAACAAGTTCAAGATGGGTGCTGAATTCGGAATTGTTAAAAAGGTGATAATCATACGAACGATAGATTGCCGACAATTCCGGATACATTAAAGCCCAATTTGTAGTTGTTGACCACTAAGTTCATGAGCAGAGCCAATGTCTTTCCTTTCACCTTCTAAAAAAATTTTCTCGCTTCTTACTTCACAATCTGCAGCTGGACTTGGGCGATCACTCAAGTAGTGGCTCGGATTCTCTCGCAGCAAAATCCCATCAACCTCAAGTTTTGTGGATATTGCCTTTAAGCTTTGCTGGAAGTTCGCGCACAGACTATGCTTTCCAAGTTAACTTGGAAAGCGAAGTCTGTGCGCGAAATTTCGCAATCACAGTAAGCCACAATGATATAAATCAGAACGAAAGGTTAGGGACCCGTCATACTTCGCCGAAAAAAGCCCAAAAGCGCCCAAAAAAGCCCAAAAGCGCCAAAAAAAGCCCAAAAGCGCTCAAAGAAGCCCGAAAAAGCCCGAAAGAGCCCAAAAAACCCGAAAGCGCCAGAAAGAGCCGGAATGTAGAAACGAACTTTTGGTAGAATTCTGACATTATCTGACCATGCGGACGACAGAAAACGACAAAAAGGCTCGATTGCGAAGTCAACACACATACCTTAGCGCCAAAACGTGCGAGAAGTGTTCCGGCTCTTTCTGGCGCTTTTGGGCTTTTTCGGGCTTTTTTGGGCTTTTTCGGGCTTCTTTGGGCTTTTTTCGGCGAAGTATGACGGGTCCCTTAGCGTTGCATTTAGCACCGTGCTTTCATCGGGTTGATGTCGTTTAGAACAATTCCTTCACAGTTCTCGTAAAAAGTAGTATTAGTACATAGTAGGACATAAATAACAAAGATCTTTTATATACAAAGAAACATTGTGCCTATTCAAAAAAGGTGAGATAGCGGAAAACCGCGGGCTCTCGCAGCGAACGCCTCTGCAAATCTAGCACCTTTAGATTACTGGTTCACTAGTATTCTATTGAAAAAATCGTAGAAAGCGCGTTAAACCATCATCAAGTTGCCATTTCGATGTTGTAATAGGAGCAAGCGATAGATAATTGAAATGCGGTGATTTTGAGTTAGCAAGTCCTATCAGTGACAATCACGTCATTCCGTCATTCCAGGAAAAAATAACAATTCTAGACAGATTCTCTGGCCATTCCATGATTCATAGGATGTGCACTGCAACGTGGCCATGTTCGGCACGATACCATAAAAGAAATAACATTATTGACGTTTGCTTCGTCTCGGCGAAATGAAAAAGCGATAAACGGCAGGGGTGACGAAGCGAGCAGTTACCGGAACGCCGCGAGTGCACATATTCGCACAAAACTAAGGTCCATCAGATAAGTCAATGAACAAGTTTCTACGGCACCCAAACATGCATATGTAAACCCTCTTACGAACAGCCAAAGTCACAGAGGACTTTTCTGTACCCCTTCATTTTTTGTGCCCAAAACAGACCACTCAAAAAAAATGAATGCGTACCTGCGGAGTTTGCATGCAATTTTGAATCGTATCTGTTTTTTTTTCTCAGTTCTCTCGTGACTTCTCCGCAGTGCGTGTGAGAAAAATCTAGCTGAAGCGTCTGCGCAACGTTTCACTTTGACCAAAGCGTGATTCGTAGTTATAGAAACTCTGAGGCTGTGTCTCTCCACCAAGACACGCCTGGATCTAAAAGCCGCATTCGTGCCTAGTTTTCCAAATAAGAATATATGAAAACCAAGGCTGAATAACTGCCAAGACATGACCTTTCAAAAAAAATACGCAGAGATACCCGCCTGTTGATATTTTACTGGAAAAGCAAATTCGTTAGCTTGTCAGGAATGGCCCCTATACTGGGACTTGAAGAAGGGGTTACCCTCACACATATGATTTGCAATGGCACCATGGTTGGCAGCTTCTTTTTCAAGAGTTGTAGGCACAGTACTAATGGGGCCTCGTCAAAGATTATTGGGTTTAGTTTTTGACTGGTTCACAACGTTCCTCAAATCAGATTCAACAGTGTGCTGGCATCTGATTAAAGGACGGGGTTGAGCTACAAACATCATAAGCCCTTCCGAGCGCAACCGTTCTTCATTAGATCGAAAAAAGTATTCTGCAGAATGCGAGTCAACATAATGAGTTGAATATCTGACACTACTTTCTCGCAATTTAACGTATGTGAAACAATTTCCATTACATGACATTAAAGGAAGGAGCATACAAATACGAATCAACTCTTTCCTAGTCCTAGGATGTAGCGAGACGCGCGCCCAAAAATCTTACCTAGCTCGATCCTACGTTTCGTTGAGCTCTTTTCCTCCTTGTTTGCAGCAATAGTGTGCGACTCGATGAAGATTCCTGCAAAAAAAGATGGTATTTAAGATATTTTCAGGTATTTGAACGAAGTGACAATACGTAGCGAACATATCATATTCGCCAAAAATCTTATAATGGTGGAGAAGTGAAGTGGAGAAGTATCTTGTAATGGTGGAGAAGTACAGAATACGCAAGACATATTCCGTTATGAGCAAGAAAATAATTCGGTTTCTAACCGCATTTCAATAAAACAAAACATGAAATTGATGAATCATAGAATATTTATTCTTATTATTACGCAATTTCTGGATGAGACGAAAGAAAACTCGTATGATAACTCAACACTCGGACACATCGTCGAGCAATCCATAAATATATACACAATAGAATTTTTAATTGTTAGAACATGCATGAAAGATGATATCACAGTCATCAGCCTAACATCGGGAAGGCGACCATGAAGTATAGTTCCGGGCAAAAACAATGCAGAGTACTTGATAATAGTCATGTCTTATAAAAGATTGTATGCTCCCGCCATTGCAAAAAAAAATGGCTACTTCAGTCGAAAAAGATTGAACGTAGGAAAATGAAACATAAGGAAGAGCATTGGAGTAAAATCTGTGTAGAACTTTAGTTATGAGTCGTGGCGACTACTACCTCGTACTCGTAACTAAGGGTTTCCACCCATCCATTGAGACTGGAGCGAATGTGAAGACAATTTGCTGGATGCTGATGCAAACTCTTTCGTTTAAGTAAGTGCACCAAAACAAACAGAACAATGAAGTAATAAATTAACGACTATATAAGAGATACTCCGCAACAACAATGAAGAAGAAAGGCAAGAGTGTAAAATTAGAAATAAATGCCGAGTCGTACTAGAAAGCACAACTACCGTAACAACAAACCCTTCTGTTTCCTTCCTGGCACATCACAACTGCAATCGCTCAGCAAGACCTGGGCGCTTCTCCTTCGCAAGTTTTATATGCTGCAGTGTCATTGCGAAGTGCTTCTCTAAGGCATCTGCTTCGGCACTGACATCAAGCTGGACAGCATTGTCTTTCGTTCGAGATATCAGTTCTTCCAGCATCTCTTCAGTCACCTAAAAACTTTGGTTATTAGATCCCCACATCGTTCCTACATTGTTCATGCAGCTTTAAACAATGTTCATGCAAATTTGCACATATTCACTCCTGTTTTGTATAAGTCTGAACAAAACCGTCAAAGATTACCTCAAGGCAATTATCTTCATAGTAGTATAACAGCGTATTTATGATCTGTATAAAGAGCTGCTGTTGAACGATTGGTTCCAAACACTGTGTAGCAATCTGAAAAGAAACCTTTGACTCCGACTTTTTTCTTTTGAAGTAAATGAGGTTCATATTCAGAGAACTGATACCATGTCAAGAATTTGATGTAATTCCCAAGACTCACCTTTGCAGCCTTCTTCATGATCTCCACAATTTTGTCCCCGTTTCTCATAGGCCCAACATTGTCAGCTGTCACACCTTTCCAGTACAAAGCTGCTACAGTGCAGAGGGTGCGAACTTGATCTGCCTAAATTTATAGTCGAAATAACAATCCCAGATGATAGCTCACATACCTTTTTGAAAATTTTGGCTGAAGCAGCAACCACAATCTGTCCAGCTAAAGTGTGCCAGCTTTCTGATGGAAGATTACGGATTTCCAACATGGTGCCAGTTATTAGTGCCATTGCATTTATCCGCTCGCGTGACTCCGCAATTTCATCTTCGAACACGGACATAGCCTATAATACAAATGCAGCTTGCCAAGAAATTGAGCGGATAAGAGCTTGATAGCAACTTTGACATCAACACAGATTACGCGCTAATAAACACTCTAAACTTCGAGATATGAAGAATACATAATATTTTGCGGACCTGTCTTCCCTTTTGGCTCAACTTACCAACAATTAAACGCGAACAGTGATCGAAATCATTTTCCTACGTTTCACATTTTTGAATCAGTTCTACTCTCATTCTACGGTCACTCGAATCGTATTACCGCTACGATGAAGAAAAAACCCGTAATAAACAGATAGCGGCAGCCTATCCATCAAAAAAAAGTCACCTTGGAAATAAACTCGTACACCACGGATGCTGCATCAGGCATTGGGACTTTGTCCGCGACCATTGCTCCCTAAATGGTATATAATCATGCATGTACATCAATTGTCTTATACTACGCCACTGGTCAATAGCTTCAGCACTATCGATATACTGTGAACTACAACGAGAGTCACATGCGATCTGGAACTACGTCATTCAGGGCGAGACACCCAGAATCCACTAACGCATAAGCATTCTCAATAACGAATTTCTTCCATATGGCTGATCTTCGCACTCACTGTCATGAAAAGGGTCTGCATATCAAGACAGAGAAATATAGAGGACGGCGAGTTGTACGTGTTGCTAAGTTAGCTACAAGAAAAATGATCTAGGCATCAAGGAAATCAAAGAATTTATGCAATGGTTAGAGACTGATAATAAGAAGCGCGGGGACCATACTTGCAGCCGATAACCCATTTCAAGCCATTGAACATGCTCTCGATTAGGTTACAGTGCGTAAGAAAATGAAAAAAATTTTGCAAGTCTAAAACCAATACGGTGGTTAAAACATTGAAAATAATTTTGCAGGTCTAAAACCAATCTTGCATACCTCCAGATATAATTTGAGAGGTAGCTCTGACATCTCTGCGGTAGTTATCAAAGCGCCGATTGTTCCCATTGCACACATAAACATTTTGCGCATTTTCGCCTCCCAATTTTCCTACAAAGGTCAGATATGCAAATACTGCTACTATACAACCACAAAAACATACCTCATCCTTGAGATCCACAAACCGTAGAATCAACTTGTACAGTTCAAAAACAATAGGTGCAAGGGTGTACCTGATACGAACTTTTCCGCCAGCTCCCAAAATCTTTCTCGCATTATTTAGTAACTGAAAGCATCCACATGAATAACAGAGTTGAATGAAGCAAGATTATAATGCAAATTTGCGAACTCAAACTGACCAAAAACTGTTCATCTGGGGTGTCAGCTTGTATGAGGTGGACCAGCCGTGCTACTAGCTGTTGCTCGTCTTCGAAGTCTTCGTTCTCCTGCAAAATTGAGAGTAAAAGATGATATAGCAGAACGTCTATTTAGCTTCTGCTTACCGTTGCATTTGCAGGTTGATCCTGTTGGTCAACAAGTACCGAATGCAGAACTGCACACATGACTGCAACATTTTCCTCGGATCGCATCAAAGTTCCATGCTCCAGCATATTCTACGGAAAATAAGATTATGTAGCTGCAGCGGTACCGATATAATCGTATTTCCACCTGGATAATATACGAGGAAGCCATGCAGCGCCCACGATAGTTGAAAGTCTCCATGACTGGTACAAATTCTGTGAGTTCTGCTACTTTCAAAGCGTTGTTATATTCATCGACTGGCAGTCGTAGTAACTTCATTAATTCACGTCCTACGGCGTCAAATGGTTCGATACTGAAACTTTGAACTCACACAAACACAGCTGACAATTAGAAAATGTAATGGTGATGTTTGGAGGTACAGTGAAAGAATTGAGTTTTATACTCACGCTGTTTTCTTCTTCTCCTCGAGTATGCACTTGAGGCTTCCAAAGGATGTGTTAGCAAATTCAGGTCGCTCAGGATAGCATTTGATGGCCAAGCTAACCAGCGCAGCCTGAAGAGAACCGGCAAAGAAAATGCAGCATTTGAATGGCTTGGGCCAAATCTTACGTATAAAGAGACGGTATCTTCTAGTGGCATGTCAGGTCGGTTTTTCACAAGATTTTTGGCTTGCTCGGAGAAAATGTCAAATAAGTGTATCTAAATGAGGCTTAGATCAGTAGAACATGAACAACTTCACATCTACCAAATGCCACTCAAGTAGCAGAATGAATGTATATGTAACGCCAACCTCTGCAGGTATTCCTTTGCCTTCTGGATTTGCAGCGAAATGTGCAAGCCTTTCGATCAAAGCGATCAGAATATTTTTGACATTAACTTCCTGTACAAATTCGCTATCACACTGAGAACGAAATGAGCGATAGGCTAAAATGCTTACCGGTACCAAGTCACCGCATGCCCGCAAAAATTCGCCCAAAGTCGCTAAATGGAAGTCGTCACCGAAAACTTGAATGACACATTCCATGAGGTACTCCTGAACAAAGTTGGGAGATGAAAAAGCGATAAACACTAAAACAAACAAAAAGTGCAGAGACTAATAAAAAAATAAAGTACTACAGAAATGAAGAACCTGCGATATGTGATCCCGACAAGACACTACTTGCTCCAGTATACTTGGCAGAACTTCCTTGACGTACATTTCCTCCGTGAGGTTCTCCAGCTGAGAAAGACGAACGAGATTTGTTCCCACCAGTATTCTGAAAAGCGATTGGATTCATTGTTTTTTAGAACAGCCGTAGAGATGTTGTCCAGAAAAATTGGGAGCACATCATTTCCGATTCCAAAACTTTCTCGTGTCCCAACATTATTAATAACGATTGTGTCTATGTTTCGACTGCCGAAGTTTGTAGTGGCAGTACACACATTGAAATCACATTTCTGCCATAGTAAATGAACAAACAAAAGCTACACCCAAATGGAACTTCGGGAAACACTTGACGAGATCATCTGACTAATTTTGGCCATGGATTTTGCATCATTTCACCTCTGATGTCTCAGTAGATTCAAGGCTGCCCTTTATAGCTCGCGAAGGACACTTTAAGGCAATTCACTTCTCAAGTTCAGAAAGCACTACCGCTCTGTGAACGTGAGAAGTAGTATGGACGTGGAACGCTTGGCTAACCAGCTGCTGCTACCCGTATGAGTGGAAAACTCGACAGTGCGATAGGGTGACTGACTGCTACAGCGCACCATTCAATCGCCATTTCCGAGAATCTACGAAAGCTTCATGTAAACTATACTTCGATAGGAATTCGTGAATCTGTTATCACGTGACTTCACGCTACACAAAAATGTAAAACACCAATAAGTGACAAAGCATAAACAGGAACTTACCGTAATTCCATCCTATCCTTCTCTCTTTTCTCTCGCTCTCTGGAAGGACCTTGATGTTGCATCCGAACCCAAAGTTTGTTCATCTCTGCGAAATTCACCAGAACAAAATGCACTGCATCTGTGACATTCCCGTCGCATTCACGGGGTTCTTTGTCAGATTCTGGCAAGTCATTCACTCTGAAATGTTGGTACAAAATTTACAGAAAACTGCGCTATTGAAGAAAACACGAAAATCGATTCAGCACATCCTTGGTTTAGGCATAAATCACAGCCCATCTCATTCAAGACAGATAGTGTTTTTCCGAAGCAAAAAAAAGTCAGCCTTGACAGTGAAAAGAGCTAAAAACAGCAAGATCTGATCGACACCGTTCACTACTTGTAACTATTGTCAATTACAGAACGAGGGTTTTTCAATAGCAAGCAAAATGACTCACTCTGTCATGGATAGATCGGGGTTATCCGGAAGTAATGTCCTGGTGCTCTGCAGCAGATAGTTTCTCAGGAACAAACCACGTAGTGGATGCTGTACACCGCGGCACATTTCAACAAGGTCACTAAGGATATTGCGACGGGTATCTTCGCCACATTTGATGTAGACTACACCGATTGTGATGAGTAAATATCTGCAATTACCAGATAAAAGAAAATTAGAGACTACTGGAGAGTAACTCACAATCTTGGAACTATTGCACCAGCATATTGCACACATTCATAGAGATTTTCGATTTTAGTTTTGTCTCGTTCGTGTTCATCAACCAAGAAAGACTCGAGGTGCTGAAGTTCACTGACTGCATCCATATCTTAATAAAACGACATTTTTGATTTCAGTGAGCCGGCCACTCAATCGACAAATTCCGGATCTAATGGATTCAGTATATTCATTGTTTTCACATGGAAAGCTTTGTCTATGACAAGGATGCTAGAGATAACACCTATAAAAGCATCATCTTTGAAACTTTCACGCGCAAGAAATGCCCATACTTTGATTGGGGTGTATGCCAAGAGGCGCGTTTTTTATTGCCAGCTGGACATCAGATTGCATACTTTAGTGTTTAATAATGTTCTAGGGGCCTTTTAAATTCCTGAGAGATTATACAAGATCGTTACATAGGGTTTCTGATCCTATCGTCTCAAAAAAGATCCAAAACGGAAGCACTGGAGGTCAAAATTCATGAAAACGCAAATAATGGCAATTTCGTAAATATTTCGCTCATTTTTGCACCAAAAGCCGTGAAACTTGGAAGATGGTAACTTCGAGCATCTAGTGAGCTAACAGACTTTGTCTGGAATTTTTTGAAAATTCGCGTAGTACAGAAATGGATTCTAAGTTGGTGACAGCCAGAAAAATCGCGCCTCTTGACCGTCTCCCCTTTGGGGTGACTGATTGCTATGTCTATATAAATTAATTAATAACTCCTCACTGATTTGAAGAACTTTGTATAGATTTACCTAAATCATTCTGGTGAAGCTCAGACTAAACTCCGACGTGCTAGATAGTGCAGAAAATACAGAAGCATACATCTGCTCCACTTTCTCTGTCCCACATTTTAGGCAGGGGTAACAAGAGGTAAACAATGAAAGAACTCACATAGTCTGTAGTAAAATTTAGGTGACAAATCACTAGTTTTTAGTTCGCTCAGAAATTGTGAAGCATGCTTCAGCGCATCCATGGTCTCACCCTATAACAAAAATTGAAGTCTAGATCAGAAAGTAGAAAGAAATCCTCACTTTGTCCAAACACCGTTTCATTTCCAGAGACTCTGCCCTGACAACCCGTACGGCGTTTTCTAAGAGCTTTTCCTGCTCCGAATTCACGGTAGTGTCGTTCTTCATCTGCAATTTTGAATTGGTAAACCCGCCTACCAGATCAAAACAGATCACATCTGCTGCCCGAAAGACTGTCCTATCAGAGTATTTATCAAGAGGAAGAACATTTGAACTCTACACTTCAACTAGAAAAAATTTAGAACAACCAAAGCTTCAATAAAATCGTGCTTGGACTACTGCCAGGCCTAATCGCCGCGAAGCGGCCGCACGTCGCGGCTCTCCATATAGCGCGCTAGACAAGGATAAGTGGAGTGCGAAATGGCTAGAGTTGTACAGAGAACGGTTGTGTGAGTTCCTTCAAGTTTTCTTCGTGCTGAGGATATATTAGAATAAGGAATTCTATCGTGGCTCAGATTTTGATGGGTATGAAGGGTGGTGTAGGAAGTACCGAAGTCCTTCCACCAGCATCCAAAGAGGATATCATCCATTCCGGGGTTATTCAAGAACTCTTTGCATAAAAATTACAGGCTTTGCAGATCGCTTCAACTCTAGAGGCACACATCAGACAACGGCTGCTTCGTCGCGCACACCGCACTCAGACTTTATAGCCCCAAACTCTTCGCTGTTTAACGTTTTTGCAAATACATGGGAGGGGGTAGGGGTAGATATCATCTATTCTGATAGCAACCTGAGATCACTTTGCTCATTGCCTGAAGCAGCTTCCTAAATAAGATATACCACATAAAGTTGCTAACTGTAGACAGTTGATCGCACGCAAGGACTGAAAGCCTTTGCATCTGACGGAAATAGTATGTACTAGTAAAAACATACAATTGCAAAGATACAAATGCGTTTGCCGAGAGACGCCGATAGCCTCCGCAAATGCGCTCTGCCTCTACATGTGCTGAATCGCCTATTCACGAGCAAGCTTGTTTAGACAACATTTACGGAGTGGTCTCGAGTCTCCTAGTCTCAGAAGGAAGACATGACTCTATGCCATAAGTAGCGCTTCGCCAGGAGTGCTCGCTCTTGTACTAAGACATCGAATGGCTGTTTTACTGCGGAAAAAAATTGCACTGATTTTGTCTCCCGGTCGTTCCTCCCCCCCCCCCCCTTCCTTCTCTCCCCCTCCCTCCCCATCGTGACAGTCATGTAGGCTGCAGCTGCTGCTCACGTCACGCCAACACAATTTCACCGGATTCCCTTCTACGCTTCCTGAAGCCTTAAATCTCGCCACTCTTTTTTTAGAGGTAAGTTGGGTTTTTACCTAGGCATTACTCTTTGATTCAACTGGACTCGCGGCTAGAAGGCAGGGCTTCGTGACCTCACTGAAGCTAGAGAATAATCAGGGAGCACTTTCGCGAAAGAGACGCAGACTGCGACGGGGGCGCGAGTGGTCGCCTTCCAGCCGCCAATCTCGTTGAATCAAAGGGTATATTCTTGAAATCAGAAAACGGCAGCTTTGAGATTTTCTCCTTTCTCATTTCATTGTAAGCTCCGATCAGATATAAATCGTTTCATTAAGTACTCAATTGTCTTCGACACAATTTAGATCTCGTGACAGTGAGCGTGCCGACGTTTTTGTCGCTGTGCCTTCTACATCCTCCAGACTTTCCGAGATCATCAGCCAACGCCCGAAGCGTCAGAGTCCTCTTATCTTCACGAGCACACTCAAAAATTAAGCGCAGAATGTTCAATTTTTCACATTGTTTCATCGCAGCTACTCGCTACTTTTTCCTATAATTACACTTTTCAAAACCATGGTTCACCCTTATTACCCCACTATCATTCACAAGTATTTTTCTTAAAGTCTCACGATAACTGATAGCCGCAAATTGCCTTTGGCGATCCCTTTCGATCATTGAGCATGGGACAACTATTCAGACAAGAATAAGGTTTTTGTTGATCCACTCACGGCCTAACGTTTCGATGCCTTCGCCTTCCTCAGAGAACTCACAAGGAGAGGATACTTAGTCGAAAGCACCAATCCAGATGAGACACATATATTCTTGAAGCGCTTGAAACGCTGATTCCAATTCTGTAGTTTTTAGGCAGCTGAGCGGTTTTGTAGAAGGAGTTATGAGGAGTGTTTCCTTTTGGGGTTGGGGCGCCCTCTAGCAGGTCTCCCCTTATCTATGAGCACTGTAGAGGAGTACCAACTGGTGGCAAGTGACCTAGTGGTAAGTGCCTCGATTGATAAAGAGAGTGTCAAGGTTTTAATCCCATTCGCATGCAACTTTATCACAATTCTTGAGCTTTTGAATGGCTTTACAGCCCTAAAGCTTGAAATTTTGGATGATATTGATGCTAATTAAAGTTGGAAGTGTTAAAAAAATCAAATTAAAACGAGTATTATAATCCTTAAAGGCACCGTCCACCCTAAGTTGACGGTGTTGAGCTTTCGGCAGCATGTAATAGTAGGGCCCCCTATCAACCCAATGCCTAAGTCGCGGTGCAAAATGCCGCTTCAGAAGCGAGAAAACCGCTTCGGAAGAGCGAAGATGCACGAGGACCCCCATCCATGCCCGCCCATTTCTGCGCGCCCATCCGATCACCGTTCCGGAAGCCGGCCTGTGGGTTCTCTGGAACGGAGATTGTCGGGGTTTTCGCGCATTCTCGACTTCATATTCGGAATCAGAGACATGAGAAGACCCTGAAACGACAGAAACGTGGAGGTCGAAAATCTGGATGGACGGTGCCTTTAATGTGATCTTCATCCAAATTACTTACCACTAGCCAGTTGCTACCAGTTGGTACCAGTAGGGTAAGGGGAGACCTGCTGGAGGGCGCCTCAACCTCAAAGGGAAACATCCCTCATAACTCCTTCTACAAAACCACTGCGCTGCTATATACTACAAATTTGGAATCAGCGTTTTAAGCGCTTTAAGATGATATGTGTCTCATCTGGATTGGTGCTTTCGACTAAGTATCCTCCCCTTGTCAGGTCTTTCTCTGGTACAAAACGTCGTCCGTGGCTTCAAGCATGGGACACCTCTCCTAGTCAAGACCCGGCATAAGTTCGTTCCCTTGACTCTCGCGAAATTTTGCGAAGTTCACTTTGACTCCCAGCCCTAAGTATAAGAAAAACCGCTAAAAAACGTAACGTCGACTAAGGAACGTGGCAATTTTTGGTCATAAAAACGATATCCCTGTGTTTATTCGCCCCAAGAACGAAGTTCAGCCTGCTTCGATCTGTGCCGGGCCCTGCTCCTAGTTTTGCTGATTCTCGACCTTCCCTCAGCGTTTCTACCATAGAAATGACAGAAGGTAAACATACCGAGAGACACGCTATTTACGGTATTCCGCATCTAAAATGATGGTCATGGAAGGAGGAATAGACTATATTATAAGTGGATATCGAATGTGATCTGCAGACCGCATAACGATATGAGCGAAAGGAAAACGGATGTTATTATTGACAAGCCAATTTGCTGTTCATTTCTAGACATTTTACAAATATCCAGAAAGCCTCCAATGCTTTCTTAGCCGAGGTCTACTTCTCACAAATCAAGATTTTACATCCGAAGTCATTTCCATTATGCGACTCGCTTCTGTGCCGCCTGAAGCTGAGGGGAAAGCAGGGCAGATAAAAGACGTGAAACATGTTCTTTATCTTTAGGCAGGCAAAGCGAGTCGCCTAATGGAGATGATTTCGATATAAGGGGTAAAATCTTAATTGAGAAGGAGAAATAAGCGGCTAGGAAGGCATGGAGGCCCTGAATACCTGCAAGGAGTCCAAAAATAAACGGTAAAGAGTGCTGGTCAATAAGGTTCGATTTCCTTGCGCTCATATCGTTATGCGGTCGGTAGATCACATTCGATATCTACTTGACAATTTCAGCATGCTACAAAGATGATACCGAGATTGGAAGCCACCCCTGGGGGGGGGGGGGAGAAGGAGGCGCTCAACCTTTCCCGCGAATGGATGGCGCATTTGGAAGTTACATGAGTTATACGAAAGTGCAAATGACTCGTTTATAACTGAATGGTAAAATCTCTTGTTATTTTTCTCCTGAATCGCTACGCCAAACGTATATTCCTGTTCCAGTACCTAATGATAATGCAATGTTTCACTTCACTGTGAGCAATATTTGCTCTATGTGTTTAACGGCGGAGCGACACAACACAAAATGAATAATTTATCGAATGTACAGCAAAGTATAATAATTTGAAACTTTACGATCACTATGGACACATACAATAAGTAATCGAGAAGTAGGGAGCCATCGTAAGCTACAACTTCGATTGTTCCCGTAGAGCTTTCTTGCAAATTGAGTTCATATCGTTCAATGCGCGATCCAATTCCTTGGCGAAGCTAAATTCAACAGATGTTAAAGGGATGGGAACGGCTAATGAGGCTGAAGTTGGTCGTAAACGAAGAACGTAAGCTGTCTTTATGTGAATTGAATTGTTCACTTTTTTTATCTCTCCCTGAGTGGATCCGCAAAATTGAGGCAAGTGATCTACATGGCTCAGAAACAGGGCTCGGCACGAGCTGGCACAAGGAAATTTTCAAAACGAAGTCCCCTTTGACTTTCCCAAAAATTTACGAAGTCCCCTTTGATCCTCAACGATATCTCCTCTAAAAACCTGAAAAATTCCCCAAAATCCCTCCAAAAAGGAAACGTCGACTGAGAAAAAGGTCGCCAATTTTTGACGTGTCTTCCCCCACAAAAACGAAACCCCCTTTGCTTTTTGCCCCAAAACTCCAGCTTGCCCCGTGCCAGCTGGTGCCAGGCCTTGCTCAGAAACCATGCAGAAGACTTGCTTTCATTCGCAATTTGGGGATGATTTTGCAAAATTTTGAATCACATCAGCCTTCTATAAATATGGGAGGGGCTTTGGATATTTGAGCTTTTCAAAGGAAGTACAGCGTGGTAACGTCATGCCTTTATGCAAGGAAAAATTTTTTTCAGCACCTTCCCCTTTCCGCTCGCCAAGCTTTCGGCTACAAAAGAAGAGCGTGGGATCAGAGTCAGTGAGTTTATGCAAAATATAACGATCATTCAATTACCGTTTAGCACTTGTCGAGCCGCAGCTCCTATAGCTGGTGATAGCAAAATGCAATTCTTTTTCTTGCGGATTGTAGCAAACACCGTAGCAATCGGGGGCTGATGGACCGAAGAAAAGCTGGATTAAATGGCGAGTGGGTACCTAAACTTCAAGGTTTAAAAAGGTTGAGTAGTGGAAGAATGTCTACCTGACTGGTTGACACTTGGAAGTGAGACAAGTGCTCATAAGCGGAGGTTTGTAAAATACTTGGCTTAGGCAACCCATTCTCTGCTGCCAAAAGGTTCCATGCCAACAGATGCCGATCCATTCCTGCACCGTCCATACATTCTTTCTGCAAAATTCTCGTATTACCTTCACTTTCTATCAAAGCACAGCTAACACCCTTAAAATATTGTCATACTTCTACTGCTATCTTGGGAACCTTTCCGGTTCACCGATGGAGCTTTTTTGTGCCTTCAAATAATCACAAGAAAGCATCCAGTAGTATGCCTGTCAAGGTCACTTGAGGCTTTACTCGCAAAAAAGGTGATAGTTTTTATGGTAGAGTTACGTCATCCAAAAATCCAGAGTTGGTATTTTCGATATTCATCTAAGGATCGTTCGACATGTTGGCATAAATATAAAATCTCTTTAAGATATTACAACATTATCACGGTGAAAATGTTAAGAATTACTGGACAAAGTCTAGAATCAAAATAGCCATCAGTAGCAGAAAATCCGTAGCCGATGAAACTATCGATAATCAAGGTACCGCAAATTTTCACCGAGATCATACATGCTAGTTTTTTGTGGAAGTCGCAACATAAGCAGAGTGATACTGTACTTGCCAATTCTTTACGATGCACCTGGGGTCTTCGCGGCTCTCATTTCAAAACATCTGAATGTAAGAAAAATGGCTCAATGGCACTTGCAATTTCTTGGGTTTCGCAAGATTTGCTGGAGAGCTTCTACTACATAACGGCAAAATTTGTCTCATTGTCACTCCAATAGCTCCATCACAAACCTCCAAAGCCTTTTCTGTCATCAAGCACCGAAAGATGAGTACAATATCTTGATAGTAGAAGATTAGAATTTGACATGATATTCAAGAGCACTGCCATTTGCGATGAAAGCGGATGAAAACAAGATTTCTTTCTTAAGCTGACACGGTCAGCTTAAGAAAGAAATCTTGTTTTCATCCGCTTTATAATCTTTTAAAATCTTATAAAACATCTACCAGAGTTAGTTACAAACAACAGCTCACGGTCCCATCGTGAGCTGTTGTTTGTAACTAACTCTGGTAGATGTTTTATAAGATTTTCATAGGATACTTTTTAAAGCTAAAGAAAAGAAAACTCACAACGTAATGTTTATGTGAGTCTGTTGCTGCTTTCAGAGCTTTGAAAAGCTCACCAACTTTCTCTCGACCAGATGCCATCTGAAAACGATATATTACTGTACAACTGATTTGTGCGAAAATAGGTGAGTAGCAGAGTGTAAGCCTACATCAAAAACTGCTTTTCACAAAAGATGATCATTCCCAACTGCTAAACAGTGTATCACAATCCTTTTCAAAATCCCTAGATAAGCAAAGTTTTGGTACTCGTTTGAAGTGCACCCTTCTCATTATCGAACAGTTCTATCAATCGAAGCGATGTGAAGGCCATCAATCATAAACATGCATCATCGCTAAGAACTCACGAGAATTACCATCCCATACAAACAGTAATGGTAATTTACAAGAAAATATATATCTAACGTAAGTAGCAGGCAAAAAAGAGATTTTTGAAGAAATCTATATCCACTGGTAAAAAGCAATGCAGGGAGCGGTTTTGCCCACATATGTTATAAAATTGTTCATTTAATTGGTAGTACCTACTTGTAAATGATAAAATAATTCTCAAATTTTTCAAGCATTCCGATTAGCTTTGCAAAATGCCCAGTCCGTTCCTGGATCGCCACTGTTATCAATTTACAAAATTATCCCATTTATAAGGCAGAATTAATATTATATAAAGACCTTTCACTTATTTCTGCAACCCACAGTCTCATCTAATATTGAGAGTGCTTGATTAGTCTAAAAAATTACTTCATCTTTTCCTTGCCTCTTTTTGTGCCCATGAACTTTTTTCGCGACGTCAAATGCAAGTGAAGTCCTGGATTGAAATTGTAACAGGTATACCTTTTTAACGAAAATATCTGCGAGAACATTTGGTGACCGCGCATTTTCCGTTCGACCTTCTGTGAATTTTCGCAGTGTAGCAGTTTCGTAAGTTGGTGGCACTGAATTATTCAAATGGGTTGGAGAAAGTAAAGATAGAAAACCTAAATAAGAAGCTCTAAAGGGTTTGACTCCCACCTGCTGAGTGGATCCTATAAAACGCCAGTTGGAAAGCAGTTTGAATCCATGAGTCCGGTGACATTTCAAGTGATTTTGGATAATTTTTACCATAACGTTTGAAAGTGTGAGCAGCGACTTCCAAATCGTCAGCAACTCTGTGACGGACGCCTATTTCCAGCAGTGCAACGAACACTTATTACAATCGCTCACTTGTCCATCTTCTTTCCGCTTTTCTCAATTTGGGCTTTTTGTGCATCATTGAGATCAAAATCCAGGCGTTTAGGATGCTCATCGCAGACTTGCGAATCGTCATCGAAATCTTTGGAGTCACTGAAGGATAAGCATACTATCATCTTTGACACTTCTAATTATCTTACAATCTATCACAAATATAATCCATCAACGCTGCAACGGGTGGACCTTCTGCAGGCGTGTGCTCATAGCATAGACCACAATAGCCATTTTTGCCAGCAATTAGCTGTAGGGATGATTTTTTTGACTCATGAAAGAGAAACAATAAAGTTGGACCATACCTGCAGAGTTTTGTCGTACCATCTGTTGCACGAGTTCACTTTTGTGCCGCCTCCATGCATCACCTGCAATACCTTTTTTCTTTTCTATACTAGAAACCAGCTATTTACTTACTGACCTGCCTAGCATGCTCATCTCTCTCCGTGTAACCCTTTTCCGGTTCCGACTCCTGATCCAGGCAAACTACGAATAGAGCATCTTCAATGCATCTGAGATTTGCTGCATTCTGAGAGTGCGCTGAAAAAAAAACTAATGAATATACAGTTACGACTTCCGTTACGTTAGTTCAGTTTTTTTTTGTTGTAGTTTACATGTACATTTTTTTATGGCTGGAAGACTGGAAGGGCTCAGCTTGGTTACGACAGTAATATTGTAGTAGGCCTTTCGAAGAATTTTTGATTTGCTAGATGATGATATATCTACCTCTTTGATATATCTATGATAGAAAGGATCAGTGAAACAGGAACAAAACATTTTTTTGTAAATCTAAAATTAATAAAAAACATGATAAATGTCGTTCGCCAAATACACTAGCTAAAGCACAGAGCGCTTACATTTCGCACTTGGAGTACGGCGCAAATCCAGTTTCTTTCATAATTTCTACTATTCGAGTGCGCAAAGCAAGCTCTACAAGATGACCCCTAAACATCCAATATTCAATCCGTGTAACGTAAGCCAACATTACAAACATTACAAATACAGCAACAATACATACAAATGGCCCATGTGTCAAGTGTTTGCTCAAGTAAGTTAGAGATTTCTATGATTTTTTGGACGGAGGTCAATCTTCAAATTACTCGAGAATTTCAGATTTTGGCTCCGAGCTATATAAGTAGTTGGCCAACGAACGACATGCGTTATTGGTGGAAAATTGTTTTTACGGCTTGCTGGATCAATTTAATCCTTGAAAAATGACGTGGGAGTAGTCTTGGATACTTATTCTGATAAAGCATTTATTTTCGAGAGCTAAGGGGACGCGCGAAGATGTCCGAACAAAAAAATAATATTTATGTCGCCGGTGGCCAAATGCTTCTTTTGCAAGATTTAGACCATAGAACTTTCAAATAATAGTTTGCGAACCCCAGATTTTGAAAAATAACATTAATGCGCACTGCTTAAAACAACTTGCGACTCGTGAATTTATCCGTTGCGTAAGACACCATATATTAAAAATATTTTGGCGATTTTGTCAAAATTCATGAAGGTTGAGCTGTGCGTGTCAGAAAAAGTTTTTGTTTATATTCGAACACAGAACTTGAGGTATGGAATAGTACAGCAAGTACAGAATATAACTGGAGCGAGCTTCGAAATACATCATGAATTTTTTGAAAAAAAATCATCAACAGAAAAACAGGTAGATGAGTGACGGAAGTGAATGTGAAGAGAAGGTTTAGGAAAGGCATACCTTCAAGCTGCTTGTAAATCTCTGCCCATCGATCACGTTTGTCCGACGATACAATGCCAACTGCATGAGAAAGCCTCTCTGGACTCTTCTCAATAATTTCGCGGAACAAAGCCATCAGCGCCGAAATTGACAGAGGTTGACGGGCTTTGTTGAGCACAGGCATTGAAAACACCTACAAAAATCAAATAAATGATAAAAAAGGAAAATATACGCAAAATCAACTTACGTGACCATTGTGGATGACAGCGATGTGTCTTGGTTGATTTTCGTTTGTGAAGCCGTAACGAATCTGAATCTTAGTTTTACCAGAAACCCTTGTTGGAGGAAGGGGCGAGAAGAATTACCTCATCACATCCTTTCCTAGGTATTCGAGTTGTGCCGAACATGTACTTGTACTGACCCATATCGAAGGGAGTCTTGCCAGACATATCTTGAGGAAGCTGGTTCCTGAAAACAAAAGGTTGATTCATTTTTATTGAAAGTTGAAACAGAAGAGAAAAAAGGTTTCCAAAAATGGACCTCACTTCATCACCTTCAGATAGTACTCTGTTGTAGCCTGTGTCATTTGTGCTGCATGTTCAATTTGACTGTCTTTACCCGTGCATGGCAATTGTGGAAATGTGAGACCTCAAAAATGGATGTGGAAGTGGTCCCCAGCTTTCTCGTAAATGGCTTACCCGGTGAAGTAACGACTGGGAGAGGTGTTCGAGCTTGCAGATATGCTACGTTCAACCACCATGGTGTTAACTAAAGTGGACACTTTTCTTTGAATTTAGCAAGAAGTGATGGTCCATACCCAATTATTTAGTTTAGTTGCTCGCTGTTCAAGCAACTTCTGTAATGTAGGAAGTTCGTTCTGCACAAAATCCTTGACTACCTGGAAAAAATTCATAATCAGCCACAAGATGTTTTGTGAAAATATGTTACCGATTTAGTATGCTCAAATTCCTTCTCGGTTTGAAGTGGTTTGGCAAATTGTAGAAAATGTTTTAGAGTATTATGTGGATCTGGTACTGGCAGCTTTGGCAATATGGCATACTTTTGTGCCGTTGAGAAATCTGGAATTGGAATTTGGAAACCTTATCAACTGAACATTGTATTAGAAGAAAACATTAACTTTCATGAGATTTGAACAAATTTCATAGTCGCCTCCTTCTCATGCATTTTATTGACCTTTTCGTCGGGTAAGCGCAAGTTTATAGTATAGAATTAGTAGTTGCTGATTCCTCGATTCAATTTGGCCTTAAAGGCAGCGTCCCACCAGACTGGGGATATCTGGCTCTCGTAATGATGTGATAGTAGACCCCCTACCTAAGCGATGACTGAAGTTCGGAGCGAAAAAGGGGGTCTACCAAGCCTGAAATTTGCTCCGAAAGTGGGCCGAATCTTACGGTAGGGCCGAACGCCGCCCACACGGCAATATCGATTTGCAGGGCCAGAGTGCGTATAGCGCACACATCGCGAGTGCAGGGACCCGCAGCAACTCTGCGTCTCTACCTTGCGTTCACTTCGCACTGGCCCGATCCTACCGTAAGATTCGGCCCACTTTCGGAGCAAATTTCAGACTTGGTAGACCCCCTTTTTCGCTCCGAACTTCAGTCATCGCTTAGGTAGGGGGTCTACTATTACATCAATACGAGAGCCAGGTACCCCCAGTCTGGTGGGACGCTGCCTTTAATCAATCTTACGTCTGAAAACCCCAATTTGTATCAATGGCTCAAGACAAAAATCAAGTCGCTCTGGATACAATATAAGTGATCGCTTCAAGCACAAGTATTTGTTAATAAAAGCTCTTAGAATTTTCTTTATATTTTTCCTTCCTTCACTTCCTTTCGCTACTCTTCTCTTGCAAAAACTTCGAAGAGCAAGGGTTAGATCACCGATAAAAAAATACGTTCTGAACGAACTAAATTAGATTCCAGCGTTATATTCTAAAGCAAGGAAGTTGTTCAGAATGCAGTGAAATTTGAGGTTGAGTATAAGCATACATCTGAACGTTTATGTTCAAAGTGCTGTTTATCTACCATTGAATTGCACACAGACTAAAAAATCCTATACTTCGACCATGTGTAAGATTTTGAGTAACTTTTGAATATGTGGGTTATCTTGTCTTAGTCGAGCCACATAAATCTCTTGAAGAAAAATATCACTTCGAATTTCACCGAAGCCCACCCTCGTGCATGCGGTGATGCCTTCACGCACCCTAATCTATGAAATTGGAGCCCTGACAGATCGCTTCCCGCAGCCAGAGCATTTAATTCTTTTTTCTATGCCATAAAAAGCAATGGATTGAATGATTGAGCTCATCGAGATCTCCTACGGGCTGCAATAGCTCTCTCCTTTCGCTCCACGATGATGGATACGCTGCTCGCATGCCTCAAAAAAAAGAAGGCCAAACGAGTCTTCAGCTGTGCTTCAGAATTCACGATTGACTGACATAAAATGGACTGAAAATTAAACTTGAAATCTGCATAAATCCTCTCATAGTTAACTAGACAAATTGGTTTCCAAGAAATGCTCATTAAAATCTGAGATATGCGCCGCTCCTATTACGGAAAAGTGCTCAGTAATTCTGGGACACCACTGAGTTTGGCTATGAGTGGCTGACATAGTAGGTGGAGCGCTCTCGCGACGCCCGCTAAGCGTTACATCGAGTCAAAAGAACCTTTTTGGCAACTCACATACCCGGTCTAGTTCTTAGCCCCGAAACCGGTTATGTGGAAAATTATTTACTTCAAATCTAACATCATAGATGCATTTCTATTATTTCCTTCAACTGACCACCCACCTTTTTTTGTTTTTTGGCTTAGAAGCAAAGTTGTCCGAGAGCTTAATCGGAGAAAATGGTGGTTAAACGAAGGCAAAACTGTTACTCGAAGAGGTTTTTTGTGCACTCAAATGCCATACGATTAATACGGAGGGTCAATGGTCTTTTTCTGCTCTTTCGCTCACCCCCTGTGCCAACTCTTAGCCATTTAGTTCAACTTTGCAAAAAAAAATCGTAAAATCAACAAAAACATTGATGATTCCAAAAACTACGCTGTAGTCGTAATCGGCTTGCTCACTTACCCCTTCTGTGCCAACTCCCAGCCCCATAGCTCAAACTTTTGAAAAAATCAATAGTTTCATAACATGAAAATTTTGAGACTAAAGTAATTATTCAAAGCGATAGATGGAAGAGATTAGCATGAGATAATAGACTGGCTTCTGACTACTTTTGAGTCAGTTCTCACCGCCTTTCATGGAGCAAAGATGCTTGAAGGATACAAAAAAATCTAGCGCTCAAGAAGTTTCGCATTTTGGAAGATTGCCGATAAGAGAACGAAAAAGACAACGGTCAGTCTCTTTGCTTTATATCGATCGTCAGAATTTCAGTATTCCAAGCTTTACCCCGCATTCATCATTTACCATCCACTTATTAAAATAATATGAGCTTATCTGGGACGTTTCGACTCATCAGATAAGGTAAAGATAAAGCAAGGTGGATCATAAAATGTGTTATATATTGTGTAAGTAAAAATCATATTGATAAACAATCCTTGCATGCAACTGATTTAGTGCCTGAAGTCGTAGATCACAGAAACTCACTTTGTTCTTGGAGTGCAGCTATTTGTGGACGACGCGACGGTATCCCCGATGAAGCTGCCAGCCAGTTGGCAGCAATATCAGGCTGAAATATAGGATTGAAGGCGAATTACACCAGCCATGGGAAAGATTGTTTTCACAAAAAAATTGCTCAAAAATAAGAGGATCTAAGGCACTTTGATAAGTTTCAGCTAAACTTTCTCAGACTCTTCTCGTACAATTTTCGTCAACTTTGAATTCTCAGAAAATGAAATTGAAAGACTGGACCAAAATGCATCTGGTCGCTTCTCTATTTCCGCAGCATTTCTAATTTCAGAAAGGTATAACTAAATCGAGTTTTATGCATGCAAAAAAACTCGATCAGTTTTGTCTTTATTGATTTTTTTTTCTCTGAATCGGTGCTACTATTTATCAGATCAAGTAATTGGTAGTGAGATAAGCAAATCTTAGCTACCCACAGCATCTTTTTAAATTTTCACTACAAACTAGCTTTTGAAAAATCCATCTTTTGTAAGTAACTGGAGGCCACATTGCGCTTTTCAGATTTTTGATGTTAATTTGAAACCAAACTATCGTACCCGTCGTGATGCAGTTGTGACAAGAAGTAATCTTTCAGAGTTCAATGTGGCATACACTGGTTCAGTACGCATGCTTATGACATTCTGTGAGAGCCGTGCCATGCAAGTAGAAGAAGTTTCTTGCAAAAAATCTGTGTTAGTGTCTCTAAAGACATTTCATTTGCGGCTTTCGAACGTGTCATGGGAACAAAGACGATTCCGTTCTTGGAAAAGTCCCCTTCAGCAGATTTCGATGAGCTTGCAAATCTTGCGGGAAGCCTCAGACGACGATAAGTTGTATGATTTTGACATCACTACTGTAATGGCAGTAACCTGACATTATTTTTGAAGGAACTAAAGAGTACAAATATGTTTTTCATGAAAAAATTCTTGGCAACGTTCCGAGAATTGGTTCTAAACGGTTTTAACCATAAAGCCCACTCATGCTAAGCATTGAAAGTATGTCGCTGCTGGAGTTTGGTTTGTGGTCATAGACATCAAGGATCTTCAGTTCGCTATAGCATTTACCTAGATGGTGCAGTGAAAACATGCTACTCTTTATAATGACTTCAGCTCTACCTAATTTGACACACACTTCACAAGTATGCTTTTCTGCAATGCTAAAGACATAGACTTGAGACCCATAAAAACACTTATTACTACTGCTAGTAGCTTGATTGTCCTCTTTTCTTTGAACCTCGGCATTACAATGATGTAGTTCTACTTGTTAGTTGTGCCAGCACGAGGTTTCGGCGAAGCTTTATTAGTAGAGCGGCCTAACGTTTCGAGCAATCTTCGTCTTCAGAGGCCGTGGCTCTACCGCTATCGCACCGATGGTGGTGTGCGACCGCCTTCTCCAATTAGTAGTGCAAGTTTTTGATTTGATTTGAAATTTTTTTGATTTTTTTCACATTTTCCTACTTGCAGTACTAATTCGGAGAAGGCGGTCGCACACCACCATCGGTGCGATAGCGGTAGAGCCACGGCCTCTGAAGACGAGGATTGCTCTAAACGTTAGGCCGCTCTACTAATAAAGCTTCGCCAAAACCTCGTGCTGGCACAATTAACAAGTAGAACTTATTACTACCATAATTATCAAAATATTATTACTTATTTATAGCTCAAGGGGAGAAGCCCTAAAAAATCGCAGTTTTTCAAATCTCGAAGCGAAGCGAGAAAGAAGAGTTGTTTGACTATCATAGTTATTCGGTGAGTCCGAAAGTTCGTGCCGTTTTTTAGACCTATGCTCACATCATTCAGAATAAAGATAGACAAACACTCCAGAAAGTGTGTTCTATGCAGAATTTCTTCCTCTTTCCAGCAGTACTGTTTTGTTTAGATTCCATCAATGCACTTTCGAATAATGGCCACAATCTCCAACCCATGCATTTTGCACCCTAACTTTAGCTATTTTTGAGACTTTCCATTTGAGCTTTTGAAGAAGTTTTAGTAACGGCAATGCTGCAAAATCAAACTTGGCATCAATAGCTGGCTTTTCAATATCTTGAAAACAAGTTTTCAAAAGTCTTCACATTTGCGATTGCATGAAATATGCAAACGCTTCAAACACTATGAAATCTTCGCAAATTGGTACTTCAAAAAATGGATTATGATTGAACACTGATTTTTAAAAGACAATGAGTTTTTACCGTCTCGAAAGATTGATTTCTGAGATTTTCGGGTGCAGCTTGGGACGCATCAAAACTAAAATTATAGCAATTTTTCCACGAGGCCTTAACGAACCAGGAAGGAAAAACATATGTCAAGAACAGGAGAAGGAGCTGCATCGAATGACACCCTTTTGCCATCTGATGTTCTATGAGGATTGGGTTGCCCAAATACGGAAAATAATAGCATCGAAAAAATATTCTCAAAAATTTTAAACCAGCTATCGATGCCAAAAATTTAATTACATTTTGTTTACTGACTGTTAACAAAGTATTTCCAAAAGTCAAGAACGAAAATTAAAGAAATAGCAAAATTTAGGTTAGGTAAAAAGTATTGGTTTGAGATCTTCACGAATATTTGAGACATCAACGAAATCTGAACAAAAACATAACCTTTGGAAAAGGAAGAAATTCTGCATCGAACACTGTATAGATCATATCTATCTTTATTCTGAATGATTTGAGGATAGGTGTAAAAAACGGCACAAACTTTCGGACCCACCTCAAGCAAAATTGATTCATAATGCCAAGATGTAAAAACAGTCAGAATTCCGTATACGTTGTAGCTTCCTACACTATCAACTAAAAATTGTTCGTCTGGTTGCGGAACAAACATAGCACACTTTTTGAAGCATCCCTATCGGGATTTCGGAATGGTCACTTTGCAAAGCTTTTAGCCCACAATGACGGACATAGAAAAAGCACATTTTGACATCGCTCCTTCTGAAGCTCAAAATTTCGCAGGAGCTATTTCAGATAAGAACTTTGGATTATGCTAAAAAGAGCAAAAAAGATTTTGCTAGTGCAAGAGTGAGAAAAACAGAGATAGCCCCGCAAAAATCGCCATCATTTGAGTTATGATCGGATTTCACTGCTATGACTTTCAAAAATTTTGAAAAAATTCATAAGGCGCAAAAGAAGTCTCAGAATTACAAGTGACTTGTTTTTAATTGCGAACTTCAATGATTCGTTAGAATTCATGGAAAATCAAATTAGACTATGAAAATTTGTTTGCTGGATTGGAATAAAAGTAGGCTGCCGCTGCCAATTTATTCCAGAGTTTGGGGTGTAAGTTTGCGTAATTTGGCGAGATACCCCCCCCCCTCACAGTTGACATTTGTAATGGTGAAAACGTACACTTTCAGTACTCCAAATAGCCTACTGCTTGATGGACTCGAAGAGAATTAGATCATTCCCCAAGGACATTCAAAAGTGCAAACCCGGGAACGCGAGGCTATGCAAGCTATTAGTGCATCTATTATTCTCAAGATGTACTCATCTATTTTGAGAAGATCTTGTAAAAACAATAATTATTGATTTTATCGAATCCGCGGCGATTCTCTAAGTGAGGACTGAGGGGCGTATATGCTTCTTCGGTAGCAATTTTCTCGCTTGAAAGGCAATTTTTTGGGACTATGGTTTTTTACATGGGCAGCTCAAATTGTTGAGACTGAGTGCTGCCAAATCTGCTCAGACACTGCCTTTAAACTTTTCGCTCTTTATTTTTCTTTTTGAGGTAAAATGATCTTCGCAAAGTGAGAGCTCCATCAATAAATAGCAATCGAATTGAAAAAGGATAGAAACGCATAAAAATGACGTAGTGTGTCATGATAACAACAAAATTTAGTTGCCTCTGATCAACGCTACGTATTAGCACTGCAACCACGCAGTGGTGGAGATACTATATTAGGTTAGAACGAAAGTTCTGTCGAACAACTTTTTCATAACTTCTGAGTTTCCCAATCAAACTGACTTTTGATTCAACTGGATTGGCTTCTGAAAGGCGGGGTTCCATGACCTAATTGATGCCGCTGGCGCCTGATCATTTTCTAGCCTTAACTAGGTCACGAAGCCCCGCCTTCCAGCCGTCAATCCAGTTGAATTAGAGGGTAACTTGCTTTTATTTTTATTCCAAAAAGTTAATCACGAAATTATCTTTTCATGAAGTATTTTTGCTGCTTTCTAGAAGCAGTAAAAAATTTTTTTTGATTTTCCTGAGTTTGCTCGCAAAAAATCTGAGATTGCAATAAAAATAGGAAAAGTCAGTATTATAGGTTTTATTACCTGCCCTTTCTAATGGACAAACTTTGTGTGACTGAAGGTTTATGAAAAGTTATGATTTCAAGCAATCACTACAAACAGCGAAATTGATTTTTTGGCATTTTTTTTTCGAAAGTTATAACTTTTTGATAAACATCCAATCAGTACAAGTTCTGCTTAGTTAAAAAGAGCGGATAATAAGATCTTTAATACCGATTTCTCCGAGTTTCATTTGCAAGTTGTGGATTTTTTCCGACTAAACAAAAAAGTCAAAATGAGAGCGATTTTTTCTATTGCTTTTAGAAAGTCGCTAAAATACTTTTATGAGAAGCATGTTTTACTCTTCAAAACAGAAATGAAAGCAAATAATTTGGTTAGGAAACTTACGGCTTTTTGAAGATGGTGCATCAGAATTTTCGTTCCATTCTAATATAACAAATGGAATTTCAGTAAGAGCAAGCTCCAGGGAAAAGAATGGATGGCATCGATTACTTTTTGTAGTGTAAATGGAATGGCGTCCTACCGCCTATTACGTTAAAGACAAAACAGAAGAGCTTCAAACAATGAAAACAAGAAAACATGTTGCTTTTTTAGCAAATGAAATAAGAAAACTAACTTTGACCGATTTCATTGATGTACGGCAGCTAGCAATAGGACGGGAACACACAAACCTAGTTGTTATCGACAATCAAGTTCCGATTCGGTCTTATCAATGGGGAACAGTCTAGTTTGATGCCTATACGAGCGTCATAGTCAAAAATTATGATCTACAAAATCAAGCAAAAAACTACTGCCATCGAAAAAAAGAAATGAGAGGTCATGAATTTTTTGGAATAAAAGGCAAAAGATGGACGTCTCTTTGAAAACATTGAGTCTTAATGCATAAGAAATGTTATTTTGGACATTTTATCTCATGAGTCGCTGTAAAGGTGAAAAAAAAATGTTTTTTCAAAGGAGTTTCATGTTAACGGCTTGAATTCTTGGGTGAAGAGCAAGAGTGAATGAAAACGCTTGGTGAATCTTGGCCTCTAATTCCATATGCATACTTCTAAGCGAAATAGACAAAAAATCAAAATAAAAAGTGTTCAACACATCCTTCCAAAAAATCTTCGTTTGTTGAAGGCAATAGTCCAGGAGTAAAGGTCAAGAGTGAACGAAAAGGTCTAGTGATTTTTGGCCTCTAATTCACCATATTTCTGACCGAAAGAGACAAAAATCAAAATAAAAATCTCTATATCATAGATTGTGAATCTCGTCGTGAAGAATACCATATAATCTCCTTTATTACGAAAAAGTTACAAGAAAAAGTCCCAAACCTTACCCTGAATGCAGCAAGACGCCGAGCGAGCATGTTGGGCACTGAGGGCTCCGAGACGTGATATGGAACCGAGGCAGCACGGCTGCCTCAGTGCACTCACTGAAAACAGCAGGGTATTGGACCCATTCTGGCAAATCGTCATTGGAATACATCGACCTGCGGATTCAGTCAGGATGCTGGTTATAGAGTATCAGAAAAACTATCTAGAAAATATCATGAGGCCCTTTAAATCGATAAGGCACAGACGCAGACTGAGGCTCCAGGTTGTTACTGTCCCCTGAGAATTTGTCTAGTCTATGCAATAGGCATTTAGGGGATTAGCGTAAAATGTTCTGCTCAGGAAAAGCTTATGACCATGATCCTATCGGTGTCAGGTCCAGCTGACATGGGTACCACTATTACTCAATTTATGAGCAAAGATAGAAATGGTTTTATTGAAGGCAGTACTCCGGCAAAATCTCATTTCCCAGTTTTCCACCTTTTCGGAGCCTTCTCGCCATGATGAACCATATCTGGGCTTTCCAGCGCATGAAAATGGCGGAAATGAAGTCTTTTCGAAGCTCTCCAGGTCCGCTCTCAGTAGAAAATACTCCTAAGTGGGCGGAGTCCGAAACGACGGAGGCGGAGCGCGGAAGATCTTCGGCGTATTTTTAGTGAATGCGGACCCGTAGAGCTTCAAAAAGAGTTCACTTCCGCCATTTTCATGCGCTGAAAGGCTCAGATATGGGTTTTTCATGGCAAGGAGGCTCCAATAGGTGAAAAACTGAACAACGAAACTTTGCCGAGACGATGCCTTCAAGATTTTTGCCATCATCAACATAGAGAAGAAATTACAGAAACTCGAGAAAGCAATTTGTAGAGAAGAAGCACAAATGTCCTTCTTTATCGTTAATGCTTTGAAAGCATTGCGTACGAAAAATGAGCCCTTCATGGGTTCTCATATGTAGGTGGCCTAGACTGCATGCAAATCCATTAAATTACTGCGAATCAAACGAAGAAATGAAATCTGTGATGCTTTTTTCAAGCCTGCCTTAGCATTTAATACCATCAACAAACTATAGTATCATTTTGGATGACTATGCATTTACTCTTTGAAATAAAGAAAATTTCTTGCATCATTCCTTTGTAAGTCGATCATCACGTGATCAATATGGGCATAAAATATCATTATATTAGGTTGTAACATAACTTTTGTTACACTTTATTCATTTTACGCTGAAATCTAGAAACTATAGCAAAGTCTAATATATGGCACATATGAGTAACAAAGGAGTATTTATTGGCAACATGATCACCTTCCATGTATGGGTTAAGCCTAATATAGTGCTATTTTATGACAGCACTTAACCTCGATTTTTTTCTTTTGTTATAAAAATGCATTCTTGATTTTGATGATGATAGATTTTATGGATTTTCAAAGACATTAGTGCTGATATGAATGCCGGAAGTCTAGGCTTTTCAAAACGCAAGTTGGGAATTTGCCAAAAATAATTTGAGAAAATTCCAAAAATTCAAATGTTGGATTTTTTACGTGTGACATGTATATATTAGGTCGTTCCGAAAGTAATGTCGCTTTTTTCAAATGAACGCCACATTTCGTGGAATCAAGATTTTCAAGAGCTCTTGAGATCAGTCGATGCAGAATTTCATCCTCTTTCTAATGATTGTAATCCCATTGCATAATATGCAATGAGCTCTCAAAAAATTACTAAAACCTGCGACTTATGCTTTTTGTCATGGTCAAGTTCGGCTATTTTTCTATATTTTCGTACTGATTCCCCGAAGATGTGCAAGTCACAAATAAATAGAGCAAACCCTATAGGACACAAAACAATTTTATTCCTCTTCCTTAGCTTGCTTCTTGGAGTTGTAGAACCAATTTTTCAGTGCTATCAAATTCCATATTTGGTCAACTCAGACCTCACAAAACAACAACCGGCAAGCAACTCGAGTGTCATAGATGCAGCTTTTTCTCCTCTTTCTACCAGTTGTTTTTGGTTTCCGATTCACCAAGTTTTCCGGGATGAAATCATCATAATTCAGGTTTTCTAGGGCGCCCCAGGCTGTACCCCAAATTTCCGAAAGTTGCTAATCTGAAGCGGTAAATGCTCATATGCTTTGTAAAATTAGTGTTAAACCATAATCCACCTTTGTAAGTTTCAGAATCCGAAAGTTTATTGGTGTTTGATGCATATGTGTTTGAGACAAGCCTGCAAAAATTCGGTGACTTTATTGAAAAATCCCTACAAAAATTATGACGAGATACGGAGAGCAGCAAAAAACAGCACCGTCTCCTATAGGGTTTGCTCTATCCAACCATTACTTGGACTCCTTCCGGGAATTATTACAAAAAATTAGATAAATTGTGAAACTTGACCTTCCCAAAAAGCATGGGTTGGAGATTTTAGTAATTTTTCAAAAGCTTATCGAGCATTCTGCAGTGGAATTATAGCCGTTGGAAAGAGGATGAAATTCTGCATCGACCGATCCTAAGAACTCTTGAAAATCTTGATTCCACAAAATGTGGCGTTCATTTGAAAAAAGCGACATTACTTTCGGAACGACCTAATATGAAAAGTTACAACATTCACGTAATCTGAAAAAAATTTTTTTGAGAAAGTTATGAAGATATTTTTTCCACTGAGTATGAAAAAAACTTATGTTACAACCTGATAAAAGATAATTATCTTTCGAAAAATTTTATTTGAGCAAGACAAGCTTTGGGGTTGACTTTGTATATGGTTAGTTTCAAATGGTTAGATCAATCAAGAGTTGGGTTCGGAAAAATTAGATTACTAAGTTCTTCCAAAATTTCCAAATTTTCCTAGATACCTGATGCACTGCGTGTACTGTGCAGAAAAAAACCAAAATTTTGAAAAAGCAAAAAGGGTGGTGCTCGAAAGTCGACGAGCTGATACAAATGAGCTAAACAGCTCAAGTACAACGGCTCCACTTCAGAAGTGCATTGCCATCACTCTTCGTCGTCACATGATACTCCACTCGCCCTCGAAATCTTGAAAGAAAGAAAGAAAAAGAGATGAAAACATCGTCACACTCCCTGCTTCTCCAAATAAGTGATCTTTTTATGCTAGGGAAGCTAGGAATTTTGATCCTTTCTGGTACATAGTGGGTGGCTACTAAGCAATATTTTTCCCATAGATATATTTTATTTCATTGGAAAAATAAATGCAGAATACGTAGCATATGACGAATTTTTCTGACATTGAACTCAAGGGTGAACTTTTGGGCAAAGTAACACTTACTCCAACTTTATAGCAGTTTCAGAAAAATTAGGTTAGAGAATGACTGAGTAAACCATATACAGGTTGTCCGTAAAGTATGTATTGTTTGATCGTTAATATCTCTTTTCCCAAGAAGTCTTTTGCCTTGCTTCAGGTACCATTTTGTAGAGCTGGCTTCAACTTAGATTTGCAGTATAGAGCGAATCACCCATCTCTCTTCATTACTGTAGGATTACGGTAGAAACTTGAAACATACGGTGTCAATGTGGAAAAAGCTGCCATTTCGAAATTTTTCAAAAAAATGTGAAAACTTGTGTAATAGGGTTTTTATGGACGCTGAGTTTAATACTCAACTATTTACAAGATTGCGAAGCTTTCTAAACGGTGCAACTGCACTTTTTAGGATCATTGAAATAATGGCCGCTACCTCTTATCTGGTAACTCTTCAATGAAGCATCACAATAACTTGGGAACTTTACAGTTAGAATCAGCAACTCTAATTAGCCTAGTGTAGAAGTTTTCAGGCTGTTTTGTTTCCTTTCCGAGGCAAAATATGGCCTTTCATGGCCCAAAACCCTTTTTCAATTTTCTACCGTAATCCTACAGTAAAGGAGAAAGTTGGGCGATTCGTTCTATACCGTAAATCTAAGTTGAAGCCAGCTCTACAAAATGGTATTTGAAGCAAGGCAATAGACTTCTTGGGAAAAGAGATATTAACGATCAAACAGTGTATACGTACTTTACGGACACCCTGTATTGCAGACTACATATAGGATTACTACCTGCAGTGAATCGAAAGCATAAACTCAGATTCAGCTTATTCTAAAGAACGATTTTATGATGTAGAGACACCGGAAGTAGAAGGATCTAGAATGCAAAGAGCATATTTCAGTCTAGAAGATAATAGATTGTCTTCATTTAGGTTTTACAGCATCAAAACAAATCTCATTCAAAATGTCAAGGAAGTGATATTGCTAAAAAATCACCCAAATCAATTTAGGATTATCAAGAGTTTGTGGAACATTCTTATCCTCTGCTCAAACAAAAGCGAGAAATACGAAATCTATGAGTTATGCAGAGCTAGATTATTTCATCTCCAAAGTTCATACTGAAGATATGCGAGTTATATTTACATAGAAACACCCCGACTTCAGCTAGCCCATACCGTTTATTGGCAAGTTCGCTTAAGCACTGCTGACCAAATATTCTAGAAAGTACGAAGTGTTTAGATGAGCGTTGGAGAATCTCAGCAACATAAAAAAAGCTTGAAAAAAGTGCACACAAAGCAGAAAGATCACATCAGCAGAAAAAAATCACCAGTATATCTACGCATAATCAGACGTTGAATCAGGTGAAATTCTCTGATCCTAAAAGTCGTCCTCAGCGTATTCTCATTGAGAAAGTAAGCTGAGGACGGAAATTTTTGCTTCAGAAAAGATTACTTGAGTAAAAGTACCTTAGCGGATTCTTGCATTAGCGAATAAAGACGAAAGAGTAGATGAGCAAGAATGCCAGCAGAAGGAAGAAAAGCGAAGAAATCTTTCTCATATGAGGAGCCACTGCCGGCTGAGCAACATGTTTACGAAGCCATCCAAGCTTTTCTAAATTTGAAACATCGAGACGTTGTCAAAAATAAGACAGCCTTCGATAAGAAAAAAAGGGAAAAGCAGTTCCATTTGACATCCCTTAAAAGGCGGTTTCTGCATCGACTTGGAATGGCCACCTATTAGTCCAAGGTAAAGCTAAGTTTAGTCAAAACACTAATTTAAATTTTGATTCATTATTTTCGTATTATTTGAAAATCCTGCAATTCTACAATCAAAATTTCATGAATAGTTCAATTTTTGATTAAAACTTCCAAAAATTCGAAACTTGGGCGTAAACAAATTGAAGATGGATGCTGAGGCTTCTCATTATTAACTTTTTCATTCATTTCTATCCACAACAAAAAGCGAGATAGATTCAAATTGTGGACGGGGCAACAAATAGTGAAACTCATTTGGCACGAGCTAGAATATATATTTTATTAGGAAAATTTGAGACCTAAATTTTTTTCCCATCTTTTGAGAGTTTCTACTGATATTACAAACAAGCTAAGCGTGGTTTATATTAGTTTGCTCACTGCTTCTATTCATTTAAGAGCATAGCAACTTGCATCTGATAAACATTGAAACAACAAAACTTATGGTAAAATTTGCTAGTTGATGAATAACCAATAAACATTTATTACATAGGAAGAAGTTTTATAACCATTTCTATTGCGCTGATCCCACGGTTTCTCTTTCGTTCTACTATTTGGATTACTTATTCGAAAAGTGCTATGACCTAATCTCAGCTTCATACAAATCACACGAATTTATGAGAGCACTAGCATAATGTAGTCAACTCTCGAGTGTGGTTTTCACATCTATCACAGTTTCAGCACAACTCAATATTCGATTCATGGAAGAATATCGCTGTTTATAATATGATCTACATGTAGTGAAAATCTCCTTACAAGAAGAATGATTTGCAGGAATTTAACCGATTATGTCATTTGCTAGGTGTCAAAGGTTATAATAAATGTTGCTGAATGACGTCGAGTAATCGCATGACTACGCATCGATCGGAGGGTGAAACCGGTGAAAAAATCGAAAACAACTGGAGGAGGAAGTGTTGATGGCATGGCTTATGTTGTCAATCAAAGTAGGCACACTGAACAGCAAGTAAACAAATGTTTAATTGCGCAGAAATCAAAAAACGATGTTTAGAACTAACGTTTGTTGAGAGCAGTTGAAAATTTCAGTCATTGGGTTGCCCTATAAGTCTCTTTAATTTTTATTACAATAAATCATGTGCTTCTCAATTCTAACTCAATTTCGGGGTAGCATCTGATGGAGCATAGCAAATTCCTAAAGACGGCTTGTAAAAGTTCGCAGAAGCTTCAATTTATCTGATGTCTAAACTCAAATGCTGAAACCTTCTGGATGACAAAAACACGGAAAAAATTCACATGCAAGAAAAACCTAGGATTTTCTTCACGCTCACGCATATACACTCCATATCACACAGCCATATGTACCATCGCTGTGATCTTTCCTCGATTAGAGATCGAGAAAAAATATGTGTACTAGACTTCTGTAGGTACAACATTATTACCATCTTGCTCCATACAAGCTCTAATTTCCAAGAAATATTGATTTTAGCATGAAACAACCGAGTAAGGAAAGCTTATGGTATTTTACGAAAATAACCCTTGCTCAGACAATTATTGCGAGCACCCGCGGCCCCTAACGGTGCCTTTCGGCGGTGCGCGGGCGTTGAATTCTTGAATTGACCATCCGCGGCTCTAGAGTTATTTGCTTGGGCTAAAGAAAGGCCGCGGGCCTTAAAAGTTTCATCGGAACACCCGCGGCCCAAAAAAAAAGCACTCGGGCGAGCCCCGCGCCTTACTGTACGCACTGCATATTCAATTCACGGGCAAGCCCCGACCCTTTAGGCCACGGCCCGACAGAGTACTCCGACGAGCCCCGGGTTTTGCTTGACCGCACAATTAATACACGCTGTACGAGAGAACGCTACTTGCGTGAGGTACGCCGTGGTGATAGGGCTATCCTTAACGTTTGTGTGGTTAGTCAACAGTCAAGTAGCTTCAAGTTCTTGTTCATCAATAGTGTCTCGGATGATCCCCATTGGACTACTTGGTCCTGAGACCATATGAACTGTCGGAAACTTTGTTGACTTTGTTATGGTGGTGTGGATGTCGCGAAAGTTTGAGAATGAAATGTACGAATTTATTTGCCCTACCGAGAGTATTTTGTCACCCCCCCCCCCCTCAGATGCATATTGCGCATTTATCGGGCGCTTGCCGGACCACCCGCTGGCGTTTTTCGGGCGCTTATCGGGTCACCCGCAGACATTGTCGGGCGCTTACCGACACTTATCGGCGTGCCCGCGGGATGGGCGTGGCGTCGCCCGTGGGTGGCCGGCGGGTGCGCGCCATAGTTGTCTGAGTGGAGAAAGCTGAGAATTTACTGCTGTACTTCTAAAGGTCTGCAATAATTACTTCTTTGAAGACAGCATAGATTTCCTTTATCAAAAACATACAGCCCCGCGCAGTCAAAACCACCACCCCTCGCAGGCTAGCTTTCCAGCTATAGTATGGCTACAAGTAACAATCGTAGCTCTTACTTCAATAAAGAAGTGAAAGGGCAGGTGCGGGGCGAATTGAAGTGGTAATTGCAGTTGGTTCGGAGTGACAAACACTGCATTCAAGAAATTTTATTGATATATCTCAGCTTTGAAATCAAAAGCGAATTGGACCAAGTTCAAATTCTACGGAAGCATCACACGTTTCCAACTTTCACCTAAATGTTTAACCTTATCAAACTGAAAAACTTGAGCCTCAAGCTACATTGGAAGTACTGTATATACTATACTACAGCCAAATTTAGACATAAGAACATGATCAAAGGTAAAACATACAGCAATTTTGAGCGCCTGATTTAGATCAGCGATGAGATCGTCGGAGCTCTCTAATCCTACAGACAATCGGATAAGGTTGTCAGTAATTTGAAGCTTCTTCCTCTCCTGAAAGAATGATTAGTGACAATTTCTCTGGGTCAAAAATACTTGTTGACCTCCTCAGGCACTGAATGGTGTGTCATTGTCGATGGCAATTCAGCAAGAGATTCATATCCACCTAGTGAAACTGCGAGTGAGAACAGCTGAGTTAAGCGCGGTTATAGACAACAAAAAATTCAACGGGTGAAGCTAATACCTTCAAATTGCTTAGGAACTTTTCACTTTCATAAAGGCCTCCTTTTAGGTAGAAGGACACCATTCCGGACATTCCTTTGGTCTGACTCGTATGCAATTTGTGTTGCGGATGTGACGGAAGAGCGGGGTACAGGACCTGATTTTGCAATTACTTATCAGAACCTGGGTATCTTGAGAACGATAGCTATGCTATAGCTATGCTTCATCGTCCAACTGCGACCTATTCATCACATAAATCCACAACCCAAAGACTAGCAAAGCTCAAAATCTTTCCTCAGTATAGGTTGTTCACAAAAATCTCCACAAACTGAACTCAGGCTGTGCATGATCTTCCGTTCACTAAGGCTTTAACGCGCATGCAATATGTTGGAAGGAACTTTATTCTATTAGGTTGTCCCATAAGTCTTTTCATACATGAATTTTCAGCGGCATAAATCAGTTCTTCTTGAACTCCTGATAAAATGCAGGGTACCGTTCGACAGATCAAAGTAAGCTCTACAAGATGGCGTTCAAAAGTTCACACCAAGCTCAATCCGCAACAAGTTCCAAGCCAAAATAAAAAATTTTCCGATTTCGAAAAAACGGAAATCATCATATCTCAGTTCAAAACAGCTCTGCAAATTTCCCATTTTTTCATGCATATACTCTCCTCATCGGATATCTATACATGCGCTTGCTGCATTTTTCTGATGGCTAGAAACCAAGAAAAAAATAATACGCTCAATTTTCAAACTTTGCCTGTATCACTTCTGTTTACCCCGCAAATGGTTGATTATATAGCTTATTCACTCAGAATTACTGTTAAAAATTTGCAGCCTATTAGGTGCTGTCTTGAGAAAAATCGAATTGAAGGTCCGAATATGAAAAAACTTATGGGACAACCTAATAGTTTCTGATGTAATCCTTGGAAATTTTCAAAAAAGGAAATAGAATGTGTTTTGATTCAAAATTATTGCTGTCAAGAGCTGAAGTTCACAAAAGTTTCTTCTGAGGAAAATGTCAGCATATCAGCATATGTTTCTAATAATGCTTCATCGTAAAGTTACGAGTCTGTAACGAATGTCAGAAAATGCTTGGAACCCTGCTATACAATACCTCTCGTAATCTGCGAAAAAAAATTGCTTGACTTGCTTGCATCACAAAATTATTCAACTAATTAAAAATTGAGATAACTAATGCTTGCCCTCCGCCGTGGAACAGTACCGAGTCGGTCCGAAAGCTGAAAAAGACTCGCACGCAAATAATGACCAAGTTAAAAATATACAAAAAAAACAGTTGTCATCTTTACGTCCAAAACGCAACTGAAAAACAAAACAAAAATAGGTAATGTAAAGACAAAGCCAGAAAATGCAACAATTGTAAAATCACAATTTCTTGAAGTGAGGGACGCTTCGAAATCTTTTTTTTTTTGTTTTGATCTTTGAGTTTTGAATAAATGCCAGTTAGGAATCAAGCGTGCATTGGCACTCCAAAAAAATACAAGTGTAAATTTATCCTTATTCAGCGTGGTTCAATTCTAGTAGTGTGAATTTTCTTATAATTACTCGCTCTATTCAACTAGCTTTAGAAGGACGTAAATTATACTCAGTTGTCCTTCATCTTCTGCTAAGCGATTGCGGGTATGATTACTTCCTTTTTAACAACAAATTGTTATCTTCTTATCAGGAAAATAATTTTCGGCCTAAGTGAGCAGATTTTACAACCTTCAACACTGTTTTTTAATGGCACTTCAGAAAATTTCAACCCGCTAGAATTTTGAAGAACGCAATGGGAGCTTGTACTGTATGCACAAAATGGCAATTTCCAACTTATACAAGGTATCGTTCTCAACAGCGAAAAATAAAAATCGAGGTCAAAACCAAAATATTACTTTTTCCACTCTTTTATGGTCCTCGAGAAATTTGGCTACGGCAAGAGCATTTTCATAATGAGTCCGCATCCTGACGTGCAACGTTTTCAGTCCTCGATTACAAAGGAAACAATCGAAAGGAGATGGTATAGCACCAACGGCTGGAAATCATTTCAATGAAAAGTCATTTTCACCTTTAATACTTACCCATTTGCTGGAAAAGTAGATAATCGTGGATGTCTTGGTTATTAGTGATAGCTGCTCCCATGACAACATCAGAATGTCCATTTATGTACTTCGTACATGAATGTACAACGACATCAGCTCCCAAGGTTAGCGGTCGCTAAATTTGGTAAGAAAAAGATTTTGAATGATTTTGGAGGAGGATTTAGCAATGCGGACAAAAACGAAGCGGAGATCATAATATCATAGATCTTTGATAAAAGGATTTCTAATTCTTCTTTTCAATGAAGAACAAAGAGTAAATGCTATTTGCCTGGAAATAAGGGGTCATAAATGTGTTGTCGACGACCACAATAGCTTGAGGTTTTTCCTCCTTAACGGTGCGTACCAACGAGGCAATATCAATGATTTTGAGCAGAGGATTCGTTGGGGTTTCCAACCAGATCAACTTAATTGTACCTAAGTTTTTTTCTGTTCTTAAAAATGTAAAGATGAAATACCTTGGTATTAGGCTTCAGAGCCCGCTTGACGTTGCCTACATCTGTCATGTCAACGAAATCTGCACCAATGTTATGATATGGTCCGGCAACTAGACGTATGAAGCACTGGGTCCCTAAAACCAGTTTGGTTCGCACAACACACCAAGAAGAAGTGAAGACAACATACCACCATATACATTATCAGCGCAGATCATATGGTCTCCTGCTTTCAAAATGTTGATGACTGACATAATGGCAGCCATCCCAGATGCGAATGCATGACCTAAAGGCAGGGCCGCTAAATCATAGAGAATTCTTCCTTTTGCGATAATTCAGATTTTTGAGTTCGAAGCTGTGCTCTGGAGCGTGTATAAGTTGGCAACTATGTCTTGCACTCTCACAACTTTTACTGAATGTTGCGCAACCAAATCCAGCTTTATGTAGAGGTACGCTGTAAGCGCAGGCCATCGTTCCGCAAATTTCGCCATCCCATTAGGGGTTCATGGCGGGTACACGTTAAACGGGGCAAACTCACGGAATGTTACATGTTCGGCTGGAATTTGGTGAAGGTTTTTCTTGTTGACATAATGATCACGATAACAATCAAGATTCTGCAGCGATTGTAAATCCTTTTTTGTGAAACTAAGGTAAAAATTCTATTGGCAAAAAAGTCATGATATTCGTAATCAGCAGATCAATACCCTACTATGCAATCTAGACAAATTTTCAGTTTTCAATATCTGAATGATATCGGCAGCAGAGTTAACGGTAGTGATTCGCCTAATTCATCTAGGACGCCAGATCTCTTTTGAACCCATTCCTCTCACAAGGATAAGGATACTCGGTCACCGTGACCATTTGGAATGCGATGTATACTGTAAGACGCACCTCAAAACGCTGATTCCAAATCTGTGCTCGATAACTGCGAAACGATCTTCTGAAGAAAGCTATGAACTTTTTTTGTAGAAAATTTGCGTACTTTTGTGTAGTTAAAATCACCAAATTTGTTCTAAGTTAACATTTGAAGCTATTGAAGAGAATCTTAAAAAAGATACTGTTGTATTATACCTATCTAAATCATATTCAGCATTTGAAAAGGAAAGAAAATTTTTATTGATGATTTTGACCCTCCGCAGTAACGCAGTTTATTCATGGAAAAATAATCATAACTCCATTCAGATTATCGTTTCGCAGATAGACAAGAAAGAAGGAAGACAGTATTCGAACCAGCATCGAAAAGCGTGTTTTTTGATATGCAAATCATTGTGAACGGCCGCGGTGACCAAGAATCCTTCCCTTGTCAGAGTGACTTACCGGCAAAACATCGAATTAGATATTCTCCTATTTTCTAGTCAAAGATTCAAATGGTTCGCGAACTTTTGTGACTTACATCATAATTTATATGCAGTGTAAAAAAAATTTGAATGAGCCAAATCCCAAAGAGGAAATTTATAAGAATCACCAAACTTATTTGCTAATTCAATATAATCTTGCTCCTAGAGTGTAAATAATACTGAATGGGTGGGCTTGGAAAGCAATCAGCCAATCAGTTCCGAGAGAAATCTCGTTCCTCACCACGTGTGAGTGAACGATTCGCTAATTACATCACTATCTCTTATTTATTTGGTATATCTCACGTCCAAGGGGAAAAATTGTGACATTTTTATTAGTACTGAAGCAGAGTTCCAGCTATCCGAAATTCGAGAATTTAATATAATTTCGAAAAAACCAACAGTTTTTTTTATGAGGAAGAGGAGGGCTACGGGCTTTAACAAATAGTGTCCTTACCATATTTGCCTTCTTCTAACGATGCCAAACACCTTTCAAGTACATCCCTGCTGGGATTACCGCATCTCGAGTAAAAGTATTTATTCTCCATGTTTGCTCGATCTTGCTTGTAGGATGACGACATTGAAATAGGAGGCACAACCTATACAGATCCATTATAGCATCCTATACATGGAATCACTATATCTTCATATGAGGGAATGAACTTTGTTAGGGTTATCAACTACTGTAAACCAGAGTCACTAAAAAAAAACTATGTTGTGGTCGGTAACTTTTCTTAGAACCTTGCACTTGAGTTGAGTTCATCACCAGGTTTATTATTGAAGCAGTCAGGAAATTCTGCCGACGGAAACTCTTGCGATTTCATATAATGACAACATTCTCGAAGGGTCCAGTTCAAGGGGAATGTGTTCGGTCTCTAGATGTTTATGTAGCTTCCATGCGCAAACATTGGATCATATGATTCTCGCTTTGTTGGGTAGCCTTTTTCGAACTCCAGCGGCAGTATCCATCAACGAAGCCAGTGAGTTGACTTACCCAGTAGGCTCACCAATCCTCAGAGTAGGCTAATCCACTTCGGTATCTACAAGCGCCTCCGCTGGGTTAGCTTACCCAACAAAGGGCTCGACAACAGGGACCCACTGACGTCTATTTGAAGCACACTCTGACGCTCTTAGGCTTAAGGCATACCTCACGCAATCACTCAGATAATCGCCGGGGACAGGCGGTCCGCAAACTCGCGCTTTTCTGCAGGCGGTCAGCAGAATTTTGGGGCGTGGCCAAACCTTCAGCGGGCGGTACTTTCGTCTTCTGCCAGCGGGCAGCAATACAAAATTTCCTGCAAGCGCTCCGCAAATAATTTCTTTCAGCGAGCGCTGGCCAAATTTTCAGCAAGCGCTCGGACTCTTTTTAGGCATTTTCGGGCGTACGTCGAGCGCAGGTAAGACTCTGTGTGGCAGAGGTGTCACCGTTGGTTTAGTTACTCAAGTTTGAGGTACTTTCTCTCAGCGGAAAGTACCTGAGGGTTGAGCGGTCCTCCACAAAGGACCGTGCGGCCCTCGAAATTTTTGCATATTCTCGCGGAAAGTCCGCGAGAATGCGGCCACTGCGCCGCAGCTAATCCATAAAGAAGCCGCGATTGTTCTTCAAGCTTTCGTCTTTAATTTCGCCAACTTTCTTCCAAATTTCTGCAAGCGGGCCGCAAAAAATCAACGAACTATTTTTCCGGTGCCCGCCTGCCCATAAATCGCATCGCCGCTTGCCCCCGGCGATTATCTGAGCAGTTGCTACGCGATTCGCCACCGGAACGACTGTTGGTAACTGGTCATCAGAGCGCTTTATTTGGGCAGGACTTGATCTGTTTGCAACAAAGTACATCTAAGCGCCTATGTACTGAAGAGCTTCGCACGATAATTTTGGAGACATCTGGCAAACTACCAGGTCGCGTAAACGTCGCGATTTGGCCGAATCGCGCGATATGCCTTAGAGCGTGCGTTCAATACATTTTTGGAAGTTTGATCGACTTCTCAATGCTTTTAAAGAGAGCACTAATTGGATTGGATTAGATAATTCAGAGGATGAGCTTGACGAAATTTTCTAGACATGGCGTTCTTGCAATACTCTCTCTACTACTTTCTGCTCAAGCTAATTGTTGTACTTGACCAAAAACCTCACAAGCTTATTTGGATGCGTAAATGACTAGTCGCTTGCAAATACACAATGCGCCACTTTTTGCGGTGCATCCATTTTTTGGCCACCTAAACTTCAAATACTCTAACACTGCTACGTCACAGATAAAAAGGATAAACAATTCTGCACCCTTTGCGTGCATGCGCCGAACGCACACTACTTCATAGCCGAAGAGTCTACCGAATGCGTGCGGGTCTATCAGTAACTTGCGGGGGCCAGCCGTTGACCAAGGCAATGTTTTCATCCTCTCAAATTACTCTGGTACCAATTTACCGGCCCCGGAGGGTAGAGGGCTTGGTAGGCCTAAGGGCGGGAATTGGACTTGTGTTCGATCTGGTCATAGCGCCTCATACCACTACGCCACTCGCACGTTGCTGCAATTGGTATATATTTTTCAATCGCCTCCTTTTTCACAGAGTTTATTCGAGTTCAAGATTTTAAGTTGCTGTTATAGTCTGTTACGCTCTCGGCTTCCTCTATATCTCTCTCTTCTATGTTTTGTTGTGTGATAGATCTCTGATTATTACAGGGTTGGGGGAAAGTCTTTGAACACGGTATTTCTAACGTAATGATGAAGCTAGGCAAGATGATTACATGAAATAAATAGCAGTGGCGGGCCGAGGGGGCGCCCCCCCCCCCTCGAAAAAATTTCTCGGACCGCCACTGATAAATAGGTAATGTTCAACTCAACTGTCTGCTACACAAAACTGGCTTTACAATTCGACGATTCCTCCTTTGACGCGAACACAAGCTCGGAAACGCTTGGGAACGCTGTCCATGGTGGCACGGAGGTGCTTCACGTTCATTTCTTCCCACGTCTTCTGAAGAGTATTTCGCAGAAACTCCACAGTCATGCGTGGGTGAGCGCAGGCTTTGGCCTAAAGAACTGACCATACGCTGTAGTCGGGGGTATTCAGATTCGGCCAATACGGAGGCCATTCCGCAGGAGTAATGAACTCCTTGATGTTGCTTTGGATCCATGCTTGAACAAACTTCGCTTGGTACGCAGGTGCGCTATCCTGCTGGGGACACCAATCGCTCCTGGCAAAATGGGTATTGATCCAGGCCAACAATCCCTTCTTCAGGCTGCTCTCCACGTGCATAGCGGTGTTCATTTCGATGTGCTGGGACGCAAAAATCGCCTGCATCTTGCTGTCCTATGCGATCTCCGCGCAAACCATTACAGAAGCCGGATGCAGCTTTCCTTGTGCGAGTCAACCCTTGCTATTGACTTCTGGGGCGATTAAGTGATGATTCTGTTGTTTGGTGATCAAAAACTTCCCTCACGGTGACTATTTTGACGTCAGAAAAGAGTATCGTTCGGTGGCGTGCCTTGGAGAGACGTTTAAGCAGTCGATGGCATCTGCGCAGCCAGTCCAGCTTCGTGTCCTCCCAAAAAGCATGAAATTTTAGCATCCTGAAAAGCTTCATCGCAAGGTCCTTTTTTACTATGCCGGAGATTGTCCTGCCAGAGATGGACAGCTCCGAAGCCAGCTCAATCAAGCTTCGCCGAGGATTGCGACGAAGGCGTTGGCGAACGATTTTCAGAATTTTGTTACTGTCCGCCAATTTACCACTCTTACAATAGTCCTGGGTGCTGTTCATATCCTGGAAACGACGCAAGTTGGAAAAGACCCTGATCTGTAAAATTTGGAGAGCCCACGCAATTTGCTGGTCAGCCATCCTCTCCTCATGCATCTTCTCCACCAACGCTCGCTCCACTCCAGAAGGCATATTTCCGGTAGGAAAAAAGCTAATAGTCCAGTTTTTTGAGGGCTTGTACTCAAGAGTATAAGAAGCAAACACATATAATTAGCATACAAAAATTTATGGAATGGCCGAACATGAATGGACATCAAAAATTGTTCAAGGACTTTCCCCCAACCCTGTTATTCTAGCACTGATGAAATCAACAACACTATAGCAAAGCAATCTCAAAAATCATATCAAGAACGTGAGCAACCGCGCGAACCATGGGAAAGCATGCGGCTTGGTCGCATATCGTACAACAGATCCAACAAGAAACGGTACTTCAAAAAGGGCATGAGCGAGCTTTGGTCAGTTTTGCTTTTTTAAGCGCTTCTGCGAAGTCTACTGGCTCAGCATCGCTCGCTTGGATCCCTACACGTCATCATATTCGATACCGTTATATTCTGTTGTAATGATTTTTCGGATAAAGACCGAGAAGACTGCGAGACTTAAGCTACTGGAGCTGCAACACCTTCATTTATGTAGCCTGTACAAAGAAAATAATCCCCTTATAATCAATCTACCGTACCCGAGCACTGTAAGAATAATGAGAGATCAGTAACCGCTAGAAGGGACAGTATAAATAGACGCTAGGAAAGACATAGGCATCACCACAGAGAATCACAACAGAATTTGAGAAGCACATAAGGTTTGGGCCACACCTCGAGCGTTTCATCCATTGCGAATTGAATTGCTACGACCGCTTATATGATGCTGGAGATAATAATAAAGACACTCGGATGATACGCAGTGCATAATGTTCCATGTTCGAGCCTCGATGAATTTTGGCATATCGTTATGAATGCTGTTGTTGCTGTAGCCGGCACCAAGATTGTCAAACCGTCCAGCCAGCCAGCGGTGGTCCCTAGCGACTTTTATAGGCTAAGGCTCTCACGAAGGCGACTAGGCTGAAACGTTAACCGAAAAAACAGTTTAACAATCTTGGTACCGGCTACAGCAATACAGCATTTATAGACACCAAAAAAATGTCGTAAATTGCGTTCTTGTTGATGAATCTGTCCGAAACTTTACTGTACAGTGTGCATGCTAGCCTATCATCATCCCCAAAACGATCTTGTTATCTACAATCCATCATTACAATCTTGTTGAGTGCAAACGGAGAAACGTAGAAAAATATGAAAAAGCCCTTAGCGGAAGCTGGACAGAATGAGCCGCATAGTTTTCTTGAAAACTATAACATTCCTTAACTCTAAAAAAAATTTGTACAGTTACGTATTAATTACATATCAAAATATGAAACAGTTGCAGCATCTGCGACCTGTCATACTTTTCAAAGAAAAATGATTACTGCATTTTTTGCTTTCAAAAACATTAAAAGTGAACGTGCTTCGACAAACAGCTGGTTTGAGGTTTCAAGCTCCTGTTCATTTCGAATGATAGTCATGGAATCCACTGAATCTTTCCGATAAATGAGGAGATGAGTGCTTTTGTAAACTCTGCGTAATCACTGATATGGTCCCAAAGACTCCAACCCCACCATGAGCTTGTCGCGCTTTTAAACCACAAAACTCATTTGGCAATGTTTATGAAGTGCTGGACTTGATTTATTACACTGCCTACATAGTGATGCTGCTCTCGCGACAACTTTCGGTTTTCCCTAGTGATGAAATCGCGACTTAAGCTGAAATTCCATGAAATTCTCTGCAAGCAGTATATTCGACTTAATTATGAATCTCACTATTTCACTCTCTATTTTACCCAAAAATGAGATTAGCTAAGATTTCAAAGCTTTGGGCGATCTCCTGTTCTTTATCTTAATCTAAGGTGGCTACCATGGCAGGGTGCTCACTCAACATTCAGAAGATGACAACAGCGGCTGGACCATAATGCTAACTTCGAAATCCTTTCCTATTCCTATTTTTATTCCTATGCGCACAAGTTTACCCTCGTAGAGCGACGTAATGGCTACGTTACAGTATTTTCTGTTGGTTGAAAATTGAGTTTCGTCTTTTAAAAGCGTGACAAATTGATTCTGAGATTGGAGTCTATTCGTCCATATCAGCGATTGCGCAGAGTTTAGAAAATCGCTTTTCAGCTCATTTATCGAAAGTGCTCAGTGAATTCCATGACTATCGTCTGAGATGAACAACAGCTTGAAAACTCCTCAAACCATCTGTTTTTGAAGCACATTCACTTTTGATGCTTCTGAAAGCAGAAATTGCAGTGATCATTTCTCTTTGAAAAGGATGACAGGTCGAAAATGTTGCAAATGTTTCATATTTTGGTATGTAACTGTATAAATAATTCTAGAGTCAAGGGATGCGATAGTGTTTAAAAAACTATGTGATATAATTTTGTCCAACTTTCGGTAGGGGCTTTTTATATTTTTTTCATTTCTCTCCGTTCGAACTCAACGAATTTGAAAGCCGTTTCGAGAGATCATGGTAAGCTAACATGCGAACTATACAACAAAGTTTCGGACAGAATCATCAACAAGAACGTAAATTACGACGTTTTGGAGCGTCTTTATAATTATGTCCTGAACTGTATTTCTTCATAAGCGCACTTTGTACAAGGAAGACCTAACATGCAAGCATTCGCTTGCAGAAGTTGTGCACCTATCTATATAACTCAGCATGCGGTGAGTAAATTTGTCATCGAGATTCAGATTACGTGGCGCCCGTGTTAGGCTGAATCGCTCTAGGTAGGACCGATGCCTAAGTTACCTGATTCAAGGCTCCCCATTGGTCTGGTTCTTGACCAGCGTGGATTGCTGTCGTTCCAAAACGGGGAAAAGTTTCATTAGAAACTTCCCTTATATCCTGAAAGCAGAATTTGGAAAATGTGCTCAATTCGACAAGAATATCATTGTAAAATAAACATAAGGTTTGAGATGAACCGCCGGCAACTGAAGTGTGATGCACTCCATCACCTTTTCTTATAGTGTGTGACTAGCTGACGTTCCTTACTCAGAAAGTATTGACTTTGGACAAACCATCTTAGGCTGTAACGCAATCAAAGGCCTTCCAGAATTTTTTGCTACAGTTGACACATAAACATAAGACCCAGTGGTTTGTCGTTTATGCCGTAGTGTACTGTCATTTCGGACGAATCACCACTGGTGGCCCGTATTTTCTTGGAGTTCTAATTACTAGTTTGATTGAACTCCATAGAATCTCGATGCATGTTTAGAGACATCTGTTTGTGTGAATGTGCATGCATATATGCTTGTATATGCGCACCAAGCTTGCACTGTGCTTCTAAGCCTAAATCACAGCAAAAATGGGGCAGTATGTAGGGTACGAAGGCAAGCTAAGTGGGACAGGTACAAGGCTACAAAAGTTCAGGCAGCCTGACTTTTTGAAGGGTTGTACTTGACCCTGTTATTTTCGTCTACGGAGAATCTTTTCACTCAAGTTTGATGCTAGTCGTAAGCACGGACTTCTTTGATTCTGAGTTAAGCGTTTGTGCTTATTTCGTCTTCTTTTGGCTACGGGGGTGCATGGAGCGAAAGCTTTCAAGATAAAAAAAAACGCTGCTTTTGAATTTTCTCACATTTATGGCCACTAATTGAAGACGATATCAAAAGGATAAATCAACAAAGGGTATCACTTTGTATGAGTTAAAACTTGACCTGTTCGCCTTTGAGAACAAATTGATCATGCTTGGAAATGACGCTTCCCACAAACAAAAGTAGGAATATATAAATTGACGTAGGTAATATTTTGTGGAGTCGTAGAGGCAATTTGACAGCTGACTGCCGAGTTCAACACATTATATTAGGTTGTCCTTTCGATTTTTGCACAATGTGTTGCCCAGTGTTTTGCAAAATGTATATATGCATTTGAAAGCTTCAAACCTGCTCTGCCAAAATTTTCATTAGGTTTCCTACACCACTGGCCGTATTCATCAACGAACCTTGGGTTCAGCTACCCAGTGGGTTCGCATTTCGTGGGCTCGCGAACGCATTGGGTAGGCGATGTGCACAAGTGCTGCAATGAGTTCGCTAACCCACAACCTTCGCGAATACCAATGTCGTGGGTTAAGCCTACCGATTGGGTTCCGGAACCCATTGGGTTCGTTGATATATACGGCCACAAGAGAATTCGGAAAGTTTTTCAGCGTTAGATTTGAAAGAGGAATAAATCTATTTGCGACACTACTTTTAGTCGCCCCCCGCTTGAGTCAGAATGCTTACAAAACAGCTCGAAGAATTTGCTGAGCGTAAGGAAGGAATTTTGACTTCTGCAGTGATTCAGAAGCGCTAAGGAGTTTCGAAAAAATTTTCTGCGAGCTCAGAAAATCTGCTTTCTAGCGTCTCTTCAGTGTTGACGTTGAGCATCCGAAGGCAGTCCTGAGAAAGGGCGGTAGACGACAATCCAGGAAAGGCAGAAAAGATAGTCTTCAGCTATAAGCCCACCGAACCTATAAGTTAGTTACTCAAAAATTCGATGTTTGGGAGGTCACACAGCTTAGATACGCGAGACGAAAATTATCCAAATCCTCGCTTCGCCAGGTTTCGAACAAATGGTATTAAAATGTCGCTACACGAGAAGGAGCAAGTACAAATAGTTACAATATAAGCATGAGGGTCTAGTAATTGTTTTGTTTGTTGTCAAGCTTGGTGAATAAAAATTATTAATGGAAAACGGAGAAATTTGGAGAGATAAAAATGTCGAAAATGGATTTTTCGCCTTTTTGGATTTTTTCTTTCAGCGCCAAAAATCTTTTTCAGAGTTTTGCCAAGTTGGAAGATGACGCATATGATTTTGCAGAGCAGACTTGGAACTTTCAAAAGCATGTACGCTTTATTCCAAAAAAGTTAATATCATTGATAAAAATGGAAAAAAATTATGGAACAGATTTATTACACACCTTAAAGGCAGTGGACAGGCAAAATGGACCCCTGTCAGATTTTGGTAGTTTCGGGTAGTGGACCCCCCAAGTACACCGTAGCCCCAACCCCAACTTCCAATTGATGCGCTAAGTCCTGAAAAAAGCGCTTCAAACTTTCACCAATAACGCCCACTCAATGCAAGTGGGCGGGGCTGGTGGAGTTTTGAAGCGTTTTTTTCAGGACTTAGCGCATGAATTGGAATGTGGGGTTGGGGCTACGGTGTACTTGGGGGGTCCACTACCCGAAACTACCAAAATCTGACAGGGGTCCATTTTGCCCGTCCGCTGCCTTTAATACATAGCCTCTTGGCTTACATTAGGTGCACGGTAAGTGAAGATTTGGAGTTGAAATTGCATTAGTGAGGTCAAATGTTATATTGTTCAAGACAGATATACGGGTGGAGGACATTAGGTCGCCGAATTTGGAAGAGTCCCGCGCGGATTCCCTGCAGGAACGCATGTCCGCGCATGTACAAGGGTACGTATTTGTCGCAAATGACCGCGGAGACCGCCCTTTTTCGGCGACCTAATGTCCCCCACCCCAGATATACTCTTCCGCACCGCCGTGAAGATATTGGTGGTGACTGATATTAACCGATCGGTTCAAGGCTTCTTCCTTCACCTTACCCAATCTTAAAATCACCTTTTCTTTCGAACTTTAAGTAGTAACCCTCCCCCAATTCATCCCAACATGTTTTCAAAGTGAGATGCGAATGACTTCAGGCTTAACGCTGGTGACGACTGATTGTCAATACTTATCACTACTCCACTCTAGCGCTGGAAGATTGTATTAGTTGAATTTAAACCAGTACCGCGGTTACTTTTTTTTCTTAAAACTGCTCACTACTTCTTCTCCAAGAGCAAACCGCAATTACGGAAGACAGATTTGAAACCGCCCTCCAAGCTCTGCGAAACATGCACCATGCAGTGGTCAATCGCTTTGACTTCGAAACGCCCCTCTGTTGCAAAACTTTTCCTGGTATCGAACTTTCATTTTGTGCTTTTGGTATCGTATTCTCCACGTTGTTGCACATGGTCTCTTTATTTCTATCAGAAGTCTCGAAACTCGCGAAATGAGGGTTTCGTCTATTGCATAGCAATGTGATGCAATAACTTACAAAACGAGAGCATCTTCTCCAGTTTAATAAAGCTGTCCGCGGTACAGAAACATACGAGTTGAGAATATTACGAGCAATTCTAAGCCTAAAGTAGACATTTAAGTGCAGTCTAACTTGCTGATAGGAACACTAGAAATAACAAACAACTCGATGCGGCAAATCAATAATCATAAAATGATTTTGAGACTCATTATTTTTTTCAAATTCTTAATGCTAAAACTTTAAAAACAAAGAAAATTGCCAATACATTGGTTGAAGATTTGACAGTTTTACGAGTTCAAATTACCGATATTAACTGATTTTAATTCCGATAGGCTGAAAGTAAAACATAATCAGGAATTCATCATATACTCCCACACTCAAGCAGTGGGGGAAAAGTGGAACTCATACATCTAAAAAAACTTCTGATAGAGGAGCTCGATGTCATTAGATGGAAAATTAACACTGTCAAAGTAGACAATGTTCCTGCTCTGCCGCAGTCTAGGAGTCGATCTTATATATAAAGCTGAATGTCTGTTTGTATGTATGTCTGTCTGTCTGTTTGTGTGTACGTATGTTCCGAATAGAAAATTCCATTTCTGAACCGATCGGGACCAAACTTGGCACACATACACTTCGGGCCCCGGCGGGTGTCATAGGCTACTTTTCGTATCGGTCGATATCGATTTTATCGATTTTTTGCAAAATTTGAGCTGCGGGGCTGGGAGTTGGCACAGGGGGGTAAGTGAGCATGGGGATTCCGAATACAATATTATTAGGTTGGTAAGAAAGTTCTCGGACATTTTCAGGAAAAATCTGCTATTTCTCGAAACCTAACGCATATACATCAGAATGAAGTACCAGTCGATAGAGCAATGCAAGCTCTACAAGATGGTATGCGAAAGTTCACACCAGCTTCGACCCACCGTAAGTTTGCACCCGAAATCTGAGTTGTACTGAAATTCAAAAAATCGCGAAAATTCATATCTTTGTTCAAGCAAATCCTCCGGATCTCCAACTTGCACATAAAAATTGCGGACCACATCAGACACTCATATGCACTGCTCCTGTATTTTTTCCTCATCTGGAAATCGAGAAAACGAAAATTTTCATGCTCGTATAAAAACGAAGCTGTGCTGTTTCCACCGACGTAATTGAATAGTTCAAGCCTTTAGAAGTATAATCGTAAATTTTCAGCTTTCCGTAAGCCCTAGTTTTCGAAAAATATTGATTTTAGCATGGAACGCCCGAGTGAGGAGCGCTTAAATCGCTAATTTTCGGGAACTAGGGCCTGTAGAAAGCTGAAAATTTACGGTTATACTTCTAAGGGCTTGTACTATTCAAATACATGGGTGGAAACAGCCCAGCTTCGTTTTTACATGAGCATGAAAATTTTCGCTTTCTCGATTTCCAGATGAGGAAAAAATACAGGAGCGGTGCATATGAGTGTCTGATGTGGTCCGCAATTTTTATGTGCAAGTTGGAGATCCGGAGGATTTGCTTGAACAAAGATATGAATTTTTCGCGATTTTTTGAACTTCAGTACGACTCAGATTTCGGGTGCAAACTTAGGGTGGGTCGAAGCTGGTGTGAACTTTCGCATACCATCTTGTAGAGCTTGCATTGCTCTATCGACTGGTACTTCATTCTGATGTATATGCGTTAGGTTTCGAGAAATAGCAGATCTTTTCTGAAATTGTCCGAGAACTTTCTTACCAACCTAATAGTTTTTAAGATCGTGCATTACTTTTATCGATTTTATCGATTTTTTTTGCAAAGTTTGAGCTACGGGGCTGGGGTTTGGCACAGGGGGGTAATCGAGCATGCTGATCACCCCCGTGGGGATGATCAGCATGCTCGATTACACCCCCCTGCCAAATTCCAGCCCCCTAGCTTAAATTTTGCAAAAAAAATCGATGAAATCGATAAAAGTAATGCACGGTTTTGAAAACTAATATTGTATTCGTAATCAGCATGCTCGATTACCCCCCTGTGCAAATCCCAGCCCCCTAGCTCAAATTTTGCAAAAAATCGATAAAATCGACATCAATCGATAACGAAAAGTGGACTGTGACACCCGCCGGGGCCCGAAGTGTATGTGTGCCAAGTTTGGTTCGGATCGGAACATACGGCGGAGCCGGGTATGCCAGCTAGTATTACATAAATATAAAATACTGCCTTAAGCACAACTCTAACAGGCACGCATTGCAGATCGCAATCCTGGAGTGTATGATATAGAGCGTTGCGTAATGTTATCTCTGGGATTTACAGAGGATTGGAGTACTCCTGTTAGAACATTTGTGACCTGCTTTTACTGTCCAAAATGACATTTCATTCTAACCACCCGAGTTTTCCAACATGAAGGATCATGACCATTTTTCTACAATTTGACACAGTTTCTTCCACAAAACTAATATGAAAGATATCTTCTCCAAAAAAAAAAGAAAACGCAAAACATGCTTCGCAAAACCGATTGGGCTACTGGTTTCTTTTACTATTACCAAGCCTATTGTGCCTTTACAATTCCCACGCAGCTTCGGTTCTATGCATCTGTAACATATTGATTGGACTGTTTTAAAGGCAGTGTCCGGGCAGAAACTCGACTTCTAAAAAATCAACTTATCTGGGGTTATCCGCAACGCTGAATCCGAAAATCCACATCAGAAGGCGCGAAAACGGCGAGAACATGCATTTTCCAAGTCGTCACATTTCGAAATTTGGGGATCCCCGCCAGGCTAAGACGCAGAGGTTGCAAAGAGCGCACGGTTTTTAACTGTGGCGGCATACGTACTCTGCCGTCTGGCAGGAATTCAAACAACTCGGAGGACCCCGCCCCAAGGCGTAAGTTTCCCCAATTTGCAATCGTTTTTCTTGCTTTAGGTCGAACGTTTTATGCTCGCAGTTGCGCGATGTTGTGTCTCAGGGGGGCTACTTTCACATGGCAGAGAAATCTCAGAACCCCCATTTTGCCCGGACACTGCCTTTAAGGCCTCGTACTACTTGTACCTGCACAGAAGGCCAAGTTAGTGACTTCCAAAGTTTCTCTAGAGCATTTCAAATTAAGATAGTGTAGTGGCCATCGTAAAAGCTTCACGCGATGCTGGCGGAAGACGACGACGACTGACCTGCGTGCATGTTGCAGGGCTCGGCACGAGCTGGCACCAGGAAATTTTCAAAACGAAGTCTCTTTTGACCCTCAACGATATCCCCTCTAAAAGCCTGAAAAATTCCCCAAAATCCCCCCAAAAACGAAACGTCGACAAAAAAAAAGGTCGCCAATTTTTGACGTGTCTTCACCCACAAAAACGAAATCCCCTTTGCTTTTTGTCCCAAAAACGATATCCAGCTTGCCCCGTGCCAACTGGTGCCAGGCCCTGGCATGTTGACATCCGTGGCGCTTGAAACATAGTGCTCTTTTTTGCACTCATAGGAGGGCAGCACTCGGTTTTCCGGTACTGCTTGACAATCCACGCCTAAATTCTCCCAGTGGATACCAAACTTTTGAAGCACACAAAATACTTTCAGACTATGGGGAAACTTCGCTAAAATTCCTTCTGCCACGAAGATGATAAAGAGTGAGTAGTAAAAGTTCTAACGGCGTAGTCTGATGATAAGAGATCTAGGGCAACTGCGACGGTCGAAGGATCTACTGGACCGATTCGAAACAAAACTTACATCATCTCGGAAACTTTAGCAAAGGCTCCTCTACATTCTGAACCGTCTTGTATGACCAAAGTTTGATTTTTGATATGAGCCAAGCGCAAATTGCCATGCATTGCTGGGGAACCGATTACTGTCCTCCTTTAACCAGCGCCAGTGCTAGCATTACGTTTTGCAGCATCGCAAAGTAGATGTGCCCGTGCACGTAGGTCTATCATGCTGTCTGCCAGCTAATGTGCAGTTCTTGCGATGGTCATCATACTGTCTCGATTTGGATTATAGAGAACCTTTGGGAAATATCGGTTCGACGTTTCTGCGCAGACACAAGAAGTGCGAGGCCTTAGCAGAGTTGAATCAATCCGTTGAAGACGCATATAAGAACAGTATTGATTGGAGATATGTGAAAATTTGTCAAAAGCAATCAAACAGGATTGATGAAGTCAGGAGGGGGGAGGAAGGGGGACTTGGTGGCCCGATTAGTTATAAAAGTTATGTTTTTCTTTTCCTTGAAATGTCCTCCGCAGGGGTTTTGTATAATAAAACAGTACCAGTCTAGAATAGCGCGTAACCGGTATATTGATTGATATGTCATTTGAATCCGGACCGTGTGCAGATCACAAAGGTATTGACAGAAATAGTACACCACCTCTTCTGAAACATCCCAAATCTTGGGTGCTATCCTATAGTTTTAAGTGCAACGTATAAGAATCTTGGTAGTAGGCTGCCATCAAGCATATCATAACGCATGCCTCGAAATTCGTACTATGGTAGAGCCGCCGACCGTACTGACTGGCTTTCAAAGCGCAGCACGCGAAGCACCGTTATTCCGAGAGCAGGACCTGTACGCGTACCCGTATGTCCGCATGCCTAAAATGTGTATCATTCTTCCTCAGACTAGGAGACGCGAGCATGCTTTGCGTACATTTCATTAACAAGTTCGTAAATGAGAATAATGGGCCAATATGTCAGATATATCCGCGACTTCGTACAAAGTTCTAAATACGACTCCAGTGTTGCGGGACAAAAGCCGAGTGGACCCATTTGATGCGCAGTTTTCATAGGTTCCACACTGCGAACCCGCTCGTGCTTTTGGATTTTGGACCTACATGCTGGCGACTCGCGTCATGCAAAATTGTGACTCGAGATGTTTGCTGCAACTCAATCTATGAATTTCGTGACAGACAGATATATGCACACAAGGACAGACAGATGGCAAAGCGCTTTATTATAAGTCATGATCATTGCATGTCGATCTTCTTGCATCTCGGTTGTGATAGTTTATCAACACGATCGTGACAAACTATCACAACCGAGATGCAAGAAGATCGGCTTGCAATGATATTATTAGTTGTCTTGTCGCGATTGAAGCGATGATGATTACGCGTGAATTCTGTCCGAGGCCTAAGGCCTAAAGCGTACTCCCCGCGATTCCGTCAAATCGCTACATCTATGCGACTTGGCGTTTTGCCAGATGTCTGCAGATTAATCGTGCGTTAGTGTCAAATGCATAGGCGCGCTTTTGTAAGTTCTCGCAAAACTAGCAAATCTGGCCTAAGCAAAGTGGGTTTACGAGTGATTATGAAGAGTTATTGCAGTACCAGATCGCGCAGCGACTGGAATCGCTTGAGATATGCCCTAAGCCTAATGATGATCTCTTTGCTAAACGCCAGTGCGACTCAGTATCCTTTAATCGTGAGAGAAAATAGTCTCCGAATCACGAGGATGTGGTGAATCGAAGCGGAGTTTCCCGGAAAAGGGGGGAGGAGGTCGCAAAGCAGCGCTGGCAACCACTACAGTATCGCATATATCTACTATCCCTGGTAAACCATGGCTTAGGCTGGACTGTGGAAGCCAGCTAGTAAAGACAGAAACACAAAATGAATTCATCTGCCTCACCTACGGCTCGCGTTCCGGGTCGCAGCAAGCTTTGACTAGAGTCGTGCGAAGACGTCATAACCGATGAGACTGACATTAGGACGAAATAATAATAATCGTTACTTATAATAACGGGCTAAGGATGTTTACGTGACTTTGTGTGTGTGTGTGTCTGTGAGTGTGTCTGTTACGAAATTCGTAGAGCGTGTTCCAGCCAACCCCCTGGACTCAAATTTTGCACAGCGCATGCTACACGCATGTAAGTCCAATACCCAAAAGCACGAGCAGATTCGTTGAGTGGATCCCTCAGAAACTGCGCGTCAAACGGATACACTTTGCATTTGACGAGCAAAGTTGGGTCCGTAATTCCACTTTTTGTAGGGTTATGGATGTTTATGTTGAGTAAATGTGTAAGCCATGAACTTAGGCCCAGGAAAGTGATAAAATGTCCATTACTTTTCAAAAACAGCACCAAAAAGTATTGGTTGCGTGATTTGTTGATTTGCCAAGGTTTTACCAGAGCATCTGGCGAAATTTTTGCACAAAGATGTAGCCCACGGTGACTGCTGTGCTTATTGCAACTGTCAAGACCAGGGGAAAATCAAAAACCTGTAAAAATTCGCGTTCGTTCTCCTGCAAAAAGTCTCATCCACGCGAAACCACCGATTTCACATAAAAAAGCTTTCGGAAAGAGTAGTTGTTTACATTTTGTTCGTGATAGTCGGCATTGCTCGGTGAGTTCCAATGCCATCATTATGTGAGAATGAGTAGGGTCTAGATGGTAGAGCCAGTGCGAGCCTCTGCAAAGCAGAGGTGACGCACTGGTAATAAATAACATAGTAATAGTGATGATTAAACATGGATTTTGGCGGCCAAACAGAAACCCATTCCAAACCAAGCGAGTCCTACCCTGGCAACCTTGCTGGAGAGCTGAGGTGCCCGATAGGGGGACCGCGGCTCGCCCATTCGCATGGTAACAAGTGTGGCGAGCCTGCTATCGTAGAAAAGAGCAATCTAGAGTCTCTTTTCTTTGTAAGGCTTGGTCAGGTCCCCACATTTTTCATACAATTGTTAGGAGAGAAGAATATATCTGTACTAAGAAAGCGAAGCAAGATGCAGAAGATATGGATGACTGAAATGTTTGCTTCAAATGCTCACGTAAACATTGAAATTGCGACTTTGGCGTTGAATAGACACCAAGTGTAGGAGAAGTATGCAACAAATGAACAATCATCCTTCTTCAATTTATTTTTTGAAAGTAGAGAGTAAATCAACTGGTCGACTTTATTGTACGAGTCATTCTATAGAACAGCGGTAGCCTCTGTTCCATAGCCAAAAATGAGGAATGAAAGGGAGTAGTCACTGCTGCATAATCGGTATGTTAGCAAGTAAAAAGAATATCTTAATTGACGAAATCTGAGTATCTTCTTTATTCCTTTCTCCGTTTGAGACATCTGAAATTCTTAGAACTTGTACGCAAGAAATTCTATGCACACAGTATCAAGCTAAGCTTAACATTTTTCCTCCCTTCACTTATATTGAAGTTGCCAGTCATAAAGGGCATGCGGTTAACAATGGTGTGGTGATTTAGCTTTTTGGATGCAAAACCTAAGGTGTGCGTCAGTGACTGCACGAGGGTAGCTAAAGGCTACTGCATGACGAAGGCGCAATACCTTTGAGCGCGATCGCGGCTTTGTAAGCCGCAGAGCGCATGAGGTGCATGATTTACAAGGTGAGGATACGTACGCGCCGCGTTCGCGCCCACTCAACCAATACTACTTCTGCGCCTTCGTCATGCAGCAGCCTTTAAGTAAAGCTGGAACTCGATTTTAGAATATATTAAGAAAAAAGATCTATGAAAGACTTACATAAGTAACTTGTTAGCTCACTTAACATGCTGTGAGTGTGTATAGATGTTTTCTATATCAATCAAGACTCTCAATGGAGGCACTATTCACCCAAACTGAGGGTGGTGTTCAATGCTTTACAATAGTGGGGTCCCTAACTAGCAACTGCCCAAGTCTCCCTGCAAAAGGTAACTTGCGAAGCGAGAAAATCTCTTCAAAGGTGCTTGCAGACTTCCGTCCCGCCCATCAACGTAGATGGTGTGAAAATGACAATTCTGAATGTGAGCTCCAAGTGGTCAAAGAGTCGAAAAATTTTTGCCCGTAGTAAACTCCCATTTATCTCAGTTGACCTAAGATGAGTTGTTCAAAAGAACTTCTTAGGCCCCGGACAGACTTCACGCGATTTGATCGTCGCGACTCAATCGCCGACATTTCTAATCATTTTCATTTCACATTCAAAAATTTCGTGCTGGAAAAGTATCACAACCGAAATGCAAGTTGATCGGCATGGAATGATGTTGTAGCAGTTGTCTCATCGCGATTCAGTCGCGACGATTAAATCGCGTGAAGTCTGTCCGGGGTCTTAGGGTGAACCCAATGCCGCCCCATTCTCATGCTTTAGTATAGTCAGAAGTTGAACAGTCAGAAGACCATCCGGTCAGGTGCTACGGTCAGATTAACAAAATACCACTTAGCCGCCGAAGGCAGGGTCTAAGGTGAACCAAGAGAGTTAGCGTGCAAAAGAGGGGAATCAAACGAAATTCGCGTAAGTTGCTCGTGAGTAACTAACGGGACAATTCAGATGACGTATAGTTGAGGAGCAAAACTCCCAAAACTGCACGATTTCGGGGGCCTAAATGGAAGAGGATCAATGAATAGCTGATTCGTTGAGAAAAGCAAGAAAAATGGTTTCTATCTGTTCTGCCCTTCTTGCTTCCGACACTTCGAAGTCTCCGTCTTGGGTGGAAGCACAGGGGAAGCCAAGAATATTTATTAGGATAAATATAAGTAAAAAGAAATAGAGGCAAGTGGGTGAACGAAAGAACAATGGAGCTGACTGAAGCAAAGAGTGAGCGCCTTTCATAGCGCTCATTTCTCGGACACTCTGAGGTTGCGATCGAGTACGCGACCAGATCACATGAGGAGCAACTGATCAACCTCAGTAACACAACACTATCTTTTTTCGGCTTAGTTTCCTTGAAAAAGTGTATAACGTATGTTAGTTTTGTTTTATCTGTCCATTTGCCTGGGAAAATCCTTGATAGCGGTCACCATCGACTTTTTTTCGATAGTGGCCTCTATCAAAAATTGCCGGCGATTGCGCAAGGTTTTGCCACTCAAACTATGGCCTCTCGCGTTAAATCCCATTCCTTAGCCGTTCGACCAAATCTGCTCGTTTTTTTTAATTTCGTTTTTAAAAAGCGCCCAAGATTTTTAAATCTATTAGGTTGTCCGGAAATTAATGCCCGTTCTGAATTTCAACCGCAATAAGTCATACACTTCTCATTTCTAAATAGGTTGCAAAGCACCATTCGATAGAGCAAAGCAAGCTCTACAAGATGCCCATCTTGCTTTTGCAACAGCTCTTATCCACCTTGAGTTTTGAGGTAAAAAGTAAAAAGACTCAGCTGCCCGAAAACTCGAGAAAAATCGTAACTCAGTTCATGAAAATCCTACAAAAATTTTTACTCGCTCACGTAAACACTATCCACATAAGACATCTATATAAGCTTTTGCCGTATTTTTTCCTCTGTTAGAAATCAAGAAAACGGAAATTTTCGTGCATTTGCCAAAGTGATGCTGTGCCGTCCCCACATAGGTAGTTGTATACCACAAGCCTGTAGAAGTACAGACTCAAATTTTCAGCTCTCTACAAGCTTTAGTTCTCGAGAAATACCGAATATAGCTTTCCTTAGTTAGGTGGTCCAAGCAAAAATTCAAATTTCTCGAGAACTAAAGCTTGTAGAAAGCTGAAAATTTAAGTCTGTACTTCTACAGGCTTGTGGTATACAACTACCTATGTGGAAACTGCACAGCATCACTTTGACAAATGCACGAAAATTTTCGTTTTCTTGATTTCTAACAGAGGAAAAAATACGGCAAAGGTTTATATAGATGTCTTATGTGGATAGTGTTTACGTGAGCAAGTAAGAATTTTTGTAGGATTTTTATGAACTGAGTTACGATTTTTTTCGATTTTTCGGGCTGCTGGGTCTTTTAAGTTTTTGGCTCGAAACACGAGGTGGTGAGAGCTGTTGCAAAAGCAAGATGGGCATCTTGTAGAGCTTGCTTTGCTCTATCGAATGGTACTTTGCAACCTATTTAGAAATGAGAAGTGTATGACTTATTGAGGTTGAAATTCAAAACGGGCATTAATTTCCGGACAACCTAATAGAAAGCGATCCGCATCCAGATGAATAGCTCATTGGATGCCGAAATGAGGCGTCCTAGGTTCAACGTGGATTTGCCACAGCCGAGTTGCGCTGAGCAGGTGTTTATGTTTACTACGGGCCTCTCTCTCATAGTAAATATCGATTTTACATTCAGCTTTCTAAGAGCTCACCCCCGTCAGTTCTGAAGCACCCACGATGGTGGGCGGAAAGGACGCGTTCGCAAGCAAAACATTCAGCAATTTCCTCGTTTCCAAGTTCACTTTTTGCCTAGAAACTTAGGCAATTGTTTGATTAAAGGTTCCCTATTGTAGCGTATCGAAAACTCACCACCTCAATTTGTAGGGTCATTTTAGCCTTCCATAACCCCTAAAATCTTGAAAAAGGGAGCGTGGAGGCAGTTAGCTTCCAAAAATTTATTTGCAACGCTAATTTAAATTCTTGAGAAATTTCAAATTATTTTAATTATTTACAAGAATCAAGTCACTTGCACATTTTTATAACCCATCTAAGTAAGTTTCAAAAATTTCGCGATCCATTCTCGGGGGATGCCTCACGTTGTAGCATTATTTTTGGTACTCTCTCGCTATCAAAACCCGCCGCGCTTTGAGCTGTCACGACTCCGCTACACGAATCGTGGAGCTGATGGTATGTGTACCGTGTAGTGAAATGATTACATTGTTTTATCCTTTTATGTGGAACGCCCATAGCATATTCAATGTATTTATGAGGTCAAGTGGTGGGAAAGAAACGGAAATTAGAAATTAATTTTTCTTAGTATCAGATAGAATGAAATCAACGCTTTGTACCAGTTTATTAAATGCGGTCTTAGAGATCAAACACACCAACGAGAATGTAACTAGAAAAAAGTCTGATTGTTGTAAACAATACCTTAACACCTAAAAAGATATACATGTTTTTTTTTTCACAGAAACAAAGAGCACAGAACAAAGACAACATCATGATCACAAGAACAAATTATTGTACAAAACTAACGATATACAGATCCAACAGTTCATTCATCCGAATCTAATATTACATCCAAACATCCATGAAATGAGGTAAGACGTTGCTGAGGTTTCTCTAAAAAAGCAACGATGACAATTGGGTTAAGAAAATCAATTTTTTCTTTGACAGCAGTTTCGATTTTAGCGTTTCCGAAAAAAATCGAGAGGTCCGGCTTCGGAAATTAGAAATAGAAATCTCTTGAATAACAATGCGCAACATCTCCTAATCTACAGGGTGTCCCAAAAAGATGTAACTCTCTTGCTTGAAAGTCTCTTTCGAGCTTGAGTAGTACTACGTAGGGCAAGGTTCAATTTGAATTTATAGCATGGAGCCTATCTCCGATCTATCTTTGATACTGTAGAGTTACAGTAGGAACTTCGAGGAGGATTCTAAGGTATTAAAAGCGATATTTCGCCTCAGAAAGAAAACCAAACAAGCCAGAACCTCTTTTGCTGAGCTAATCGATGTCGCTGATTTCAGATGTGAGATTTGCATTTCACTATAATGCTTCTTTCATGAGCCTCTGGTTTAGAGTGATAACTGTTTTTCCAATGATCGTCAGAAATTTGATTACACTAGTAAAAAAAGCTCGATAAATGGGTAAGAAGTTGTGTAGTGGAACGAACAAGCCTGTAAGCCTTGATACACAAATTCCAGATTTTTTTGGAATTTCATCAAAAGTATACCCCACACCGGCGCTGTATGCGAAAGTTCATACAGTAATCATGTAGTAATGAAGAGCGATTAGTGATCCGCTCCATACTATAAATCTAAGTTGAACCGCGCTCTACAGAATGGTACCTCAAACTTGACAAAAGACATGAGAGCAAAAGAGTTAGTAACATTCAAACAGTGTGCACATTTTTTTTTTGAAACAACCTGTATGAATCAGTTCTAGAGTCTGACTAGCGACGAACACGTTACATGGAAAAATGCAAACAAATTTTGCCGCGTCTTTGAATTCAAAAAAGATTGTTTTAGCCGAAATAAGTGTCTAGATAAAAATGGCGCAAAACTTCGCAAAGAACTCATGGTTTGACTCAAGCATCAGATATATCTTAAAACGCTTTTCTACAGGAGGTTTTTGGCTGATATTCTTATGGCTTTTGACGTGCTGCGAGCTGAGGTAGGTTTGAGACCCAGTAAATATTGGGTTTTTGGACTTATCGGTGAACGCAGGGCATCTCTTAATTTGTCTGTTCTAGGTTTGGAAGGACAACTTTTCGTTACAGTCCAACAATTTCTTTTATCTGCAGCTTCTATCTGAACAAGTTGCCATCAACTCTCTTAGCCGTGAATTCAGCAGCTCAACTGAAAGCAATGCTAAAGAAAATAGATATTCTACAGTTATGTGGAATTGACGATGTTGTGTAATTTGTGTTACTAACAATACGGTACGCTGTTGCATTGCGTTGTTTTTTAACCGCTCCAAATAGATAGCAGAATTAGCAGAGCACTTTTAGGTGCATCGAAAATAAAAATAGAAATAAATTATCAGCACTGAAAGTTAAAAGTAGTGACTTTAGCACAACGGCAGTATGTATTCCAGTGCATCATAATACACTTATTAATTCGACGACTCAGGCAGTTCGATTTCAGCTGTCTGTTAATGAAAGCCCAAGATTTTGTCACTTTTCAATTCAATTTATAAAACTCTTGTGGAGGGCAGGGCCTGCCGGTAAAGGCTGCGTATCATGAGCAAACACACTTCATTTATTAATGACAAAGCTTTGTAAGCCACTGAAGTCTTAATAAGCTTGATTCAGAAGAGGTTGCAAACTGTCCTAACGATTGACCTTGATGAGAAAATTGAAGCTCCAGTAGTCTGAATTTGTAGTAACATCGGATTCGTTTTACTTTGAGCCAGATGAAGTCACTGCAGAGGATATCAAATTCTTTGAAATTGACAGGTTGTTCGAGTGCAATCACGCAGATGCAGATTACAAGGTTCAAGATATTCTTGATAAAGGGTCTGTTGTTAGAAAGAGAAAACGGTGTTTGAGAGATTTCCTAACGAGCGATTGCTCTATGGTCAATAACTGCTTCAATTCAAATAGGAATAACAAAGTGTAAAAAATGGGGAAGATTCTAACAATAAGAGTTGAAATAGCATAGCGTAAACTTCCAATGATTATTTAAGTATTAAATATTATAGTTGAAACGACCGAAAAATTTTGTCGAACGAATGAATTTCGAATAATCGGCTTTTGAAAAATATTCGAACGAACGAATATTATTCGATCTGTGATTTTCAGATTATTCGAATTCGAATATTCGAATAATGCTACATTTCGAAATTCGAATGAACGAATATTCGAATAAATGGGATTGTTCAAATGTTCGACTATTTGAATAATCGAATAATTACATATGGTCGAATATTCGACTATTCGAATAATCGAATATTCATACCTGTCCGGATATTCGACTATTCGAATAATTCGAATAATTTAGCGGCTCAAACAATGCTGGTTTTTTCTTTGTTGCGGTTTGCAAAAAAAAACTTAATCGCTATATTCGATCTAGATTTGTAGCTGTTAATTATATGTGTAGCAAGTGGTAGGATGACTAGGTTATTGTCGCTGGTCAGGGTTTCACCTAGGAAACAGAAGAATTTCACTCAAACATGTAGTTCAAGGTGTTCGTGGCCTAAGCCTTACCTAGTAATCGTTTCAACACATTTATACTTCCTTACAGAAGTTTCTTCCGAAGTTACACAGAATTTTTTTCCAAAGCCATAGATTTAAAATGAAACCTTTTAGATTAGGTACTCAGACAATCGCCGGGGGCAGGCGGGCACCGGAAAAATAGATTGCTGATCTCTCGCACCCCGCTCGCGGATTTTTTGGAAAGCAATCAGGACTTTTCAGACGACCGCTTGCTGAGTTCTCGATTCCTCAGAGATTCAGCAATATATCTGCAGAAGATAAGAGCGAAAAAAAATTCAATAGGCGGTCTCTCAAAAATCCGCTGACTCAGCAAGCGGTCTTCCGAAAAGTCCTGATTGCTTTGCAAAAAATCCGCGAGCGGAGTGCGAGAGATCAGCAATCTATTTTTCCGGTGCCCGCCTGCCCCCGGCGATTGTCTGAGTAGTTGTTTGTAATTTATTCGTAATGGTCAGCATTGCGTGAGTTCTAAGACTAGCACTGGGGGAGCACGAGGAAGGCCTACAGTGATAGAATCAGTGAACCTCTGCTGTTGTCCCGAAAGTTTTGTTCGTTTTTTCAAACGACTATAGGACCACACACAATAAAGACCTAAATGAATCTCAACACGCATTCGATGGCTTTTCCCTCTCTTTTGAGAATACATTTTCGAACCACAATCTTGTATGCTTTTTTTGATAATTGCCAAAGTTCTCCATCCGTCAATTTTATCTGCTCAAAGTTAAGCTACTTTTTTAAATTTCATTCCAAAGTTCCAAATTTCATTCCAAAGTTTCGGAAAGGATTAAGTATGGATCAAATAGAGCAATTCTCGGATTACAAGGTAATATTCTTAGAGATTCTCTTGATTTGCTGTTTTTAGCTTCAAAAACATTATTTCTTCGGCAGTTTCGATCTTTTTAAATCATGAAACACGCAACTGCAGCAAATACACGAAAGCTTTCAAAGCTTTTGCGAATTGAAATATGATTCTTATCAAACATTATTTATGCTACATAACCAAGTTTGATTTGCTTTGAAAAAGCAGCTTTTTGGAATTTTCGGTACTTTTAAGTGGTAAACGTATTCAAAAGCCGCAGTTTTCATCAATCATTATATAACGAGCTTGGTAAACATGGATGTAATCTAAATTGGATACAACGTAGCCAAAGGCTTGCTCTACATTATAATCTTCAGCGCTCTTTGAAAACATCAGGATAAAAATTTTTTAAAACTCAGTAAAGATTTGGCATTACTTCTGAGCTGCTCAGAAAGCCGTGGGGATAACATTGCAGAGGCAGAGTAGATCAAAGATTCAAATACAGCTGTGAGAAAGAAGATAAAAATATGTATCAAGTCGTACCTAAGTTGTCTATGCATTGGTGTTCTGTGGCTCTTAGTGAGCGATGGAAAAAACGGACAAAACTTTCGGGACAACCTAATATTTCTGTGCTCATCTAAATGCAAAAAAAAAAAGAAAACTCATGGAAATATTTGTATATTAGCTGATAATCTAATACTTGTCGGGAATTCATAATCACTGAGTTTCAGAGTTTTTGCTGTAGGACTGAATTCTCACAAAGTTGTTTTAGTTGTATTTTTGAGGTTTGTACTTTTGTTGTAAGGATCTTTCATATCTCTTCTCAGGTTCAAAATAATCAATGTTCATCCTACACGCCTACTCGAAGTATTATTCCTCTACGAACTTTGCAACATTCTAACACTAGTTTTATAAGACCATAAGGGCACCCGATTTGAGCAGTGACTGATAGGCTGCCGCCAAGTCAAGCGGCTCAGGTCCTCACGACGCCTTGCGCTGTAACGTAACTTTCAGGTATTTTGACATGCGAGCGGTGATTAGGCTAAGGCAAGTGAAGGCCTCGAGATGAAGGAATGAATGTTGCCTTTACCTGCTGCCTTAGGAGACTATACATGCTTGTGCAAGCTGTTTGAGGACCAGTGGTCTGCTAAAGGCCGCCTAATGACGGCTTTTCTTCCCCCAATTTAGAGCCTGTGGGTCTTTCCGCATGATATCGCATCTCCACTTTTCAGACGCGATTTCAGAAGAAGTTCAGCACTCCAAATGAATTATGAATAATACTTGTCATCACTATGCTTTGGCATGACTCGCGACTCATGCCCTAAAAAGGGAAGCTTGCTAGCCATTCTGTCATATGATGATTTTTATGTGATTGACCGATCGGGGACATACTTGTACCCAATGTAGAACAGCTGAAGTTTTCTTTTGACATCGAATGTTCGAATGAATGTTCTTGAATATTCGAATATTCGAATGACTGTCTTTCAAGTTGCTCGAATATTCGAATATTCGAATAACTGTCTTTTAAAATTCCTCGAATATTCGAATATTCGAATAACTGTCTTTTAAAATTCCTCGAATAAACGAATATTCGAATAACTCATTTTTCCAAATCATCGAATGAACGAATTATTCGAATACAGGCCTTTCTCATTTATTCGACTATTCGAATAATCGAATAATTAGACTTCCTCGGATATTCGATTATTCGAATATTCGAATAGTCGAATATTTCGAATAAATTATTCGAACACGAATATTTGGTTCTAACTATATTAAATATGCTTTCGGACTGATGGTCCTAAAAGGAAAAAAACCTTTATCGATCAGTGTCAATGTTGCTCTGCAACTAATGTTCACTCACTACTGAAAAACCACTGAAAAATCTTAAAGTGAGCCATATTTCCTAGAGACGTAATCTGCGACCCCATAATTCCGAATTTGGAGTGTCAGAAATTCTTTACACTCACCATAAAACATTCCTCTGTTAGCCACATTGTAAGTGTATTCATTTTGCTCTACTGGAAACCGTGCAAAAGGGTACCAGCATCGTGGATTGAAAGCAAGTGCATGTGGCAACTCTTTCAGAAATCGACAAGCGCCGCCTGGTATCCAGCCTCGGTAGACGCTCCTGAACAAGTTGAGTGACAGAGAAAGATACGCTAATTTCGTTTATCACAAGTAGTAAGCGCTATTCCGAAAATGTGATGCTCAAGCATGTGAGAAGAAAAGTTCGATTCCATCACAGTGCGATTAACTCTCGGCACACATAAGTTGCGAAAAAAACTCAACAAAGGAAAAACAGAAAATGTCAGGAATAAAACCTCGGCCTAGCCGTCAATAAAAGAAAAACCCACCAACTAGTGTCGATGCGACAAAGATAAAATATGTTCCTAGTGTTTTCACTGTCCATAAAAGGTACTTGAACTTCGCAAACGCAGATGATGATAAGTTTGCACACACCCTGATCATCCACGCAATTCACATCAGTCTGGAGTTTCGGTTTCGAAAGGCTGCTTCGGCAAAACTTGATCGACAAACCTCATAGTCACGGCTTCCCTTGTAGCACGCTCCTTTGAAGGATTTAGAACGGCGAATAAAGGCGTTCACCGACCTATCAATCAAACTCTCTATGCACACTACATGACGTGATATATAGAGCGGTCGAAGAAGACCAAAAAGTTGACCAGTATCTGTAATTAGCATACATGAGATACATTCCGCAAACACTGCTTTAACAACAAATACTTTCAAGACCAAAACTTAGTCAAAGGGAACGGCCATAGGTTGTCGATGTTGTTGGTGTTGTCGGTGTTGTCGGTGTTGTCGGGGTTGTCAGAAACAGTTAGAGAGCGCGCGAAACGTGGAGGCTATCATGAGGCGACCGGCAACTTCAGCAACCCCGACAGCACCGACAACCCCGACAACATCGACAACATCGACAACACCGACAACATCGATAACACCGACAACCTCTGGCCGTTCCCAAAGATGTGCAACTTTTGGGAATAGAATAGTGTAAACAATTATGAGATAGACCCAACGTACCACTGTAACTGTGATCTTCGCAACCAACAAGCTGATAAGACATTCGTTCAAAATCTGTTTCTTGCATAATTGACGATTCCACAGAAATTTCTTCGCCCAAATCAGCAGAAACCGTATGAGGTCGTCCACCAAAAGTTGGTCCTTTGTCACGTCTTATGACTCTCCACATCTATGAAAAGATGTCTTTTGTGTGATCAAAAGAAAAAGCTTCAAACAAACTTTCTGCATGTATTTTATTTTTGTTGGAGGTGTTTTAGAGAAAAGAATCATTAGTAGATTGACGCCAGTGTTTAGCGCAAAACCATTGTCATGAATACGTAGATAATCCCTGAATTAAAGCGAAGAGTACGAAAAAAAGACAAGGGAAATCACTGCCATGAAATCTGAAATTCTATAGAATTTGATGAACACTTGCTATTACGAAAACGGGAAAGATGTAACGAGTTTGAATAGATATCCCTCCATTGCACAAATAAAGACAGGTGTCACAAAACAAAGCAGAAATCGACTAATGCAAACTTTGTGATTTCATATAGGTAGGAAAACGGTAATGAGGAGCGCAATGAGGACGAAATTATTGGAGCAGAAGAGTTGAACTCACTTCCTCATCATCCCCTTTCCTTTCGGTAAGTTTCTACAAACAATTGTGGCTGAAGAACTCAAACTTAGACGAAGCATCAGGTCGGGGAATATTGTGACTACTTTGAAAGTGGATGACTCAGAAAGGCCATTCTTGTAAGCAGAGAGCAGGTGCGATCTGTGAAGAAAATCTTGAGGAACTGTGGAGGGAAAGTCATCGGTAGTAATACTCACTGGTCATAAATGAAAGATGATATGAAACGATTCAAAGGGTGAAAGTATATTCGCACTCTTGTATGTGGACTCAAGTCAGGTAGATATAAAAAACTTCGCTGAATTGAAATAGTAACTTGGAAAAGGCATTTGAAGTAAAAGCTCTGTTGGAAAACTCACCTGAACTGCACTTTCTGGTGATAACTCGATGAAATACAGCATAGCTTCCGTCCTGAGGAGACCAACTCGTACCGCAATTAGATAAGAAGAATCACCGGAGAGACCAAGAAAAGCACCATTAGGCCCAATAAAATCACTTAAACGTTATTTCGAAAAGAAAGTCCATAAAAGCATCTAGCTATTCCAATAAAATTGCAAATCTGAATGGGATGAAAAACTCACTATAGCTCTCGCGAAACATCCATCTCTTTCCATTTCAACATTTTGTAGTCATAACCAACAAATTTGGAGTAGAAACTCAGCTTTGACAGAGTGAGCTCAGCTCTATAGATTCGCGCGAGAGAGCGACAACATCTCTTCCCATATTTCTAGAAATTTCTTGATGCAGATTGATATTTTCCATCTCTAAGTCACATATCATCGGCTTTCAGATTCGTATAGAGGCGGAGTCGACAAGCGTGGCGGTTTTTGATGTGAGAATGTACGAAAAACAGTGCTATAACTTGGTCTGACAAGTTTGTCCTTATAACAAAAGTCCGCAACCCGGCAGTCCGCATACGAATATGGATACCGATCATACAATTGCATGCAAATTCCTCATTATCACTGTGCTCCCTATAGAGCACAAATCAGTGATTTGAAGGATCACGACTCTGATATATGCAACTCTCAAGAAGAAAATCTTGCGCTATGAGGATACCGACTTGTAATTCATTGAATCGGCATTATAGCAATATCAAGCTCATAAGCGGAAATCTCTATTTTTAATTATGTCTCGCATGGAGAAGTTAATCAGAAGAGACGATACTTTGAACCCCAGAAGGAGCCCTATAGGGCTTTGTGGGATTAAAGTGTCTGAATATGGTACGATTACGGTAGCCAATAATAATACCTCATAGCGGATTCGAAACTAGGGAAATTCGCATACTCATGATATAAAGTTTACTACCATGATAAAGTCTTGCTCAAGAATTCGATTTGGTAATCGCTGTCAACATGATAAAGTAGACAAACAGCTGAATGTGGTGACAATGTATGATTTCGACCTCTCCGCTGCATATCTACCGAAAACAGTCTTCTCAGACACTGGGACCGGCTGAGCCGCGGCCTCAAAAGGCCTTTCCGGCCCGTCCGCGGCCTTAATTTGGGGGCGTGGCCGAAGACCGGCCCAGCCGCGGACCTTAATTCATGTCGATATGATTGCACCGGCTGATCCGCGGACTGAATATGGCTTATCGGCCCAGCCGCGGACCGAATATGGCTTACCGGCCCAGCCGCGGACCTTAATTCATGTCGATATGATTGCACCGGCTGAGCCGCGGACCAAAATCTCTATTACGAAACACCGGCTGAGCCGCGGCCCATTTTCGGCTCGGCCGGTCCTAGTATCTGAGCGTAAAGAACACTTGCGTGATGTACGACGCATGCTTAGGCTGCCCTCAGTGTCCATAGCCTCCGTTGTCTTTCCAGTCTCCAAGGCAGGAAGAAGACCAATATGTTGTACAACACTTGAATATGTCCAGTTTTGAAGCCGGACACGCTCTCCGAAGCGGCCATGTCTGTGGCCTCAATTTTTGTTTTTCACAGCGTATATTTTACGTGCCAGTGAATAAAAAAAACAGTCGTTTTGTATCCGAGCTAGAATGAACTATATGGCCCGACAACCAGCTCCGGCTGAGCCGCGGCCGTTTTCCGGCTGAGCCGAGGCCGTTTTTCGGCTGAGCCGCGGACCATTCACCGGCTGGTCCGCGGACGCTGCGAAATTCCAGCCGGAAATGGGCCGCGGCTCGGCCGGTCCCAGTGTCTGAGTTTGAGCGTCGACTACGCGTGATTTTGGTAATGCACGCTGGTCCCTAGTGAAATCTGAATAATTCAAATTTCGCACACAATTTTCAAAAAGGAAAATATGTGTGCAGAAATTCGTCAGCATGTTCTACACATGCTAGAAAAAGATACGAAGTAGATACTGAACTAGCTCTACACTTTGAGCCCCGCCAGCTTCAAGTTTTTCAGAGACATGAACAAACAGCAGGGTCACGACATTGACCAGTCTTGAAGTGAACAATACCGGAAAAAAGTATCGACGCAAACCTCTCGGCAATCCAGAGCGGTCACGATATTAGATGGTCCTTCATTTCCCAGATATCTCAATGCAGCTGCTCCCGTCCCATCGCTGACATCCATGTACTGCAAGATATAACGATTTCATTTCCGTTGTTTACCAAAAGACAGCCACAACAGCACAAAAGAAAAAAGTCCATCCCATCATTTTCATTCCCAGCGACCGCAAATTCGCATTCAAGTGGATTTGGAAAGTAGCCAATTACTATTGGGGCGCAGAAATTCATGCAGAGCGTACCTAACAGTAATGCTCTTTGCCCTCCGATCTCCTGGCCATGGTTTGGTCCATACTCTTATTTCTCTGTGCTAGTTTCTGCTTCGACATCCTCTTTCAAATTCTGGAATTTTTCTAAGCCTTACGTAGAAGCATCTTTCAGGAATCTATGGTTTCTGGGAGTGGGGATGCCGGTGGCGTACTTTACGCGGATTTTCCAAAACTTCCACTGCCTCAGAATCGGCTGAACGAGCTCATAGAATCTTCAAACGATTGGGCGCATGTAAGAACTAAATAATTTTTACAGCGTCAGATATAAGAAAATTTGCAATTTTGGTTTCTTCCCTTGTTTTCCTTTCATTTTCATGATCCAAACTTCATGAACCGTTTACAAATCTAACAAAGTTCCATCAGACTTCCTTGCCCAAAATTTGAAACGGCGTGGATCCGCATTCGATGGCACTGGGTTACTGTGTCTTTCCAATGGAGTGTATTGTTAAACCAAAGCAACTTCTTAACTTTTGCAAACAAAGTCCTCCAGCGTACTTACAAGAGAGGACGGCGAAGTCGGAGTGACCGATTACTATCGGATTCATACCATTACGAAAAGCTGCGCTGATTTCAAGTTGCTTTCCATATTGGGTGGCGAGCAAGAAGAACGATAGTTGGTGGGTGTCAATAGTTCGCGCGTCTTTCACCGTCATTTTTATCTATTTTTATTTTTATCCGCTAGCTTTGAAGATTAGAGCATATTCTTCATTCATGCTTCCATCCGGAGGAGAACTAGATATAAGCTCCTGCAAGACGAAGGCGGTTGGTTCGAGGCGCGACGTGGCTGTGACGCGGCTGTGACGCTGCTGTGACGCAGCCATGTCGCAACCGCGTTGCACATCGAACCAACCGCCTTCGTCTTGCAGGAGCTTATATATCCTGTTTGTTTGAAGATGAGGTGTGAAAATCAGCCACAACTTTCAAATAGGGTTTCGAAAGTGAAACTTCTAGTTTGTAAATTTTTTTCGCACTAACATCACAGTTGCACTTAATACCGTGCTCTGAGCAGAGATCATTCAGTAAAACATTTACTTCAACTCTGCTCATTTTCACTATTTTGAAATTCGCGCAGTGAGGGGAATAGTGCATTGGTAGCAGCGGCTGGCAATTGCTATCGTTCCTCTTGCACCCGACTACAAATAATGGAAATCGTTCATATTGCTTTTTTTGCTACAGGGTAACATCTAAAATGGCTCAGCATCAGGATAACCACGGTTGGTTTTGCGGAATTCCAACCTTGCATTTTTCCCGCAATTGAAAGTCCATAACTTCCTTCCCAGAAGCGTTCTGCAGATATGGAAGGCAGATTTGAGATTCGAGGCAGAACTTATCTGTGCTTATAGTAAACTTTCAGGCTCATGGCTTAGTGATGCGAACGAAAGAACACAAAGATAAAAGCGATGTAAGTCAGACAACGCCGATCACATTGCTTCCCACGCCATTTCCACGAAAATTGTTCGAACAAGCTTTGAGAGTTCAAAACGTGAGTTTTTCTGGCTTCTGTTTTTCATAATGAGATGATTTTGCTTTCTTTGAAGCTTTGTTTTCAGTTAGTTGCTACCTTATATCACGATATCGCTTACGACTTTGACTTCCTCATCGAATGTCACAAAGACGTCATCACAACAGACTCTTTTACCAAAGGACTTATAGACATTCTGAAGCAAGTGCGAGATGAAGGTAGCAGGAATGGTTTTGTGAAGGTCGCTACATCAATGTGTTCAGGCCTTGCACAGAGGAAAACGCTTGCAATTCAGCGATCGGATTACATGTGTCACAAAGACCCGTTCTCATGCGAGTACATCTTGAAGCAGGTAAGCAAATTTCCGTCTTCCCTTGTACGGTGAAGGTAACTGACGTCTTAGATAGAAGTGAACAACATAGCCGCTAGCATGGGAGCTCATGCGGAAAGGGTTAGTTTTCTCCTTACATATCGATGTTGAATTTCACTCATACTCTCCACGTACAGGTATCCAAGCTTCATCGAAGAACTATGTTTGAACTTGGTTACGACAAAGAAACGATTGAAAAGGCTATTCCAAAGAATGAGCCTGTGAAACTCATATCTGAAGCTATTCACAAAGCGTGGTAGGTCAGAACTCGATGCAGTTTCTCATCTTGCAGTCTCTTCAACTTGTAATCTCACATCCAGGGAACTCTACTCATGTCGCGATGCTCTAGTACTTGTCGTGGTTGAGGAAGAGAATCAAAATCAGATTGATCAGAGACATGTGGAGTATGGACTGGAAGACCTGGGAATTCCCGTTGACCAAATTGTGCGGAAGACCCTGGCAGAGTGCAGCTACTGGTAAATGCTCAGTCCCTATCGTTTTTTACTCTGTCCAAAAGTCTTATTCTATTTTCGTTGTTTTATATCTGGTTATGCAATCCTTCTCATACATCTAGTTCCTTTTATTTCCATACCAGTGCGGCATACTATGCCGTGCGAAATCACGTGGTAACTGCAGTTACCAGTGATTTCGTGACTCCCTAGCTGCATCACAACTGGGAATAGCATATTCCGAATCAGCGTCAGAGGCTGATTCAGAATAAATAAGTCTCTCTCCAAAAGGCCCAGCTAAGTTAGGTACCTTCCTTTGTTAGTATCTGAGAAGCTCTGCTCATCTTATATACTGCAAACTTGCTAGGTAATGCATGCACTGTACCTTTCCCTACATGTAGTCTCGTATATTTTCAGCCTGACTCTATCACCCGAACGTCACCTGATGTTTTGTGGTTCCCGCGTTGCAGTGGTCTACTTTCGCTCAGGATATACTCCAGATCAATATCCTACAGAAAAAGGTGGGGACAACCTAATCGCTTGATTTGGTCGATTAGTATGAAACTCTCTTAAGGGAACGGCCATAGGTTGTCGGTGTTGTCGATGTTGTCGATGTTGTCGTTGTTGTCGGTATTGTCGATGTTGTCGGTGTTGTCGAGTTTGCGGTCGTTGTAGGACCTCATGATAGCCTCCACGTTTCGCGCGCTCCCTAAACTGTCTCTGCCCGACAACTCCGACAACACCGACAACACCGACAATACCGACAACACCGACAACATCGACAACCTATGGCCGTTCCCTAAGAACAATGTGCTGGAACAAAGTTTCGTCGTATGCCTGAAATTGCTTGTTTATTCTATTTCCGACATCAGTCTGAAGATTTAGCGTCTACAAGAAAATTTTTTTCGAGTTTCTCAGCAGTGTATAGCAGCTTCTTCTCGTTGGAGAACAGAGACTCCGAAAACCTTCAAATTTGGCGATCATGAGTTTTTGGCTCAAAAAATGATGCCGCCAAAGCCCGAAACATCTGGTATTCTGCATATTGGACTATGTAACGGTGACATGTTTCAACCCTAGCTAAGAATGCTAGAACAAAATGATAAGCAGGGGCACGGTAAAAATTCTTTTCTTCGCAAAAACACGTTCGATACCCATCAAAACTTCGCAGCGTTTGGGGGTCAAGTGCTAGGTTCTTCTGTTGAGCTGTGGAGAGCAACGGATAATGAGAGGATTTCTTATGCTTCTCAGTACTTTTCATGTTTATGCGAGTTGGGGCTCAAAGGCAGCGTCCGGGCAAGATTTCGTATGGAATTTTTTTCGCTTACCTGGGCTTATCCTTCCGCTGATTCCGAAAATGCAGCTCGGAGAGCACGAAAACGTCGAAAGCGGCCTTTTCCAGAAGCTCTTAACTTGGGTTTTGTCGCCTGCTGCCAAGGTTAAGACGCAGAGTCTTCGTGCGACCCACGTCTTGACTGTGTGCGGTATGCGCACTTTGGCTTATAGGGCTAACTCGTCCCCGGTCGCCGGGGCGTTCTGGTCGCCACTTCTGAAGCGGTTTTCTCGCCTAAGAAGCAAAATGGTGCATTGCCAGTTGGGCAAGAGCCTTACCAGGCCGGGCGCCCCTACACCTGTACTCTACATTTTCGTTTTTGCCCGGACGCTCTTTAATAGTAAATCATGTAATTTTTGTATCAGAAAAGCAAATACCTGGTAATGAATGGGCTCCAGAATCTTTTGAAATTCATCACACCGATTCATTATGCTGTCACTTCTTCAACCCATCCTATAGGGAGTTTTGCCTGCCGTTGGCATAAGTTAACGAGAGTCGGAAAAAAGCAAAAGTTTTGCAGAATGGGCAGGCCGACTCTTGATAGAGCGATCGGATGCTATAAAATCGCCGTGGATTGGTCTACAAGTAGCAAATACGAAGAAGACACAACAAGTAAGTTACTAATTCGAAAAATTGGTCACATGTATCTCAGAGAGTATCTGAGTGACTTTTCTGCTCCGATAAAAAGATATTCTGGTTTTCTCACTGTTTTTTTTTCACAAATGTGGTGTACGAGGAGGTGGGTGTCACGTCACAGCTCTGGACAGCTTTTATGCTTATGCTTGTATGACAGCGGTATGCGGAAGTGGAAAGGAGAAGTGGAGAATCTACCAACTTTTTCACATAATGTTCTTTTTGTTTCGGTATTAGGCTAACCTCAAATCTTGTTGTTCAGTGTACAGTCGATGTCAATTACGTACTCCCTTTCGCATGGGAGCTACGCATGCACGAGGCAAGAGCCCGCGCGCGGGCCACCAATCGATGAGGCCAATTTGAGTGCCCGAGCCATACGCGCGCGAACGCGGCGCGAAGCTTTTGCGCTTGCGGAAAAGGGAACAGGTAATTAACATGGACTGTATACTGGGCCCCTGATGTTTTGCCGTGGCCGTCCGCAGTCGTTGCAGCACCGTCCACCCAAATTCTTAACTTTCATGTTTTTGTCGTTCCGTGGCCTTCTCATGTACCTAATTCCGATTATCTAAACGAGTACCCGCGAAAACTCCGACAATCCCCGTTCCTCAGAACTCGCAGCGAGTTGTCCGGAACAGTGATGGGTTAGGTGCGCACGGATGGACGGTACCAACGTCACGCCCATCCAAGGGGGAGGAGCCGACGTACGAATGTTATCTGAAGCGATCTTCGAAGCACTTTTCTTCAAAAGCTATTTTCGGCAGCGCGAGTTGGGCAAGTACAGGGCTTTACAACCTGAGTGTCCCACCCGCCCCGCTAGGACGCCACGCTTAGGTCCGCGCAGCGTTCGTGGCGCTGGCTGCGCGTCGACTGAAGCTTGGCGAAATCCGGGCGATACGCAGCAAACGCCGCGCGCGGCCTGAGCGAGGCGGCCGCGTTGGAGGAGCCGCGCAAGCGAAACTTGCGACTCTTAGGTTGAAAAGCCCTGTACTTGGGGCTTCACTATGTTAGGCATCAAAATCTCATCGACCCCATTTTGGGTGGACGGTGCTTTTGAAAGCTATCTGGGTTTTTCAGTGTGTTTATTCTAGGTTTATTTACTTATTTATTTATTTATTCATTCATTCATACACTCGAAGGTGTGCCAAAAAATCAGATTACAAACGAAACATGTTAGATCAATCCAACGCGCACCTGTTAGTACGACCTAACCCACAGTATACTGCTATAGATGTCAAATAAGTGGAAAGAAAGTGAGTCCCGGTTCATCTTCTGCGCCCGGTCCCTTGTGAAACCCTTAGCAGGTGAGTGACAGTGGGGAATGCCACTATTCTCAGGTGAAAATGAATAGACTAACAGCTGATTTTCGATAGTTAGGTATCCTCCGCCCTAACAATCAGCTGCTAGGCTCAGCTGTGGTGGAGATATAAGATAAGGAACAAGGGCACAAGCTGGATATAACAAAAGCAATTACTAGCAGTAGTGAGGGTGGGTTGGGTATATAATAAGACAGATGGATAGTGTTCTAGGTTCTTGCTGAAGATGGTGTAATTGAACGATTTGTTGGTCATCCTCGTGATGCTGCTGCCATAAGAGCAACGTTTGCTGGATTATGGTCTATCAATGGTGGTGATCCAGTAACGCAGAAACTCATCAAGGTTTGCACATTATTCCTAAAAGGCTGACACAGAAACTTATGTGTCTTTCTTCACAGAATGCTATTGCACATCCTTCCCGATTCGTTCTCAAACCTCAGCTGGAAGGCGGTGGTGGAAACTTCTACGGAGAAAAAATGGCAGAAAAACTCAAAAGTATGGAGAAGGAGGAATTTGGCGCCTTTATCTTGATGGAGAGGATCCAACCTCTGGTGGTTGAGGTTCATCAGTTTTGAACGGTCCTTATCGATAGAATTGGATAAATTTTGAAAACAACGCTTTAAGAATTATTTACTACGCCCTATGCAGCCAGCGCATCTAGCGAAGGTTGTCAGCGAACTAGGAGTCTATGGATATGCGTTGGGTGATCGAGGAATGGCAGAAGTGCGTCAAGGAGGACACCTTTTGCGGACTAAAAGCGAAGAAGTTGATGAGGTGAGCCTTTCAGTTACGTTATGCATGATCACATCCACTCAACCAGGTTATTGCTTGTGAAAAAGCCCCGCAGCTGAATGTTTAGTGATTACTCGAACTCGCTTGGGTACGCCTAAGAAATTTGTGTCTGGATTTAGGGAGGAGTTGCTGTTGGAGCAGCTGTCATTGATAGCCCTTTTCTCTATGAACTACTTTGATATTCTGGACTCTTATCAGTAGTGAGTCCCCTACTCGGAAGTCAATGATGAACTGTGATGCAACCAATATGTGATAAACGAATCTCTTCGACCGAAGTAAGACATATTTTTCTATGTTGTGAATCTATAATCTACTTACAAGGAAATGGTCAGAAGTCGAAGTGGCCAATCCATACAAGCTGCATACCATTGAATGCAGTATAAAATGCTGACTCTAAATCTGTCTTCCTTATCTGCAGAGCGCTTTTGTGGACGAAATTATAAGCCGTTGAAGGCCATCATTTTGCTAACAAATTGTGCACGTAAAATGCAGACTTGGCCGTACAAAGCCATTCTCGGCTCAGTGTTGGACCAAAACATGCAACTAGGTCAGTTTATATGACCCGTACCTAGATGTGAGCTGAAACAGCAATAATGTGCCTAATTTCGCAATTTTTGTATACGGTTTTTTCGCAGTAAAGCTGCTCATAACTTCGCCTACAAAGGCGCTCTGCAGATAATGAAGGCAGATTTGAAATCAGCGTTCCACGCTGCATCGAATGGTATGTAGCTTGTTTGGATTGGCCACTTCGACTTCTGACCATTCCCTTGTTAGAAAGTCAAATTAACCGATTGTAAATGAGAATGAAGAAATAAATTCGAATATTATAGTGAGTGTTACTTTGTGAGGACTGAGCGAAGGTAAAGCTATTTTTTTGGAGGAAATGAGTGGTCTTCAGTTGTCAAATTGCGAATTCTCCCAGGTTCGGTGCTGGTTTCCATTTTATTTTTAACCCAGAAGCGTGAAAATATTTCAGTACCTGAGCCCCATTCCCCCCCCCCCCCCCATCACAAGTTATACTACGCGAAAGTAGAAACCCTCTGATATATCTGTTTTCTCTTGAGACAGGAGCTCTCATAGGAGTGTCAACTAGTGAAGGTGTTACAGAAATCAAGAACAAGCTCAAAATAAAACTGATTTATCCGTGAGAAAACATCACGAGGAATTCCAGTGAAATATACGATATAATGGGCAGCATATGAGATACGAGTCGACGAAATAATCACAATAATTGGTTTGAAAGTTGACAAACACTACTATGTAGACAAGAGCTCTATTAAAATATCTCGACGAGGAAGCCAAAGGCAGATTAAACCGGTTTGACGGAAACCTTCAAAAGCGCTATCATACTTTTACCTGAAAATAATTGATGATGTTGATACAAAAAGGAAAAATGAAAAAAAACGATTTAAATAGTTTGATCAACAGCGACAGAAGGAAAGACTTACAGCAGCTTTGAGTGCCTGATCCAAATCAGCAACGAGGTCATCCAAATTTTCAATCCCTACGGATAACCGGATAAGGTTGTCGGTAATTTTAAGCTTCTTTCGCTCCTGAAATTGGCAAAGTATAATAATTTTTGTGAAATCCTTTCAAATACGTGGAAGAGCTAAAAGTTCTTACCTCGGCAGGAACAGAGGCGTGTGTCATAATTGATGGCAATTCGGCAAGAGATTCATATCCACCAAGCGATTCAGCGAGTGTGAAAATCTGAAACACACTTGATTCAGGAAAGGAAAGCGAAAGAAGTAAAAAATCAACCTCATACCTTCAAGCTGCTAAGGAACGTACGACTTTCTTCAAGTCCACCTTTTAGGTAGAAAGACATCATTCCTGACATTCCTTTAGTCTGGCTCAAATGTACTTTATGTTGAGGATGTGATGGAAGAGCAGGGTACAAAACCTAAAATCATGTCTACTTACTGGGAAAATGAAGAATGAAACGCACAGAACGTACCTTCTCCACCCTTTCGTTACCCTCAAGATATTTGGCTATAGCAAGAGCATTTTCATAGTGAGTTCGCATCCTAACGTGCAACGTCTTCAACCCCCGATTGACAAGGAAACAATCAAAGGGAGATGGTACAGCGCCAACAGCTGCAAAGTGAACAATTGTTTTTTTAATGAAAAATTTTGTTATAGGACTAACCCATTTGCTGGAAGAACAGATGTTGTTGAATATCGTCGTTGTCTGTTATGACTGCACCCATGACGACATCCGAATGTCCATTAATATACTTCGTGATTGAGTGCACAACAATATCAGCTCCTAATGTCAGCGGTCGCTAAAAGTAGATTGGTCTGATAAAAGAAAAAGAAAGTGTAAAAAAGTATCGCTTACCTGGAAGTAAGGACTCATAAAGGTATTATCGACGACCACAATTGCTTGTGGATTTTTATCTTTTACGGCATGCACAACTGCAGCGATATCAACAACTTTCATCAGAGGGTTTGATGGGCTTTCCAACCAGATTAACTAGAACATTTGCGTCTTATGTCCACTGCTTTTGCAACACGATGTCCACGATCACCTTGGTGCTAGGCTTGAAAGCCGCCTTAATCTTGCTTATATCAGTCATATCGACAAAATCTGCCTGAATTCCATGTTGGGGAACAGAAACCCGACGAATAAAGCGCTGTGTTCCTGAAACGGATCAAATGCATCGAGGTGCAACATGCGTCAAACTCCAGAAAGTGAAATCAAAGACAAATGTTTAGCAACGTACCACCATACACATCATCAGAACATATTATGTGGTCTCCTGTTTTCAACATATTGATAACTGCCATTGAAGCAGCAATTCCCGATGCGAACACATGACCTTAAAAATATGTGTGAAAAATGATTTCAAATCAAAACAGAATCTTGAAACTTACAATGTTTACCATCCTCGAGTGATGCTAAACACTTTTGTAGTACATCTCTGCTAGGATTGCCAGCCCTCGAATAATCGTGTCCTTTGGGTTCCCCAGGTCGGTCTTGTTTGTAGGTGGTAGAGAGTGAGATAGGAGCCACAACCTGGACAAATCTTCATGATAAGAGAGCCCAGGATCATGGAAACAAATTCAAAGTTTCTTCTGCGCGTCGGAGCTTGAAGGTAGTTCCTCGGCAGAATTTCGTTTTCCAGACACCTTTTCGAAGCCTTCTTGCCTTGAGGGATCCATATCTGGGCTTTTCACGCATGAAACTGGCGAAAACGGTTTTTTTCCAAAGCTTTCCAGCTCCGCATTAAGTGAAGATATGCCGGAAGTCTTTCGCGCCCCGCCTCCCTCGTTCCGGGCCCGCTCACATACACGCATTCTCCACCGATTACGGAACTGGAAGGCTTTGAAAAAGCAAATTTTCGTCATTCTAATGCGCTGAAAAGCTCAGATATGGGTTCCTCATGACGGAGAGGGCTCCGAATGAGTGAAAAACTAAAAGACGAAATTTTGCAGAGACACTGAGCTAAGTTCAAAAATAATGGGAAAACCTAAATATTTTTTGATGAACACACTCAGGGTTATTCCCAAACTAATATTTTTCTTTTCTTCCAAACAGATGCAATCCAAAAAAGCCTAGCGATTACATTCCATTTGATTTTTCTATGTTACACAGTTAACATATTCTACGACTATAGCTTCGCCCTCATTGTCTGAGCTTCTTAACAATAGGTTATTATGGGTTACGAAGCAATAACGTGTAATCTTTTCTGACAGCGTGTCTGGACCGATATTGATAAGAAAACTAGAAAAAAAGCACTAAATTGAACAAGGAGTTACAAAGCAAGTGTACTAAATCAGCCTTGACCTGTCATACTGCATCGGGTTAACAAAAAACAGCAATACCTGATTCATATCCCATTGCTCTGGTTCTTGGCCAACGTGAATTGCGGCCGTTCCAAAGTGAGGAAAACTATCGTTCGACATTCCTCTTGTTGTACCCTAAAGCTAAAAAGGTTATTTGTTTTGTTCTGTTGAAAAAAATTATTTGCATGGATTTCTGGGCTAATGATCTTGCCCAGGAATGCATGCAAAGATTCTCAGAGACGAGTACAGATGTGGTGAATTATTCATAACGTGAGAAAATCCATCGTCACAGAAAAGAAATTCGGAGCTGCAAGGATATATGTCAGCTAACAAGCACTATCATCATGAAGAATGAATGATTTCAAAACGGTACCCTATAAGTTTAGAATTTTCGATGAATTACAGTCTGTTTCAACTGTGAAGTCTTTTGTGCGTGAAAGCTATGCCCTGCGGCGCGTATGCGTCGCCTGCCGACCATCCGATGGATGACAGACGCCAAAGTTATCCGCTTAGCTGCTCGCTCACGCCGATGAGCCCGAGCTGAGGCACGCTCCATAAACAGTCCACTTTCTCCACTTCGCTACCGGTCAATCATGAATGACCAGTAGCGAAGCGGATCAAGTGAACATCCGTTTTGCTATTGGTCAGTTCACCAATTCAACGAATAGCGAATTAAATGAAGTGGTTCAAGTCAAGTATGGCACGTGCCTGACGCCCGAGATTCTAGGAAGGCGGACGGAGGATGAAGAAGGGACATCGGTTAAAACAGAGTACAGTTTACAGTCTGTCCCAATCCCAAGCAGTCGAGATTGGCATGGCAGGAGTCCGCGTCGCTGGGGTTTTGCGTCACGCCTGAAGCTTGCTTGTCTGCTCTCTCTTCAATCCTTTCAATCTTTCCGCTAGCGTATATATATGCATATACGTATATATGCAGCGCTATCCCTAGCGCTGCGTGGCGCAAATCTACGCCAACATGTCGTCCGATTGGGACAAACTGTAGTCGAGCCAATTCCAGTAAATGACTTTTCGATCGTTAACTTCACTCTGACAAACCGTATCTCAAAATTAGACAAACGATAAAATCCCTCGAGAATGGTGAATGAACTGTTTCAAATTCGCTTGCAAAAGTTGATCCGAATCCTTCATACACACCTGAATCTTATTATCATTCAGGCAAATGACAGACTCTTTCACAGATCTTAGAATTAACGAAGAAGGATGACGCATTGTCTCCTGTGGAAGTTCTCCCTCTTTCTACTATGCTACCGCTTTTGGTTTGAAGGCGGCCATGATTGCTCGTATTCTCGAGGTTCTAGGCTCTAGTTTTGCCTTAAAAATGAAAACTGGAGCTCCCACATTCTGAGGCAGGCGTAGTAACCAATTTTGGCAGTAACCAATCCTTGCTCTCCAGAAGTGGACCGGAAATTTCAAAACCTCGAAAACAATTCCAAGTATTATGCGACTGATGTTGTATAATTTAGGAGTAAGTTGCATAGGAAAAAACTTGAGTCTGAAAAAACGTACCAAAGCAGAGAGCGGCCGAAAAACTAGCGGTGTAATATGGCGAAGAGAGCAAAATCCAAGATGCACGAGGCGAGAACAGGAGCGTGACATAATAACGCAGCAATGATGCGATCACACGTGCTGGTCGATCATCCAAGAAGCAGAAGCAAACGGAGATATTAAAAATGGATGGCTAATCAGAAGTCCCCTTAATTTTCTAGTATTTTCACATGTAAAGGGCAGTCAAAGAGCTTGTTTACTTAATCAAGTGAGATGAACGATAGAGCGGATATTTAGGAGTCACAATAATAGTTTAACTGGGAACAGATATAGTGCACCTGCGGTGCGCACAACATTTAAGCGGCAACGAACTGTAACATGTGCAAAGCTAACGATTTGCGCGTAAAGACTAAAACATCGTTTGAGTACACAAACGAACACACACAAACACACAAACACAAACACACAGCACACAAACATGAAGCAAAACAAGAAATTTTCAGCACCATGATCACTATTCACGCGCAAGGTTCTACCGAAATTGTACGAGTAAGTACCTACCTATATCAACCGTCAAACTAAGCTGCAATATTATTTCTGTTTTAACTAGCAATTATTTTCGAATTTCACGGTCCTGACACAGTCTTGTATGTGTACTCAAACGATAGAAAAGAAACAAACAATGCTAAAGCGATTATAAGGTGGCCATAGATAAGCAAATGAGTTCTCTTTTTTTCTGCCGCGTGCATTAAAGAGCTCACAGATCAAAAGAAAGAAAGATTTTTTGTAGGTCAGAGAAAAGTACAAGTGAGAAGAACATATTTACGTAGCCACCAGTGGTTGAGATAGTATGACTATGGGAGTAGGTACCCAAATAACATGAAGTTCAGGAAAGCACGAATTGGACCGCTTAGCATTAGTTCCGAGATAGATTAATTAATTAATTCAAAAATTCGAGATTTCTTCATTGAATGTAAAACCAAAGACTTCACAATGGCCTGAACTGATGAGAAAGTGAAAGTTATCAGCGCGGCGGCCAAGATGAGAGAATTTACGCGATCGCATGGCGAGTTCTCTGTCTCGAATGGCTAATTTCGTCGACATCTTTATGGCCTGACTTTTTCACGAGACTGCCCGAAGTGGGAGAAAGCACTGGACGAACGACGGCGAAAAGAATGCAGAGAAATTGCGGTCGCCAACAGGCGGAGTCGCGACCTGCCCCTGCTCACGTGGACACACTGACGTCACGACACAAATGTTGATTGGCTCACCAGGTGTCGAGAGAGTGCTGCTGTGAATGAGCCATCGAACCGTCCTCGTGTGTTTAAATAGACAGAGGATGGCTCAATCGGTTAGCATTATTGCATCAGCCGTGCGAATGAATTACGGTGGACATTCGTGGATCCTGTTCTCTGGCCAAAAGCGAGGTGAAAACCTAATGAGAAATTGTCAGTGAACTCGGTCATCTCGGCTGATAATTGTCATCAAAAGATGACAAGGACACGATGATTTGATGCGCGGAATGACGTTTTCCGAAGTCACACTTCAGAGAATCTCTAATGTTTTTCTCATCCCACCCTTGAAATCAGCTGGCTTTACCAGTAACAGACTTATCATATTTCTGAGACCAGGAGGCTCGAGTACCATCAGTTCCCAGCTTCGTGTGCAGGCAGGTTGCAGACTTTTCTTGATTATAAGGATAAACTTGTTAGATCTCACGTGCCAGCATTGTTTCTCGTACTCTCTCATTAACATTATCCCCATAATCAGGGAAAGTCCGCCACCACCTCCACTTGAATCTGGGAGCCGATCATACGCTCTTCACATCGTCTGAACAAGTTTGATCATTAGCAAGTTTATAATTGTTAATTATTTCATTTAGGAGTACTATTGGGTTGTCCAAAGTAAACTTCTTCTCCAAATAAATCAAGATGTTTTGGTTTCCCTAACAGACTTAGGTACCAATCGATAGAGCGAGGCAAGCTCTAAAAAATGCCAAAGATCCGCTTAAGTCGTAATTCAGGTAAAGTTTGTAGCTAAAATCGAAAAGAATTTTATCGCCCGAAAATTCGATTTCTACGAAAAAAAAAGATTTTTAAGGATATCCAACTTGATCATCATTATACAGGGTGTCCCAAAAAAATGTGCACACTGTTTGATCGTTAATAACTCTCTTGCTTTCGTGTCTTTTGTCGAGCTTAAAGTACCATTCTATAGAGCGAGGTTCAACTTAGATTTGCAGAATGGAGCGAATCATCGATCGCTCTTCATTACTGTAGGATTACGGTAGGAACTTCGAAGAGGGTTTTAAGCCATTAAAGGGCGCTTTGCCTCAGAAAGAAAGCCAAACAAGCCAGAGACTCTCAAACTGGTCTAATTGAAGGTGCTGATTCTAAATATGAAGTTTGTGATTTAGTATAGTGCTTCTTTCATAAGTTATTTCAGAGTTAGAGTAAAAACTGTTTTCCCAATGTCGCTCAAAAATATGAATACACGAGCAAGAAAGTTCGAAAAATTGATGAAAAATTATGTACTGAAATCAGCACGCCTGAAAACCTTAATACACAGATTTTCAGATTTTTTTGAAATTATTTTATCACAAGGCCTATTCCACAGTGACGCTGTATGTTGGAAGTTCATACCGCAACCCTACAGTAATGAAAAGTGATTGGTGATTTGCTCCACATTGCAAATCTAAGTTCAACCTCGCTCTACAGAATGGTACCTTGAACTTGGCAAAAACTTGAAAGCAAGAGAGTTATTCACGATCAAACAGTGTGCACATCTTTTTGGGACACTCTTTACATTATGCACATAGTAGTATTCAAAAATGCCTTTAGATTTTCTCGCGCATAGAAAGCGAGGAAAAAATGTAGTCCAAGGATGGCAAACTCCGCTCCCAACCCCTTCCATGTCATTGTATATACAAGCCTTAGTAAGTATAACCTCATTACACCACGTGTGCCCTGGTAATCAAGAAATATTGAGTCTAGCACAAATACCCGAAAAAAGTGACATTTTTGCATTTTCGGGTCCACTCTATTTCTTGATTTCAAGCCCCGGAAAGAATTGATTGGAATTACTATGTGTCTACTGTATAACCAAGAAGTCCGCGAGATTCTTTGCAAGAAGATCAGATTTTTGGGTAGTCGAAATTTAATTTTTGTCCCCAAATGTTATGTGGATTACGACTAAGACAGATCTTTGGTGGTTGTTTGCAAAGCTTGTCTGGCTCTATCAAGTCTGCCAGGAAAATAAAAACAGCTTGATTTGTTTGAAAAAGGAGTTTATTTTTGGACGACGTAATACATACAATAGGAACCAGGAAAGAAGAATTCAAACTCGTTTAAACGATGCATTCAAAGAGTATGGAGCATTTTGGTTTCAGAAGGTCATATATATCAAGTCCAATTTTCAAAAGGCGAAGGTGAGATCAATATTCTCGGACTTTGCTGTGTGCAGCAGAACATGCCAAACATATTTGCTTTTCTTCTTTGGAAATGTAGTCATGTCTGATCCCACTAAAGCTTTCGACAAAACGCGATTACATTTCTTTGAAGCTGAGAGAACTGAGTCGACTAAAGGACTGACCAACTAATATAAAACAGTAAATGCGTTCTGAGTATTTCCAAGCAAAATCAAACAAGTACTGTAACAAATAGAATGTTCTTGTAGAGATTTGACAATCTCTTAGCAGCACATAAATTGTAAGCTAAGCATTTAAGTCAAACAACGACAGAAACATCGTAATATTGTCAACATATCTGTAACATTTATGACATTTATAAGCCTTTTTTGTAGTTTTCAGCTCTAAGATAACATTTATTAGCCTCGAATTAGAGTTGTGCCATTGCTGTTGATGGTGCCATAAATTGAAAAGTCATTTTTTCAGCCATTGACGTATTTACAGGGTTTATCTGTGCTGCTGAGACAGCATAAGCCAACGGTAAAAAGAGCTAGGCTAACATACAGAAGGTGAACCGCATCAAAAAGCAATTTTTGAAGTCTTTCTCTAAAAATTGACCACAAGAACGAATAAATTGAGGGCACAGGATACTATAAAAAGAACAGTCCCAATCTAGAAAAGATTTTCCAAATTAGATTTTGAAAAAATAGAATGGGTAGTCAGGTCTGAGTAGTTACCACTGATAAAATCTTGCTTGCGAAGAATACAAAATTCAATCAAATATAGTTATACGAGTCAATTACTATGTTATCAAAAAAGTCAACTATGTTAAACATTGCAATAAGCGAATGACTGAACATGGCTCTATCAAAACATTCGCTTTTTCTAGAAAAAATATACGACTGTCAGTAGTATTCTATCTAATTCTTCCTGGATTACGTACCGAAAATAGACATTCTCCTACAGATTATGAGACAAGTAATTTCAGCGAACTATTGATGTCAATTATACTACGCCATCAGAAAAAAAATGAAAAAAGCAAGCTGAAATTGCATGGTTTAAGACGCAGAAGTAGACTACCATAAAAAACTCATATGAGAAATTTACATCTTAGTGCAAATCATCCGAACTTTCTAGATGGTTTTGCAGGAAGAATTCGAGGTTCTCCGCACTCACTTCATTTTTCCATGACCAATAGAACCAAGTTTTGTATGGGAACTCAAGAATAATTAGTTGTATTCTATGAGAATTCATAATTCCTTTACAAAAGAAGGATAGCAAAGCACAAGAGGTAAAGTATTAGGTTGGCACATAACTTTTGCAACTTAGTACATAACTTTTTTCTTGGATATAGCGCTCTCATTTTTTTAATAATGAAGACCAGATAGGAGCTACAGATTAGCGCAAATCGTTTTGTTCCTAGCGGCAACTGGTAAATTTCGTGCATTTCCCAGAATCTGGTCGGACCAGATATTTCACCGGGCTAAAAACAAAAATTGTGTCGCTCTCAGCCTGCATCAAACGCATCGAGCCAAAACTATACTTAGATTCTTAGAGCTTACATAGCAACAATCTTTTTACAATTTCCTCTTAGTAAGTTTGTTGCAGGCTAAGAACGGCATCATTTTTGTTTTTGGCACAGTGAAATTTTTGATTCGATCAGCTTGTTTGCCACCCCAAACAAAACGGTTTGAGCAGGTTCGTA